GTATGTACAAAAAACCCCACAAATATTTTATCTTTCACACTTAAAGAATCTATAACCCAACCTAAGAAGCCCCTTAAATTTCTCTCTGTGCATTTCCGCTACAAGTGAAAGGTGCAGTCAAGATTCTGAGCTGAGAACTTTTTGGCGAGGCTCTGTGGCCTGGCAGCAGTCATTCCACCCTTTTCGGGTCTCAAGTTCCATTCCCATCCACATCCATATCCACATCCACATCCACATCGAATTCGCTATGAGATTTCGCCCCAAGGGAAGTTGTTGCTGCCAGTTTTTATTTTTTGCTGATGTTGCCGTTGTGTTTTTGTGGTGTTGCTGATGTTGCTGATGTTGCTGCTTTTGCTTATGTGCGCCCAGCAGCAACATGTTGGGGCTACGCTGCTTCTGCCACTGCCACACATCTATTGATATTTGTGAAATTTGTGTGTAGTATGTACTTTGTTTTTTGCCAGATCAACAAAACGAAGCGTGACGGAGCTTCGATGAGCAGCAGAAAACCCTTTTCGGGGTTTCACTTTAACTGAATATTTACATTTTATAAAAGGTGTTTAACTCTTTAGTTTTCTCTAAGTACTTTGTACTATCGATTTCCAATTTCATTTCATAATGTAGTAGGAATTAGAGTACAATTTATTGAAACTGATCTTTAATCTTTTGTAAACTTGAAGAATTATTCTTCTGTTGCACATATATTTCCAACTAGCTTATGCACCCCCTTTTCGCTCAGTGCTGCTCCTCTGCAATGTGTGGACGTGGGAAAGTTCGCCCACGTTTCTTACTTTTTTGTGGACTTAAACTGTGAGATCACGGAGCTAGGATCAGAGTCCGATCCGAACTGGCCAGTTGTGCTTGGCTGCTTGGCTGCCTGGCTGCCTGGTTGGATCAGTGAAAGCTCGCATGCGGCATGTGGCATGTGGCACATCCACTTGGAGCTGGAGCTGGAGCTGCTCTGCATTTGTAATTGTTCAAGTCGCTTTCTGGCCGGATATCGCAGGTTAATTGACCGAAAACAAAAAATAAAACAAAGAAAAACTACGAGCGATATCATAAAAACCCGATTTGCATGTTTCGGTGGCTGGTGCCTGTTGCCTGCTGGCCATTGGCCATTGGCCAAATGTGGTCAAAAGCCAAATATGTTGGGCCAAAATATTTGACTCGAATTTACGAGAATTTTGAAACATTACGCCAACGCCAGGGCAATAATTTAAGGTCAATTGGGCCTACAAAGCTGGCTCTTTTTCTATATATAGAGAGAGCTCCAAATAACCATTCTTCGCTTTACTTTTTGTTATATTCGATGTTCGATTTTGTAGATTTAACTTTTGATTTTTGGCAGCCCGCATTCACGGGCCATTGAAGCACTTGAAAGAGCCCAAGTTTTTGTTTGGGTGTTGTTTTTTTTTTTGTTTGGATGGATGGTTGGTTGGTTGGATGGATGGATGGATGGTCTTGGCTTTGGATTTGGCTTTGGCTTTGGCTGTGGGTGTATTTGTTTTAATTTCCATTTGCTGTGTAGAAAGCAACGAGCAGAGCAGCAGCAGCAGCCGCAGTAACCCGTTTAAGTCTCATGAATAGTTATTCCAACATTAACCGTAACAAAAAATGCTGAACAACAAAATTAAAAATACCTTTTGCCATGCAAGTTATTAATGAGTTACCTCGCTTGGTAATTGTTATTTCTTTTTTTCTTTTTTTTTTTTTTTGTTGCCTTTCCCGCTTTCAAGATAGCTGGCAGAAAAATAAATGTACAACTTTTTGAAGAGGGGAAATGCAAAAAACACGAATGAATAGCAAATGAATGGTGAGAAAATCTGTAAGCGAAGTGAGTAATTAAATGCAATGTGATAAGAAGGTGAACAAACAACTTAATGAATGTGCAATGGGTAAAAGAAATGCGATTTACATAGACGAATTAATTGAAAACCTGATAATGCAAGATGACTTTAAAGTGTAAAAACCAACTAAATTAATTGCTGAACCTTTATATGTTGGATTGTATTGTACAATAGAAGACTAAGTATCTTATGGTTTATCAAAGTATCATTTATTGATCGTAAATTGTAGCTAGTTAATTGTTATAACTTGTCAATGAAGTAAAGGTTACTAAGATTACAACGCCTTATTAAATGTCAACTGCATTAACAATATTCCACGCATTGTGGTTTGAAGTACCTACTTTAAAGTTAACCCAATTAATTTAAAGGGTAATTAAAACAAATTGCTTACTTAAGCTACAAGTGAATCAAGTTCTGATTAATTATAATACGATTGTACTTGTTCTCTTTATAACCATTTCGCGTTAACTGCCAATTAAGAAATCATTAATGTGATCTATTGACTTGCGTTTGCATACAAAGTAGAAACTATTTGTTTGAATGCATAATGATTGCAACACGATTCAATCGCTTAGATCAAAAGATATATCTCTGTTTATGTGCAAGTCGATAAAAAAAAGATTGTACTTGTAATAAAAAGGCAGGGGAATATCATTTTTGAGTTTGGGTGTGTAACATTTCATTGGAAAAGGTTAGGTTTATCAAATAATATCCCCCACACAATAAGTAAACAAGCATAATTATTATTATGCTCATAAATACAAATCGTAAAGGTTGCGAAAATAAAGACAAATAAAAGAGTGTAATCAATTTGTTGTTAAACCAATAGTTTTGACCCCATTCCCAAAATCAAATTAACAAATCAATCATTGTCAATCGGTGGAAGTGTTGAATGTAATATATTTATATTTATGAACACATTTTTAATTAACGTAGTTGTAGCAGTTAGTTTGCAAATTATTGAGCCTGATTCCAATTGATTTCCTCGAAGAAATCGCACTTTTCTTGACGGCTACGATGACCTGGATCTAAGTGGACATTGCAATGTGGCAATATGGCAATATGGCTCTTTGGCTATATTCGCGGCCCAGTCACTCAGCCCGGCCAACTCATCCGGCGGCTCTAAGCCACGTTATCTTCTTTCACTTGAGCTTCACCTACATTGGAAGGCCGAACGAACGGACGGTTGTATCAAAAGTGATCATAAATCTTTATAACCTGTATGTGCTGGATTTTCACCAACTGGCTTTTGGAACTCTCTTCTGGGTTCTTCTGTGAGCAGCACAAAAAAAAAAAACAAAAAAAATAATAAGAAATAACAAGTTAAAAGTGAATTTCTGCTCTTTAGCCTTCAGCCTCCGCCGACAATCAGAGTTGACTCTTATTTTTCCTTTTTCCCCCGCGCTCAACTGTTTCTTTTTTCTTTTATGGGTTTTTGTTTTCCTGCCAGATGACTTTTTTTTGTGGATTTATTTTTTGCGCGCACTTGGCCTTAATTGCGCATGCGCGCGCACTTTCAATTCCTTTCGGACCCGCAACAAAGAAAATGAAATAAAACAAAACAAAATCGTGTGGCAAATTGTGGCCGAGGCAGAAATTAGATTTCAAGCGCGGCGATAATGATGCGGCAGAGCAATAATAATCATTTTTAAGGGGGCTCGAGGAGGGGCCAAATCCAAACGAAAATTGCTCTCGGCCCAAAGCCAAGTGCACGGTGAAAAAACCCGGTTTTAATAGACCAAAAACTACCCATTAAAAGTTAAGTGTTTGTGATTTGAATAGGTTAAGAGTTACTAGACTGTTTTTAAGTTAAAAATGTTCGGGAAAAATAAAGTGAAGAATGGTGAAAACATAAATCTATGCTTTGTGCAAATTGCAAACATATAAACTGTTTTACAGATTGCCAATAAATATATCAATCAAGAGTTAAGAGAATGTTATCCATGCACACTATATACTCGTACATTTCCATAAAATCGATCAATTCCGTCAGAACAAATTAGAGCTTTTCTAGGAAAATCAAGCGATTTGAGGCCAAGTGCAACTGCCCAGCCCAGAAATCAACTCGGCAAACTCGGCCAATCCGGCCAACTTGGCTGTGGATTATAGACCATTATCCCCCCCAGAAGCCCGGTTCGGATAGGTCAAGTATATGGACGACAGCCGCGATTTGAACTGCACTTTATGGGCTTTACGAGCGTTGAGTGCCGAGCGTAGCACAGTGTATAAGGCGCAAATAAAATTTGAAAAAAAAAAAAAGGAAAAAAAAACACCGAGCATTCGAGAAGAGAAAAGAGCTCAAAGACAGACACACTCGCATATTTCTAGAGGCTGACCAGAGCATGTTTTCGTTTTTTATACTTTTTATACTTTTTTCCCCCAGTTTTGTATATATTTTCTGTAGTGATTCTTTTTTTTTGTCGTGTCTTTTCTTCGTTTTGCCAGTGGGGCCAACAGGTTCGTTGGAAGTTGGGAAAAAGTCAAACGGCTCAATAATCGAAGACGGCTCAGAGTTTTTGAGTCCGCGACTCCGAACTCCAGCTCTTCGAGTCCGGATAAATGAGGACAACAACAGCGACAACTTTAATGAGGTTATGCCTAGGTGTGAGTGTGTTGGTGTGTGTGTGTGTGTGCCAGCTGGGATAGGCACACTGCGAGAAACAGAGGATGCTTTATTCTATACGATCACTCGCAGAGTTCCAATTCAATTTCGCTTGAACAGAACCAATTAAAAATGGTTTACAGCGTGTCAGTGTAATAAGTGTATAGGAATATTTATGAAGACACCATAGATTCCCCATTTCCGAATTTATTGATACAAAAGTGAGAAGTAAACTTAAGCGGGTAGTAATTGGCTTGCTTATACTTTTGCTATTGTAAATGAAATATATATTATTAATTATTTAATCAAGTCCTTTAATATTCTTTTATAAATCTAAGGGAAATGCAAATTGTTTTCTCTGCATCAAAGCCAACTTAAGTTTTCGTTGCCTTTCAAATGCAATGCCAAAAAAATCAGCAAAATAAAATAAACCCAAAATCAAGCAACGAAAACAGAAATCAAAAACACAAAAATCAAGAAACAAAAAACAAAAAACAGAAAATGTTAAAACCGAAAGAAAGAACAACAAATGGATAGAAATATTTGCTCACCTCTTCCTCCGATTTACTGCCTTGTAATTGCTGTTGACTCTTTAGATGATGTTTGTGTTTTGTTTTTTTTTTGTTTTTTGGTAACTGTTTGCCCGCTTAATGTGGCTGCATTTTTTCATCCGTTGCCGCACAGCAACGAAGCCGAAACAACAAAAAAAAAACAACAAAATCAATTTGCACAATAAAATTGATTTTACAATGTGTAAAATTCCACAAATTATGCACGAAATGCGTTTGATTTCCACTCAGCCACCACACTCGAAAAAAAATATAAGACAAAAGCCAGGAAAAAACCGTTGCACGCCTGCGCTTTTCAAATGTTCCCAGATCGTATCGCGATTTTCATACGCAGCGTTGTCCCTCCGACTCTCCGACTTTCACGTTCCGCCGCTCGAAGCAAACTGAGCGGACGGCGGACCCCCAGAATGGGAGCCCCTCGACGCCGGCTGCGCTGCGACTGCGCCGCGACTGCGATTGCGGTCCGCCGATGACGCCGCCGATCAGTGATGGAGCCCTAGCTTTTTTTTTTTTAATTTATTATTATGAGAGTAATATGCGAGTTGTGAGGTAAATTACCTAAAATGTTAATCTTAAAATATGTGAACCTTTGTGATTATATAACAAAATTTAATGAAATAAGTTAAAACTTTAGTTAAGCATATTTAACAAACACAAAATTTAATCTTCTTCGATTTTGCATTCTCTAAAACCCAGAAAGTTTTAAATTGAATACATTTAAAACTCAGTATTTTTAACATACATTAAATATTTGTTTGCATTTATACATTTTTATTGTCTGGCATAAATAATTAAATTTCTTTTGTTTGTAATATAGAAACATTAAAAACCTAGTTTAAGCTCAGCCCACAAACCTAAGCCAAATCACCACTGATGTCGGCCAAATCCGATTGGCAATCATTGTCGCCGTTCTTTCCGGTTTGCTGGCGTTGCCACAACGCTGCAATTAGGCGGCTCTTTCGGATTTGGATTCCGATTCGGGTCCAGACTGGGATTCATATATATATATATATACATATATATCCGAGGGAACCACAGTCGTTTGACGATGAAGTCAACGTCGCCGCACAGGTTAATTTTCCTCAATTTTGCGGCTTTTTCGCATATAGGTCGAGTCCATTCCTGATGTGCTTAGATACACAAAGAAAAAAAAGGGTATACTACTTTTTAATGATATTTCAATGCAAGTTTTTGTGAGTAAATGTATATGCTTTATTTGTTTCTTATAAAAGTGATCCGAATAATACTCGAACTCTGATGAATCTTTTACTTTCAGCTAATATCTGCAATACACTTTTCACAGAATTTTTTTGCTGTGTACCTTATAGACAAGCAGATAGCTGGCTACCTGTTGCACACACACATTCGGGTAATGGCCGTCCGCAAATTGACCCATAAAATTGTAGCGTTGCTTGGGCCATGATAGATTAGCCGGCCATATATCATTGCAGATACATTATCTGCAAGATACGGCGGCCAAAGGGGGAGTTCGGGGGCTCATCGGCAGTCGAATCCGCGAGTGCATAAATAACCATCAGCGGTTGTGTGTTCCGAGTTGGCTTGGAACACCTCGATCGTGTCGGCTGGTCGGCGATCATGTCTCCGATTTGAATGCCAAGCAGCCGGGAACATCGGCGAACTATCGCTATATCCATCCGATCCGATTCGATCGATTGGCGGCGGCCACAAGGTTATCCCCCCAACCCCCTCCTCCGAATATCATTAGCTTATTGGTCACGATCGGCCCTAGAACAAAACAAACCGTGAAGGAGGAGGAACCATTGGAGAGCTCACGGCTCATTTGGGGAATTGCATAAATCGCTCGCCCAATCATACAATTTCATAATGATCCCATGGAAATTCCTGCCTTTCCACTGCGTATTTTCTATGAGAATTTGCAGCTTTCTAGTTGCAACAATCCCTAATCCTTTACACCTTAAAAATACATTTTTAGGCACACAAGTTTATTTTACAATAATTTCCATTTGAAATATAAATCTCATAAGAACTTCTTTTAGTTCTGGAATATTTCTTTGCATGCATTGAATGTTGGCAAATGATAATTTACTAAAAGATAAAAAACACCTCTAACATAAGCGGTTTGTATTTGCTGGTATTATAATTTTGGCCTGATCTACTTCTGATCCACTTTAATTTCGAATGTCTTGTAGGTGTACTCCTTGATGACCTTCAGGTTCTTGATGATGAACTCCTTGATGGCCTCCACATACTCGGCGGCTGCGAGGATCAGCTTCTTGAAGGCGTCGATGATCTTGCCCTCGCCCTCCAGGTGTCCCTTGAACTTCTCGTCCGAAACCTGGCTGATGAATCCCCGGAGACCCATCACTTTCGCCTGGGCGACGGCGAACAGCTGGAAGGCCTCCTTGGGAACCTTGCCGCGGATCTCAAAGTCACAGCCCATCAACTGATCGGCTTCCCCCTTTTTCCGGCCATTTCGGGCTAATTTACTTGCAAAAAAAAGAAGAAGAAGAGGGAATCCGAGTACTAGTGTGTGTGTGTGTGTAGGTGAGATGGATGTAATTTATTTGCCGCCAAATGCTCAATGAACTTGGCAGCAAAGTCGCAGCCATCGGCGACCCTGACTTTGAACCCCGGGCTCCGATCGTAATTGCCTCCAATTATCGTGTACCATAATCGCCGCAAGAAATCAGCACCAGGTTACATTCCCAGCAGCATTAAAAGTAACGACGCCAAACAAATTAAGACCTCTTAGAGACTCAGCAAAAAATTATTACTAAAAAAAAGAATAGCTAAACAACTACAACAACAGGAAAAAAAATAAGAGGGGGAATGAAGTTCCCACAGCGAATTAAAATATAAACAAAAGTAAATATAAATCACAAGGCGGTTTCAAGTCTTTGGCGGCATGTGCATCTGTATCTTTGTATCTTTGTGTCTGTGTATCGCTGTATCGCTGTATCTCGGCAGCTCCGTATCTTTGCATCCGTATATCTGGCATCCGTATCTAAAAGCGATCTATCTCGACTTTATTCTTCCGCGGCTCTGCCGTCAAAACAGGCACCTCCTTCCGTCTGCCGTCGTCGTTGGTTTTTATAATTTTTTTCACAGAGTTGTCATGCGGATGATAAGAAATAATTAGAAATTAAATAAATTGCTCGATTATAATAAGCTTGTAACACGGCAACAACACAGCAGCGGGAAAGAAAGTTCTCCCCAGCGAAAAGCAACGAACACACAATGCTCTGCACTTCAGACAACATGTATACAACATGGATATTCTCTGTTGCTAAAATATACAAATTCTGTTTAGTATTCCCTGAGCTTTAAGCAACTTCCCCAAGAATCGTAACTTAATTTAAATATACAAGTTATCAGCTTTAAAGTAATTGTATTAAAGTAAGAAGCTGAGAAATCAACATTTTGAAACCATTTATTTTTATCAAAAGTTTTTAAGAGACAATTGGAGTTGAAGCAACACATACAAATAGCCACAAAGTATGTTGATTTTATTTCCTGATTTTGGAATGAATTTTCTTTTGGGACTGTTACACAAATGGAGCTGAGGAGCTGGTGCACTCCAGTTGACCGATCTCTGGAAATGGGAAATGGAAAGTGGAAAGCGGAAAGCGTCGGAGTTGACAACCTTTTGGCGGATTAAAATCGCAATTTGAATCGCAGCAAGAGGGATTTTGCAACAGTTGGCACGTGACGTCAGGCCTGCCACTTTTTTTCTTTTTTTGTATATTTTGTTGTACTTTTTTCGTTCCCAGAAACTCAGCCCTCCGGCAATTATGGCCCATTATCCCGGATTCCGGAGAGCGGGGACCGGGGATCGGGGATCAAGCGCGGGGGGCAATTATGGTGATGTAAGGCATGGGCAGATGTTGTGAGTTTAGCATACTATATAATAACCACAGATAGCTGGCATGTATGTGTGCATATACATGTATATATTTAATGGATTCCTGTAAATAATCTGCGTGCGTATATCTGAGATTAGCTTAGGACACGTATAAAACTATACACAGAGAAAAAAAAAACGCTTGCATATACAATAGATTCTTGGTTTCTACACATGAGTTATTCGAATTGGGGGAATAAAAAAAAGGCATTGGAAGAACGATCTTTACGTCCTGCAGATGCAGAGGGTGTCCAGCAGGAAGACGGCCGCGTTGATGATCATCAGGGATCCGGCTCCGATGGCCTGGCGCTTCCTCTCCGGAGTCGGCGAGAATCCGTGCCACTCGTCGATGACCAAAGCTCCGGAGGCCACAAAGAGCAGGCAGCCAATCAAGGCAATCAGCGCATTGAGCCGCTTCTCCACCAGCGAGTTGATCACGTGTCCTGCAAGGAAGTCAGGCTGATTTTTAGGATCCCCAAATCAATAGTGCCATCAATAATACTTACCGATCAGCAGAACGCCGCAGATGATGGTGAAGCCTCCGATTGTTCCGGCCACGATGATCGGGTACTTGGTCATGTTGCCCACCGTCTCGTACAAAACAATGCAGGCGATAGCGATGGCCTAAAAAGTTGTGAAAAGAAAGGTAATCAACAAAATTATATAGCAATTAATTAGGCTTCTAACACTTAGAACTTTATTTCAATTAAGTACCTCTTTTTCTATGGTTTTTTTTGCTGTAACGTTCCCAAAATCAGACTCACAGGTAAAATTTCAAGAGTTTTGTGCAACTTATTAGAAAAGCTAACAATCCACATCTCTTTCCAACTTATTTAAAAAAAACATGCACAATTTTTTTGTAAGGGCTAGCATCACATTTTTTTTACAAAAAATGGTAAAAAAAAAATGTCCAGTTTTGAATGCCAGCCGATTAGGGTTCTATTTACAAGCTCAACGAGGTATGACAATCCAAATTCGGATAATTTATTTATTTATTTAAAAATAAATAATTAACTTATTTGGACAAAAAATCCACATTTTTTTCGAAAATTCACAAAACAACATTTCTTTTCTGTGTTGAATGCCAATCGATTAGGAGTTTTATTAGGAGTTTAACGAAATAGTACACCATGTATTTGAAACATTTTTTCCGAGATTTAAACAAAAAAAACATAGATTTTCGAGTGTTTTCGGCTTTTATCTAAAATGAGAAATGGTGGTTTCCACTTTAAATGTAGGTTATTTATGAAAATAATTTCATGTTCAAAACATTCTGCATTTTATCTGACAATTGTTTAAGCGTCAATTGTTTTAGAGCCCAGCACAACGAAAATATCTCCCACAAAAATAGCGGCGTTGGCGAGGTTCAAGATGCCGGTGACCAAGAGGACTTCCTTCTCCTTTTCCGATGTGCAGTAATATAGCCACTGGTCCAGGATAACGGTACCCGTGGCCACGAATAGGATAAAGCCGCCGCCCGAGAAGAGAATATCGATGCGTTTGTCGATAAGAGATCCCCCGACATGACCTGAAAAATATCCACCACGTGAAAGGGAACGGAATTCTGGAGTTCCAAGGATGCGGATTTACCTGTTGCCATTATAAAGCAAATGATCAGGTAACCGATCAGGGTTCCAAAGACCACGATGGCCTGTCTGATAATGGTGAGATCCGATATGGTCTCGATCAGCACAATGTTCGTGACGATGAAGACCTGGGATTTAAGGACTCTATACTCAACAAATCAGACAAATGAACAAAATCACAGACGAACAATTTCAGACAAGGAAAAAGTGGCACGCGGACAAATAAATATAAAGTTTAGAGGAAAAAGAATACAGAAAGCGATAGATCTCAGCCAATTTACAAAACAAACTATATCATGGAAAGAACATTCCAATATTTTATCTCCCCCTTGAAACGCAATTAATCACGTTTGCCTAAAACTAAAAGCTCTGCAAAAAAATCAAACTGATTATTTTAACTGCGCCATGTACTTAATGGCTTTTATTTCTGGCCATATGCTTCGTTACTCCGTTCTTTGGTTTTATGTTTTTGTTTTTTGTGTGAGCCAAAAACAACCGGAAGTGTCGTCATTAAAGCCTACGACATATAGGCGCCAAAAACCTTTGAAGTATGGCTAACATAAGACACCAATAATTGCTTATTTCAAATAAAAGAATTCATTAAATATGTTGAAGGTTTTATTTATATTATTATTTAATTAGTTTTACTAATGTTACATATTGATAATTTAAAACCTTTTAAAACATTTCCCGTTATGGGGGTTTCTTAAATGTTCGAAATGTTTTACTTTCCTAACCTAAATCATAAATTCAGAGAGTCACTTGAACTGCCCGTCACATCTTTAGCCAACAGAAGCCACTCCATATATCACCATATAGCGAAAGGCGGCAAAAGCTGCGGAATTAATTGGACAGCCACAAGCCCATTTGCTTATCGAATATGAAAATTATTTCGCTATTGCCGGGCGACCAAAAATGACAGCGACAGATATTGGGCTTTATGGCGATAAGTTGAGGGGCCATCGAGGGCCAATACGCGACAGTGGGCTATCGCTAAGTGCGACACACCCGTTGGCAATCAATCAATTAGCCGACGACCCTGCTAATTGGTTTTCGAGAAACGAGAAATGGGAAACGAGAAACGAGAAAGGAACCTCGCCGCGGGATGCAGACTGAAACCTTGTTGACATTGTAATGCAAGGAGGCCAGGAGCAATAGGTCATTAGGTCATTAGTCTTCCAAAGCGGGGGAGTATTGTAAACAAACGCCATATCCATATCCGTATCCATATCTTAATGCGCTAGCTTTTCCCGTTCATTTGTTTATGGAACGCTGTATACATACATTTCCCTTTCCCCCCGCCATTATCTGTGTCAATAATTACCAAATGTTATTTATACTCATACATATAGTATGTCTATATATATTTCGTGTGCGGCTCCTTTATTGTTTAATTGTCACGCCCAGAAATCGGAGGTGGGAAAATAAGCCCAATAGCGACATCAGCACCCAAATAATCGCGAAATTCGAGGAAGGAAATCTCAATAATGGCGCCTTTATTTGGGGAGTAATGTTCTTTTGTGCCATTTGCTTTGGGAAAATGCTGATCATAACTATTCGTAATGGCTAAGCAGATGGTTTTATGGCTATTAAGATTGTCATAAGGCTAAATCTTAAGTTATTATCATTACAAAATAGCTAAATTTGAAGGCTACTACATATTATTTCATATTAAATTAAAAGAACAGAAGTTTCTTTCAAAATGACAAAACTTGTTGTGTATTCTTTTGTTTCTATACATTTATAAAACTGAAACGAAAAACCCATTAAAAGCTGGTAAACATTTGGACAACTATTTGTCTTTACGGTTTGCAATAACAAAGTAGAATCAACGTTTTCCGCGAATTATCTCAACTATGAAATGAGCTTCCGTATGACTAACACTTGTTTACTTCTGATGGTTCATACAATTTACACATTATATTGCTATTGCCAGCTACAGAAACACCAGTTGATTGGCGAAAATGCCTGGGGAAAGCCCAGGCCACGCCCCCAAAAAGCCAGAACGTCGAGTTGTTGGCCAAAAATAGTCACCGTTTGACAGAAATGAAGCCAAAAACCCATTTCGCGTGAAGCTCCGGCAAAGCCGTAGATCAATTTTATTTTCAATTGATATCGTTAGTATGGGCCATTCATTATCCGGCCACCTGACGTGCCATTGACTTTTGGCCAAGAGGCGGGGGGAGTGGCGGAAAGCAAAAAACAAAAAAATAAAGAAAAAGGCGGGCAAGCCGCGCACAAATCAATTAAACAAATTTTCAGAAAAACGGTGGATAGAAAAAAAAACAACAAAAACAAAATAAACAGTGAATGCGCCATCCCGATTTGCAGTTAAAGCATTTATTAGCCCGTAAAAATATTTACGAGCCAGTTGCCAGTTGCCAGTGGCCAGAATTCGGCGAGGGGGAAAACATCGAAGGCGAACACAATAGGCCGCGTTGTTATCTCCCGACAGTTCTAGGCGGTTCACCCACCCAGGAGACAAATATTTGACCAGTATTATTTGCCCATTTGCCCATTGGGTTCTCACTCCTGCCAAGAATAGTTTAAGGCCAGGAAAAAATAACAGCGGTTGGCCAGATAATCAAGGAACAGCCAGAGCCCAATTAGCCATTCCAAAGGCGATATTCATTGTTTACTCAATGCAACCGACCGACCTTTTTCGGCCGGAGCACATGGCGTATGCGTAATGCGTGCCAGATTTTCAGCTTTTGTTTTGGCCATGTGCACGATGATGTCATCGCTGATAGCCGATGATCTTGGCTGCACCGGAAAAAAAAGCGTCTCCTTCGACCGGATGTTCAATACATTATGTTTTGATTTTTTTTTTTTTTTTTGAGTTCCTCGAAAATATTTTCTAACCCTCCTTTCTTGTCTCTCGGCTTCTCAAGTTAATTTATGGATTTTTTTTTATATTATTATATAAACAAAGTATTTTAATTGTACTTTAACTGTGCACATTTGGTTTTTGGAAAATGCCCACTTTAATTCAAATAAATTCAGTGAAATTAGTTCAAAATGTATTCATATTTTCTACAGTGTACCTATTTTCCTAATGTTGATTAGTAAGTGCAATCGGCGAACGTGATTGCACGCCTGGCCCATAAAGAAGGTGTGTTCGGATCGGATTCGGATTCCGATCGGGTCGGATCAAACGGACAGACCTGATCCGCATCAAAATAAGTTGTGTTGAGTGCCAGGAAAGTGGGTCGCATTGCAGCGATGTTGTCATCGCGAAAAGGCGCAGCTGACTCATTTCCCGGGAGCCGGGGTTCAAGATAGATCGAATGCCTAATATATTATAAAAATAATATTAATGGAGACTATATTGTACAAATACATATGTGAAGAAAACACACTCCTATCAATTCGAGTGCAACTTGTAAACGATGTTGATGCGGGGATTCGTGATAAGAAATACAGCTCATATAAATAAAAGAGAAAATATTTACAGTCTTTACGAATTTTCGACTGAGCTTCTTTGACTGATCGCTGTGCTGATAAATTTGTAAAATAAACAAGCTCGCCTTAAACCAGATGTCTCAGCAGTGCAAATAAATATTTGTTGCATATAAACATCTGCTTCCAATAACCGATTTTAACAGATTTTAACAGATTTTATCATCCACATTATTCTGAATATACTGCAAAAACCTTAAATGGCATTTAAACCCGTATATATTTTCTGCCTATCAATTTGTTAAACAAAAAGTGCTGTCGGTCAATAACTGATTAAACGTGGAGACAGAAAGACAGCCTTATAGATAATAATTAATTATGACAAATCGATTGATATCTTGTAGACATCATGTGAAGCTTTCCTTGACTCGTTGCAAAATGACGATGTACTCTATATGTTTCAGCTTTATCTGTTGATTAGCTCTCTTTCAAGCTCGCAGAATCGCTGCAATGATGTCATATCAAGCTTGGACCAAAAATAAACCTTGGCTTATATACGCTTAATTAAGGCGCAACAAAATATTAAATTGACAACAAACATATAAATATATCTTCAAAATAAGCCGCCAAGCCCGGGACTTGCAATTTTCAAAGTACAACTGACTTTTGCAATTTGCCAAGCAATTACCTTTAGTAAAACACACCTGAAAATTGGAAAAAAGTAAAAAAAAAAAAAAAGAGGAAATTTGCAAAGCAAAACGCTATTGAAAAGAATGATCTAATGTCGGCATCAAGTTCGGCTATTGTTGCTTTTTTTTAGCACGCAAATAAATGCGGCTGGGAACCCCGAAAAATAAAAGAATTCTAGGGAGGGGAGGTCATGACATCATTGAGTCGAGAGCACGCATTAATCCAAGACCTACGCACCCAATAAATTCAGAAAAAAGAGTAACCGAGTCTATGAAGTCATAGTTGTTCTGTTGTGATCCCAAGATCCGGTTACTCTTTTCATCTTTTTTTCAAGACCTGGACAAAAGACAACAACAACAGAAATTCTAGAGACGCAACAGGAAATTGATTAATTTTAGGGAAGGAGAAGAGCAGACGCTTACAAAAAAATAAAGGAAAACATTGTATACAGTCAGCATTTTTAATTCGCATCTGCAGCTGCCACAAAGAAAATTTGAACTTGATTCCATGAGGCAAACCTTTGTTTCTACTTTTTTTAAACCATTATTTTCTACAGGGATTTTAAATTTTAAAATTGAATCTTGTTAAGAATCATTATTCAAAAGGATCAGATTTACCAATTTAAATATTTTTGTATTTATAATTTTACTGCACATAAAACGAAAGAAAAATATTAATTCTTACTTTAATGTTTATCTTTTAAAACTCTAAATAAAATGTAACTGAAAAAAGTTACTCTTAATGATTTTTATCCGCTTCATTGTTTATTATTTGTTTTTTTCTGAGATAGTTAAAAAACTAATCCTAAATTCCAGCTGCTCTAGACTTTTATTAAATGTACTTAATATTTAAGCACATTTGAAGTTGAAAGATGATTTTTTAATTCAATTACTTACCAGCTCAATTATTTTCAGCAACAGGCGATTGTTGAATTCCATGGTGCTCGATTGAGATTTCGCTTTCGTTGGACTTAATTTGATGGGATCGAATCGGATCGGATCGGATAGATAATACGGTGGATTCCTGGTGCGTGTTGATTCCACGGAGAGCGCAAGTGAACAGTCGTCGGCGTTCGCGTTCAAACTATGGTGGAATATCTATAAGGTGGTCGGAACGGAGTGCGAGTGAAACCGGAATAGAGTGTGTGGCATTAGTCAATCACCCCACCATTGGTTGTTGTCTGTGAATGTTAGTCAAACTCTTCCGCTAGAGGCGCTTTTTCAACCTGGTTAAATAAGTTAACATAATTTGTAAAATTAATAATAAAGGCAGCTACCTATTGTATTGGTTTTTTTCAGGTTTTTTTTTGCTTTGTTTCATTATATCTTTAAACAAGTTTTTTATATATTATATTAAATGTTTATCTTAATTATTTACAACACTCTTCAAACTAAAATCGACTAACTATATATAGCGTAGAGGCTTGACTTAGGAAGTATGTAAAAAAAGCAAGAATCCTATCTTAAGTTTTAACCAACTACGGAGGCGCCCACATAGGCCAGGGCGCGCTCCGCCTCAAAGGCGGGAACGTATTGGGGCTCCAGGGTGGTGAGGGCCCGCTGGGCAAGTAGCGAGATGTTTTTCGTCTCACCGTGATCCCGCTCGAAGGTGAGGTACTCCACCCAAACGCGCGGTTCCGTTTTGCCGAAATAGCACGCCATGAAGTCGTAGCACATGCGCCAGTACTTTAAACTAGCTTGATCCTGCAGAAGAAAAATAATGAAGTGTGATTATCGGTTTGTAAACAAGTTGAAAGAAAGCAACTCACGCGAACTGCCACACTGGACTCTAGCTGGACCATCTGGCGGTGCAGCCCCAGTGACATCGGTGGCTGGATGGCCAGCTTGGCGTACTCCTTGCGCGCCTCATCCATGGATCGCTCCTGCCACAGATAGCGCAGGTAATCAGAGCGCAGCTCAGCAAACTCTGGAAAAGCAGACTTGCAGGCGAGGCCGTAGATCTCGTCCAGCCGACGTGCACCCAAGCTGTCCTGCCGCGTGCGATAATACAGAATGACATTCCGCCACAACGGCAGCGCTTCACTACCCATGCTCTTCTGAATCTTGTTAAATAGCTCGTAGATCAACGGCTCACTCTCGCTCTGAATGTGCGTGGCCAACAGGAGTTCGTACATCTCTACGGAGGAATCGTTCTTCAGGGCCTCTGTAAGTATGGTGACAGCTGCCTCTCTTCCTGTGGGCGCAGTGCAGAGCATCTTCCTCAGGATGGAATAGTGCCGCACACCCATCATTTGTGAACGATGGCCCGCCTGGAGAGCATCCGCCAGGCACTGCTGCTTGAGTATTCGCTCCGTTTTTCCATCGGTATTCAGCGCCAGCATGGCATCCAAGTACAGGTTCCACATCTCCTGCGTTTGCAGCTCCTCCACGGCGGATTTATAGACCGTGACGCAAAGCTGAATGCGCCGCTTTAGAGAGCGGGCATTGACTGAACGAGATTTTTTGCTGGCCGGCTCCTCGTCACTGGTATCCAGCTCCTCCTCCTCCAAGTCGCCCAGGTGAAAGCCGCGCAGCTCGCGCTGGGCAAGCAAGTCCCACAGACCGGGCTCCCTTGGAAACTTCTCCTGCATATCGTCGATTATCATGCGCTGCAACTTGCCCGTCAGCTCCTGATGATCCTCACAGGTCTCTAGGAGCTTTACGAAGTAGTCCAGCTTAGTGATGTTAGCCATGCTATTGCGGTAGACTGCCTCCACGCGTTCCAATTTAATATCCTGTTCGGAGAGCGTGTTCTCGGCCAGATTACGCTCATCGCTAGCCAGGGCAGCCTCTTTGAGCATTATATCGAAAAAGCACTTGTTGAGTGTCACAGAATCTGGATGACGCTGCAAGCCGCGCAGGAGGATGTCCTTGACGCGGTCGATATTCAGCCGGTTGAACTCGTACAGCCACAAAGCGGCGTCCACCCAATAGTCCGCCACATCGCCATGGTACTGTAGTTGGGTAAGGAATTGCACATGATTAAAATCTGTGAAAGTGAGCAGACCGGCGAATACCCACCAGCAGCATCTTTTCATAGATGCCAGCCACCTCGACGGGATTAGACTTTTTGCTGAACTTGATCCAGTTGCTCCATAGCCTTTTATCGTGGTTGAACTTGCCGAGAGCCTCTCTGTATAGGCGCATGATCCGAATGGAAATAGAGTTCTTTAGGCCGGTCAACTTAACGTGCATCTTCTTCTCCTTTTCCACAATCGTTGTGTGCATTTGCTTCTCGTAAAGAATGAACTCCAGATAATCGGTGATGGTCTGGTGACTCTTGTTGATCTTAAGAAACAGACGTTCGCGCCGACCAACGATTTCTCTGCAAGATTTAGGAATGAAAGGAGTGCAATCTTTAAAATTTTGTGTGGAACTACCTGACTTGATCTGCCGTGAATACGTTGTAGTTCTTCATCTGCTCATACTCCGGCAGCAGGCGCTCCTGCATCTCAGCTATAAACTCGCCCATTTTTGCTTAGTTTTTACAAATAAGGTTTTAATTATATTGTTTATTTCTTTGTAAGCGAGCGCACGTGCAGCACAACGGCCCGTTATCGATAATAGGGCCGATGACTATCGGTATCAGCTAGGGATGGCAAACAGCTGTAGTCAATCAAAAAAAGTATAAATCTAATTGACACAATACAATTCAAATTTTACAGCATAAATTGTACAATTTGAAGTGAACTGACGTCCGAACGGTAAGCATGGAAAATTGAATATAACGATTTTCAGCATTTTAACCTTTTATTCACCTGCGCAATGCACCTGACTTTGTTGTGTTCTTTGCCGATAGTCTGCAATCAAGGAGTTGTGCATCTCTGTGAGCATCTTATTCTTCTTCTTCTTATATAGTTAAGAATTGCACGTCTAAATTTAATAAGACGCCAAGGAAATTAAACAGACATTTCAAATAACAAATAATCAAAAACATGGCCGAATTCTCAGTGGAACGTGTGGAGGATAAGCGAATGGTAAATGGGCGCGCGGAGTACTATCTAAAATGGAAGGGCTATCCACGCAGCGAAAATACTTGGGAGCCGGTTGAGAATCTCGACTGTCCCAATTTGATTGCGAACTTCGAGGAGTCGCTAAAGAACAACAAAAAAGGAGGCCAAAAAGCGCCCGTCCACATCCTCCGCACCGGATTCGATTCGCGGCAAGCGAAAGAGCTTTCTGGAGGACGACAACGAGGAGCAGAAGAAGCTGATCGGCTTTGAGCGCGGTTTGGAGCCCTCGAAAATTCTAGGCGCCACCGATGCGTCGGGCCATCTAGTGTTCCTGATGAAGTGGAAGGGCAGCGACCACGCGGACCTGGTGCCCGCCAAGCTAGCCAACATCCGCTGTCCCCAGGTTGTCATCCAATTCTACGAGGAGCGCCTCACCTGGCACACGGGCTGTGGCAACGGGAACAACGATAACTCCGGCAATATGGGCTCCTCCGGCGGCATGGGCTCTAGCAGTGCCGCCGGAGACGATACAGCTCCAGGCAGCGTAGGCACTACCGGCGGCGGCAGCAATGCCGATGGCGGGGACGATGATGAACAGGAGCAGGAAGCAGAACCGGCCAGTCCAAACGGCAGCATCAACCAGGACGAGAACGCCAAACCTGAGGAGAGCAGCGAGCTGGACAACAACGGCCAGCCGGATGCTGATGACTAATAGGGAGGATTTAGCAGCTTTTGTAGATGCGTACAGGACACATCTACAAAACCATACGATATATACATATATGGTAGCGTAGCTCTTGAGTTAACAGTATATTTTACTGACGTTCTGGCGGAAAACCGCATTAGAATATAAGTTTTTTTTTTCTGTTTTATAAAACGCAGTGTAAAATACAATTGTCCTGGCGTACATGTTCCGTACGTGTACATACATATGTTAAAAAAAGGACGAAACCGAGAAGCGGCCAAGGGATCTTGGGATCCTGACTAAGCCGAAAAACATGTTTTGACCACTGTAAAATAATAAAATTTAAATATTTTAAACAGAAATTAAAAATATATTCCTGTTGAAGTAAAAGACGCCATCTGTGGTGCACGCCTGGCTACCTTTTTTCTAGGATTTCTGATTATATGAATGTGAGGTTATTTATCCTTAATTCACCCTTAATTTAAATCTCATTAAACAATAATGAAAAATGTAACATTTTGTAAATGGTTAATATACAAATTTATGTATCTAAAAATAAAAAGTAATTATACTCAAACTAAAAAGCTTAAAAACCCCGTCAACTTATCAGTTTTTTTTTTACTCACCCCTGTATTATCGATAACAGTCAGCACTCAAAACGACTTCGATAGGCGCCGGCAAAGTGTAAAACAAACATTCTTCAATTGAATAGAATATTTGATGCGAGCGAATCCTAGCGTTAAAAGATGGCCCAAACGAGCTCCATGAAGCTGCTGGGCGCCCGAAACATGTCCTGTATTGTGGAGCGCATGGAGTGGAACAACAAGATGGATCTGATTGCCTATGGAACGGAGAAGGGTAAGCATTTGCCGCAGCAAATTTGAAATAAAGAAAGATTTACATATGTATATTTTTTGATCAGGCGAGGTGGTTATCCAGCGGCTGAACTGGCAGAAGATCGTCACCTTTCCCACGCCTGGCGAGGATGTGCGGGTGCGCTCCCTCAGCTGGCAAATGGACGAAACCCTTCTGGCCGTGGGCTACAGCAATGGAAAGGTGGCGCTTCTAGACGCCGAAAGCGAGACTATTATTTCCGGCCTGATCTACGAGGACGACATCAAGAAGGTCTACTTCAGCAAGGCCATTAACTCGAAGGAAAGCCTTGACACCTATACCTGCAATGCAAAGGACAAGCACCGCAGGTTCCTGCCTAAACTGCAGACACTGACCAACATCGATCCCTGCCTAAAAACATTGGACCAGAAATCCTTTCCCAAGGGATCGCCATGCTTTCTGGTGGTAATAATGCGCAGCGGGAAAGTGCACCTACTGCTCCTCGGCGCCCTGCAGGCGGGAAGCATTGATCTCACACAGCACATCCTGCATCCGGAGCAGTTCGACGTGTACGATGTGCGACTGAACGGGGACTTTAATGCCATTTACGCTCTGTTGCGAGACGGACAAGAGCTCAAGATGCTGCACTTTCACAATCAGGTGCTGCAAGAGTGCATGGCACCCATGCTGGAACTGGCAACCCATTGTGCCCACATTTTGGAAACCAAGAAGTATTAATATGCCTCAATATTTTGAATGTTTATTAATTTTCTTTATATATTTGGCACAGCTATATAAATGACACACAGCAATGCTTGACGGAGGCCTGGGAAACCGTTCAGCTGGAGATGGACAACAAGCTGACCAAGTACGCTAATTCCCAGCCCTACGGACTGATATCCGCCCACTTTCTGGAGCTGCACGTCTTCGGGTTCGCTACCTTTGAGGTAGAGGAGTTTTTGTTCGAGTGAGTGGTGTGCTTATCGGTCGAGCGGCATGCTAATAAGTCCAACTATTTCTAGAACTCTGTCCGAGAAGGGTTTTAAGAAGATTTCGAACTCTGTGGACCTTAGTTTGAGCAACCTGCAAAGTCTGGTGTTTAAGCAACTAAACGGATCGGCCGTCAATATGTTTTATTTCCTCAACACGATCGCCGGATTCGGACGCATGTCGCACTTCTTTGAGGTCGGTTGCTGGTGATTCTTTGTTAAACGTGTAAAGCATCTTCAACTTGTTTTTCAGTCTCTAATTTCTCCAGATGTGGCCAATGAGGCGATGCGAGCCTGCGGAGCTTTTGTTCTCAAGGTCCACGAACTGCAGCGAACGATTGACACTTTGGTGTACGACATGAAGCTCTTTCACGCGTGGATGATATTCACAATACTCCGTTTGTCCCATCAAGAGATTCCCGATGACCTTGTGCTTACCGAGGAGGAGAACATTGCCATGGCGGACTTTCTGTGCGCCATGGAACCAGAAATGGAGGAACGAAGTGATGACGAGGAGGAAATGGACCCGCTAGCTGCCACGCCGCCACCGGCTCGCAGCAAATTCAACCTGGAGCGAGTAGGCCAGTATCTGGACAATGCATACTTGACTCAACCGTATCCCAAGGATCCCACTCAGCTGTGGGAAGAGATGGTGGCCGAGAACGAATGCCTGAGCCACTGCAAACTGTTTGTGCCGCACGACAAGAATCTGTCCCTTGTGCAGCAGCGCGACAAGATGTTCAATGCCATCGATGCGGTGTTCCACAAACCAACGGAGAGCATAAGCGGTAGTTTCAAGCTCTCCTCGGCGGTCATATGCGGCGATCTACCACCCATGGAGCCCGGTGAGGGTCTGAAGGATCGAGAGTTCGTGACCTGCAGCTATTATGTCAACGAAGTATCCAAAAGTGATATGTTGGCGTGCACCATCAGCTGGCAGGAGGCCATGATCCTGGAGGTTAGCCGAGCGGGGGATTGTCTGGTGCGCTGCACACGAATACAACTACAACCGGGGATGTTCACGCCGTCCGTTCACGAGGATTACTACAACCTGATCTTTGTCGATTTACAGTTCTACAACGAATCCTCGCTTTCGATGCTGGCCCAGAGTACGCAATCAATGCCAGGCAGTCGTCCACATAGCTACTTTATACAATTTTCACTCAGTGCGGCAAGAAATCAATGCACCCAGCACCAAATGGGTCCACTGGTAAAACTAAAGGACGCCACTGTGACGCATAGCATCCATGACATTCTCGATAGCGCCACCTTTAAAGGATTGGACGGAGTTTGCGAGATGCTAGCTGTCTCGGGTAGCCGAAAGGTGGCCACCGTACTCTCCGATCGCAAACGCAAGATGACCATTTTTGAGATGGAAATCGAGGAGGAGGAAGACGATACCGAAATGTCGCAGGCCTCGTTTCTGGAAATTAGCAAGGAGTCTGTGCTCGCGGGCGTTGCAGATTCTGAAAAACCAGATGCGTAGTTAATTCTGTTTTTTGCTTGAAATAAGACAGAAATTCAAATTCATTGAAACGGATAAAAGAGTGATAAATTAAAAATTACATTTTAAATTATTCGTATAATTAAATAATATAATTACATATTTCTATGGAAACAATGGCTAATTATATGTAGACTTCTCTATTCTATTTTGTTGAGAATAAACCCCTCTTTATTTAAAAACTAAGTTTTCTACATTTTTGAATTCGATGTGTTGATAGGCGATACACCTTTCTGCCTCTAAAAAACTCTAGCCAACTTATCGATAAAATACCAAGCTGTAGCCTTAAAAAAGCAACGCGAACTTCCATCCCTAATAGCGTGGATCTGGTCCCCACGAGAACCCAAAATAATATGCAGAAAATTAAAAAGAAAACAAAACCAAAACCCAAACCTGTTCCGATGGAAGTGGAGGAGAGTGAACCGGAAGACACGCCCTCAAATGAACCACAACCGGAGGAAAAGGACCCCGAGGATCCGAATGCCTCCGACGACGACGATGAAATGGACCTGGCTAACTTTAAAGTCAGCTCCAGTTCATCCGCTCCCACAAAGAAACGCAAAAAGGGTATAATTTACATATCCAATATTCCCAAGCACATGAATGTGACGCGCCTGCGGGAAATCCTAGGCGAGTACGGAACCATAGGAAGGGTTTATCTGCAGCCGGAGAAACTGTCTAGTGAGTTTCACAAACGAAAAGTTAGTTTCTGAATTTAATACGAACCTATTCTCTCAGGTGCCAAGGCCAAGAAAAACAAACGGAAGCATTACAATATCCACTTTACTGAGGGCTGGGTAGAGTTTGAATCAAAGCGTGTGGCCAAGCAGATCGTTCCCCTGCTGAACAACAAACAAATCTCCACGAGGAAGAAGTCGCAGTTCTTCGACTCATTGTGGAGCATGAAGTACCTGCCTAGATTCAAATGGGTGCACCTTACCGAGCGCATGAACTACGAGCAGGCGGTACACAAGCAACGCCTTCACACGGAGGTCTCACAGGCCCGCAAAGAGACCACCTTCTTCCAGAACAACCTCGATAAGAGCGAGTTCCTCAAAAAGCAAGCGAAGAAGGCCAAAAAAGCCGAAAGGAGCCAGGCCGCCAAGGCTGAGACTGAGGCTTGAGTCCTCGTTAGACTGTTGTATCTTTGTTTACCTGATGAGAAATATATTTTAATTAAGCATATTCTTTACAAGTCAAATTCTTATCGTTTTTTTAACCAACAATGTATTTTAAAGTTTCCGCTCCTTAGAGTATCGATAATTATCAAAAAAAATCCGGCTCAAAAAAAATAAATTCCAGCTATTTTTTTTAGTATATTGCTCGATAACAACTATTTGGTAAGTTCTTCGATTCAGAAAAATCAAACGCCTTTTTACGACTCGGTCACACTGCATTCCACCATTTTCTTTGTCGCTTTGTTGCGCCCGTGTGGTATTCGAAAATTCTGTGATCAAAAACCGACTAATTACACATAGAAAATGGTAAATTTTAAACGAACAACTAAGCATTTCGTATGGTTTTCGGTGCGGTCGAGCGGCGCCGAGTGAATTCGGGGAGTTTTCATTGATAATTCCGGTCAATTCGGCGTTTTCATTTGCCGGGTGTGTGACTCGCAAGCCATTTTGACAGGCGGCTTTGCACGTGAGCTATGGATTCCCGATTTGGAATCCAATTCCAGAAAGTTCTTCTCCTGACCACGGGATCTAAAGAATCCAGAGCTGCATTTCTATTTTTGGGCACAATTGGATCGACTAGCTAACGCAGAACCTTCCAGATGCATTGCACGCTGGTTCTGCGGCCGATGAATCACTTTGTGCCGCTCTCTCGCCTTCCATTTTTTGGGGGTTAGGTCGAGCCGATATGGCTGCACGGAGAGAAAATCATAACAACATATATATATTCCATATCTTTTCGATCCTAAAACCCCATCTGGTTTGCAGCTGTTATACGTTTTTTTTTTCAATTCTGTGTGCCATAGTGATCATAAATCAAAGCCATATGCATTTGACAATACAATTATTATCTGTTAAAATTAAAGTGCCCTATTGACATTCAGTTAAAAGTGTTTTAAGCACTAACAGATATTATTTCCGAAATAAACAAATAAACACACAATTATCTTCCAAGATATTTTATTTGATCTAAAAACATCGAAGAAATTTCTAACGCGACATGACAGGTTTTTATGACTAAATGTCTTGACTCTGTGACTAAGTATTATTGAATTTATAAGTGTAAGGGTTCTTTTAGAGGCAAACTCTTGAGACAACCTTAAAATAAAGCTAGTGATCTATCCTGAACTCACGAATTACTCCAATTTGTCTTGCAGGAGATGTCCTTGAATCCCGTGCGCGTGCTCAAGAATGAGGCGCAGGAGGAGAAGGCCGAGATGGCCCGCTTGTCCTCGTTCATTGGCGCCATCGCCATTGGGGATCTGGTGAAGAGCACTCTGGGCCCCAAGGGCATGGACAAGATCCTGGTGGCCACCGGTCGCAATGCCGGCCAAGTGGAGGTGACCAACGATGGTGCCACCATTCTGCGTGCCGTCGGTGTCGACAATCCGGCCGCCAAGATTCTAGTCGATATGTCGCGTGTCCAGGACGAGGAAGTCGGCGATGGCACCACCTCGGTCACCGTTTTGGCCTCAGAATTGCTGCGCGAAGCGGAGAAACTAGTCGAGCAGAAGCTGCACCCACAGATCATCGTCTCTGGATGGCGTCAGGCCACCCAGGTTGCTCTGGAGGCGCTCACCGCTGCTGCCCAGGACAATTCGTCTAGCAACGAGAAGTTCCGCAACGATCTGTTGAACATTGCCCGCACCACGCTCTCCTCGAAGATCCTGCACCAGCACAAGGACTTCTTCGCCAATCTGGCGGTGGATGCCGTTCTGCGTCTGAAGGGCTCCGGCGAGCTCAAGTCCATACAGATCATCAAGAAGTCGGGCGGCACTCTGGGTGACTCCTTCCTCGACGAGGGCTTCCTGCTGGACAAGAAGCCCGGTGTGCACCAGCCGCAGCGTGTAAGTGTTGCCTTCGTTTCGTTCGGTTAACAGTGATCCATCATCTGCTGTCTTTCAAAGCGTCAAGATGACTGTGAGCTATGTGGATTTGACTTCATATCACAGCCATTTTGACGAGTTTGGCGGACAGCCTCAGCATCGAGGACTCTTTGAGGGGGTCCGAATGAAATTTAATTCGTGCCCGATCATCAGATCAAGCTAATTATTGGCTTTTCCCCCCGCACAGATTGAGAATGCCAAGATCCTGATTGCCAACACGCCCATGGACACCGACAAGATCAAGGTGTTCGGCAGCAGCATCAAGGTCGATTCGCTGGCCAAGATCGCCGACTTGGAGATGGCCGAGAAGGAGAAGATGAAGGAAAAGGTGGACAAGATCCTGAAGCACCAGTGCAACGTGTTCATCAACCGCCAGCTGATCTACAACTATCCGGAGCAGCTGTTCGCCGATGCCCAGGTCATGTCCATCGAGCATGCCGATTTCGATGGCATCGAGCGTCTGGCCTACTGCACCGGCGGCGAGATTGTCTCCACCTTCGAGAATCCCTCGCTGGTGAAGCTGGGCGAGTGCGATCTGATCGAGCAGGTGATGATCGGCGAGGATACGCTGCTGCGCTTCAGCGGCGTCAAGCTGGGCGAGGCCTGCACCATCGTGATCCGCGGTGCCACCCAACAGATTCTGGACGAGGCTGATCGTTCGCTGCATGACGCCCTCTGCGTACTGGCAGCCACTGTCAAGGAGTCGCGCATCATCTTCGGTGGCGGCTGCTCGGAGGCCCTGATGGCCAACGCCGTGCTAAAGAAGGCCGCCGAGACACCCGGCAAGGAGGCTATCGCCATCGAGGCTTTTGCTCGTGAGTTTGGATTATGAGCTGCCCTGAACTGGGAATGCGAACTGAACATGTTTTTATTACAGGTGCCCTGCTGTCTCTGCCCACGGCAATTGCCGACAACGCCGGCTACGATTCCGCCCAGCTGATCTCGGAACTGCGCGCAGCCCACGCCCAGGGTAAACAGACTCTGGGTCTGGACATGGAGCTCGGCAAGGTGGCCGATGTGCGCGAGCTTGGCATCACCGAGTCCTTCGCCGTCAAGCGCCAGGTGCTGATGTCCGCCTCCGAGGCTGCCGAGATGATCCTGCGCGTGGACAACATCATCCGGTGCGCTCCGCGCCGACGCGTTCCCGACAGGGGCTACTGCTAGGCGTGCTTAAGTATTCTTGTTCTAGGATCCTATTTTTTTTATTTACGAACCTCTCGTTTAACATCATCGCTAATCTTACACGTTTTGTTTACACTAATAACCAACACACCCCACACATTAGCATTTATATTACACTCCCCACTCGGACGGAATCGCACACTTTCTCGCTAAATTTGTCTTTCGTGTAATTCTTTCACCTAATTGTTAAACAAATTGATATGTTGCAAGCCGAGCTTTCGATTCGATGAGTGGATAAGGGCGATCAAACAAAAACAAAAACAAAAAACATTTCAAAAATGTCTAAAACTTCATCAAACCAACAAATAAACAAACTTGTAAATGAATACAATTTTTGTAAACATTTGATGTGCGCAAATTGATGACCGACCATTAAACAGCAAAGAAAAAATGGAAATAAATGATAATATATTTATGCTTAACAAAACTAAACGGAATCTGTTTCTTTTTATTTATAACAATGGCGTTTTTCAATCTCCCAGGAAAACACTCAATTAAACATTGCAAACACATTTTTATTGTAAATCTTGCTGCGCGTTCAACTTTACAATTCAAACGTATAATATAAAATAGGGTCATTAAAAATACAAAAGTTAAAACAATCAAAAGTGTTGTCGCTATAAAGCAGCCGCACGTACGGAAAACAAATCTGTAGCGAGCAGCGCGAATTGGATTCCTAAATGTGTATGGGTTTGGGTTTGGGTTGGGATTGGCGTTTTGGAGTATCTTGTTCCAGGGTGTCTACACACATAAGTGGGCTAATACCATACTGAACTGGCCCGATTTGGAAAGGTTTATCTTTTTTTGTGGTCAGAACTAAACAAACATGATAACAAGGTTTTTCTTTTGTTGGAGAGAGTTCGGTCAAAAGAATATATATATATATATATACAGGTGCCCTCTGACTTCAATATTCGTTGGACTTGGGTCAGAGGGAGAAAAAAAAAACAGAACGGCAGGATCGAGAGAGAGACGGGGAGAGGGCGCTGAAGTGCGAGTGAGCGAGAACGATAACGGACGTATCCAGAGTTGCAGAGATTGGCATTTATTAAGTGAACTCCAGCCGCTTCAGGAGATGGCGCACTCCATCTCGCCGTGCTTGGGCACACAGTCCAGGACGAGGGCCACCGCCCGGGACATGTAGGTCATGGTTCCGTAACTGCCGCTAGGAGCACTAAAAAGTGGTAAAAAAAAAAAACCATTAGTTGAATAAAAATGTATAGGACTTGTGATCCTTACCTATCGTAGAGGTGCTGACAGATGTAGGCGGCTCCGCCGCAGAGAAGCATTCCCGAGGCGGCCTGCTGCTGCTCCTTGCCGTCCTTGATTTTGGCGCAGCACAACGTGGCGTCGCCCTGCACCTTGCGCTGGTCCTCGAGGAAGAGCTGGTTGGCCTTGTGCACCAGATGCTCGACGTAGATAATGCCACCCAGAGTGGGCACCATATTGTGCTCCGTGACGAGGGTGAGCACCATGAGGGCCTCCACCACCAGTTGCCTGTACTCCGGTTGTGGTATCTGATTGAGGGCTGTCTCCACTTCAAGGGCGAACTTCAGTTCGCCCGGCGTCATCTCCTGCGTGAGACTCTGCTGCAGGACACGTCCCTCGATGGCCAGACCCTGGCACTTCTCCAAAACGGTCCACACACGCGAATAGAAGTCGCGGGGCACCCGATTCAGGGCTCCATCCAGTCGCCGGCGACGCAGCCACTGACCCTGCCGGTCGTCAATGGTGGCTATCAGGGCGTCCTCGCCCTCCGGATCGCCCAGACCAATCTGGCTCTTCTTGCTGACGCGACTGCTCTTGCAGCTCACAATAGACAGATTGCCACGAGCGACTTAAATATCAAATGGCATACATATTTAAATCTGGATCTTCAGGAGACTTTAAGAGCTACTTACCGCTGCTGACGGCAAACTCCTTGCCGCTGAGGATGTGGTACAGGAGATTCTTCATCTCGAAGGGCGAGAGGTTAAGTAAATGCTCCGACGCCGCCTCGCCGTCGCAGTTGAGGGTGCGCGACAGCTCCTTGGCCATCACCTGGATGATCAGGCCCACGCGCAGGCGCAGCATCTCGTGGAACAGCTGCGGCTCGGTGCGAATGAACATGGCCAGGTAGACCATCAGCTCCTGCGTCAGCATCGCCGTGCTCTCATCGTCGCCGTAGGCCTGTTTACGAAAATATTGAGATCATTATTATTATTACTCTTCCTAAAGTGTCAACTGATTTTTTACTCACATCGTGGATGAGCTGGCGCAGCTCGACTTCCGGCAGCGGTGCCGTGATCGTGTGCTCGTTGTTCGGCGGCATTCCCACGGTGACCTGCTTTTGGCGCACGAGCAGATCGGTGACCGCCTTGGCCAGGTCCTCGACCCGCTTACCCAGCATCCCGGCGGTGTGGCGGACGAGTCCCCAGAGCTTCTGCTGGCAGGCCTTCTCGTAGAGTCCCTTCAGCAGGTCCCGAACGGTCACCACGCGTCCCTCCTCGAGCATGCCTTCGGATTGGGAAGAATCGTGGTTATTCTCTTGTGGGCTCATGTTGTTCTGGTTGCTGATGTTGCTGCTGCCGCCGCTGCTAATGTTGCTCGCGCTCGTGTCATTCGTGTTGCCGATGCAGGGCACGTTGCTGTTGGCGATGGCGATGGCGGTGGAGGAACTCAGATTGGCATTATCCAAATCGCCGGCTGGAATTGTAGCGGCATCGATGATCACCGTGGGCAAAACAATCGCTGGGCTCTTCTTAACCCCGTCACCAGATCCACCAGATCCACCTGCTCCAGCTGCCCCTCCTCCTGCACCTCCTGCACCACCTGCACCACCACCAGCCAGTTCCAGCACCACCTCATCCACGAACGCTTGCTCGAGCTCTTTGGTTTTTTTATTCGGTTTTCGTTATGGGTTAGTCGGGTTAGGATTCGGTTAATGGTTTTCGGGGGCGGAAGAATCGGAGTTTGTTGCATTTTTTTTTTTTTTTGGGGTTATGTGACGCATGCGGATGAGTGTGTGTGTGTATGTGTGTGTGTTGCATGGGGGTTAAATGCGTGGTTGGGCGGAGAAAGTAAAATAAAATGTTAAAGAATTAAATTACGTTTGGAAAACATGACCAAGAAAATCATAAATGTGCGGTTAAGAATGCTATTTTAGAAATAACTTAAAGCAAAGCGGTTTAATGATGGTTTTACCTGATGCATATATATAACAATGAATTATACATAGCATTTAAATTATGTTCTTTGAAAGCGAAACCCAAAGCAAAGCAGTTGTGCATTTAAAATGGTAAAAACAAAAGTCAGTTCTGAAAATGACACAAATGCCACATAAAATAAACACCAAATAGGAGAGTAAAGTAGAGGATGGTAACCATAAATGGGGAAATGGGTTTATAGACAACAGCAATCGAGTTCTTGGCCAATCAGTGGGAGTGTACACATGTGTAGTATATGGGGAAGGGATATGGTTGGGAATATAGGAAGCCGGGGATGGACTCCAATGGGTGTACGTCTACAAGCCCGCACAACAACAACATTCAACACAAGACGGATCGACGGATCGACGGACTTACCGGTACCTCCATTATTGGCATTGTCATCCGATTTATTCTTGAATCCCAGGCCAGCTGTTAGACGCCGTCGATGATTACGGCACGATTACGATACGGAGGACGAAGAACGGGACAAAAACGACAGGAGGACGAGGTAAAAGTAGCGGAATGAGAACAGAATATGCAAGAGAAGTGGTTGAATCCTGTAGCTCCATTTTTCTTTAAGCCCTATCTACTTTTTGGGAGCCACTATAACAGTAGGAAGAGCGATTCTGATTAATCTTAGGAAAGTTGTATGCTTTTAGTAGAGCTTTTATCTAAAATCCAATGATGCAGTTTTTTAGATAATTAAATCTCAAATTTATAAAGGTGTGCCACTTTAAAATCGGATAAATATTAACAAAGTTATGGATTCTAGAAGGCCAGCTGCTCTTGAAGCTCTTCAGATAGCTTTAACTCAACTGATATAGCAACTCCCGGGTTTTTATACTCTACACCAACAATAACTAGCCTAAAACATTAAAACCCAGTTAAGAATTAAAAGTGTGAGCGTGTGTCGGCGTGTTCTCTTTGCAAGTGCAAGGGATTCCTTTTTCGGGTGTTTTTAGCAGGTGTATCGTGTTTTTATTCGCGGGTGTTGTTCTGACCCGTTGTAACCTCCAATTGAAAAGCTTTAAGCCACCGCCAACCTAGTTCAACGTGGAGTAATTTTGATTGGGAGCTGTGTTTCTGGACTCACCGGTGTTGAAGTCCAGCCCCTGAGTATCCACCAGGTACTGCAGGATGTCGCCCTGCTCCTCGAGATTTTCCGTTTCGCGCAGCATCGCAATCAGCTCCTCCACCTCTGTGTCCGCGAAGTTGGTTTCGGCACGATGGCGTTGTATGAGAATTTTTGGCACTGTTACTATCAACATCGCATTTCGGAACGAGGATGGGCCAATCGAAATTATACACACAAAAATGAAATGAAAACAGAAGGCAAAAGCCAGAACGTAAAGTTAACAAAAGTATTAAAATTAAGAGATAATAACTTATCCAAAGGAAGTGAAAAAATGTTTAAAATAATCTAACAGAAATCATTTTCCGAAGATGGGATTAAAGACTGGATTTAAGCCACCTTCAGAATGTTAACTCAATTGAAAGAAAGTGAACTAATTATTTGAATAGACTTTTAAGTGGCCAATTGGGGGACTAACTCTCTTGCTGGCGGACAAACTCGCTGCGTCTGTCGATCGCCGAGCGGCTGTGGTGCGGGTCCACCGGATAGATGTTCTCCCGGACGGACAGCTCGTTGCCCAGATGCAGTGGCGAGCTGGCGGGTCCCTCCTCCGGCGTCGTGGCGAACACACTGACGTGGCTCTGCTTGTTGGCCTGCAGCCAAGGCGGTGGCACAATCGAGGAGAGGCGGCGTTCGGTGAGCGGCGAGGGTCCCTCCATGCCGAGATTGTCAGCTTAAAGGTGAAGGAAAAGCATTAGCATTTATAAATAATATAGTGACCAATAGAAGGTATAGCTTACAATCCACATTGATGGAGCGCGTCTTCTTGATCGCTCCCTTGCAGGACATGCGACGCCTCAAGGTCCGCGGACGCAGCTGTCCGCCGCGCAGATTCATTGTGCTGCGATTGCTGAACGAGCGGAGCAGGTGCTCATCCAGGTAGGTCTGCACGTCCGGATGCAGGCGATCCGGATAGCCGTCCTCCGTGCTGCCCAGAAAACTCAGATCCGTGATGGCCGACGTGTTGAGGAAGTCCTTCAGGCTGCCCAGCATCACGCGCGTTCCGTTGATGTAGCCCGACTTGAGTTTCCTCATCGTCTGGATCATCGCCAGGGGTATCTTGTCCTGATCTGTGGATTCCGCACCGCATCCATTGGGATTTCGTTAGCATTGTCTCGTTATTTCGTAATTAATAGCAATGAATAGATGTGGATCGTGATCTGGTCGGGATGCTGGACTGTGGGTTGGGTTAGGAGCGCCGCTTAATAACTACGGATTAGTCACACGAAGTACAATACAGTAACCGATAGATAAGCACAGGATTCCAGCACCATCGGCAATTAGTCAGTGTGTTTCTTGGGGTGCAAGCCAAGTGCAGTGGGAATGAGTTTGCCACAGCCACAGGGATTAGCAAGTACTTAATTGTTTTTAATCACAGGCTTAGCGTAGACATTTATTATTTACTCATAAGAAGCTTTGTTTGCAGTGTGTTTCTCTAACTTTTAATTACCAAATGTGTGTTTTGTCTAGGAAACGTTAACATTTATGTAGACAGGTCTTAGGTCCAATTATCCGGGGAAAGTTTAGAGCAAAAAGCAGAAAGGAATTACCTTTTTATTTGCAAGTTGTAGATTGTTAGGCTATGCACCTATATCTTGAAAAACCCGTCGTATGTGAGATCTACTTCGGAATTTAATAAAAAACATCTAATAGATTTTTAAAATTTGTTTAAAATAAATATTGTGAAACCGAATGAAAGAAATAATTGGTTAAATTTTATATTCCTCTCTGGCCAAAAGGGTTCAAATGTTACAATATCTTTATAAATTGCAATTACAAGATATAGGCGAAAGTAGGCGAGAAGAAGAAAAGCTTCAGATTTTGATTGGAAGGTAGTACACTTAGGAAGACGAGCAGAAAAAGCAGAAGCAATCAGGCCATTTACTAAGTAGACTTAAGCGGGGGTCACAGGTCAAGGTTCATAGATCACAGATCGTTTGCATATCGTTATATCATTATATCAATTGGTATTTGGCTTTTGTTTGTGGAGTTTGTATTGCATATATGCAGTGGTTCTTGGAATCAAGTGAGTTTGCAGTTTGGGGTGCAAAGTGGGGATCGGATTTGGATTTGGATTCGAGGTGGCAATGCAGATTCGAGCTGGGTGGGGTTTTTGTTTTGTTTTTCTTTTCAATTTAAGGGTAGTTACCTAGCATATAGTGGGTTGCCATTAGTGTGATTGTCGGCCTGCCCAACATGTGACGCCAATTGTTGGTCAAGAATGCTAAATTTGTTGTAAAATTGCTGGCAAGCAAATCGGGATCGCGTGTTGTATAATATTCTTCATAGTCGATATGCTGTGTAAGTGTTGTTGTTGCAGTTGTTGTTGTGAATACATATTATATATATTTATTTGGGATAAAATAAAGAAGAGAAAGGATTTGTTTTGGTTTTGATTTTTGATATTTCTTTTTTCAATATTTCAATGGCCAATTTTCAATGGATTTCGGGGCTCGGGAGGGGATTGTAGAAGTTCATAAAAGTCCAGAGCAGAGCGTAAATAAATAATAATAACTAAACTAAAGCTACACTAATATAAGAAATAAAACATAGTTGAGGTCTAAATAACATGTTTCCTTTGTTATTTAAACCGCAATTGCATAGAGTATGTGTGATAATGTTCTATATAGTAGGTATATAGTTTATATGGTATATGTTCAAGTGTCGGTGTTGCCATAACCAAACTAAAGTTAACTAAAAGCAGAAACCAACTAAAAGCTGACAGGAAGGTAACTAAAATTAAATAACCAGCTGCTCAATTTTCGGGCGAGACTTAAGGTCAATCACAATTATTCACTCGATTATTTTTGGAAGACAAAGACAAAGCAATTTTCCGGACATTGAGCAACCGATTCGATTCTAATAGAGTTAACGAGTCAAGTGTGTGCATTTGTGTTGTTCGAGTGTGCGTGTCAATTAATTGATAAACAATACCAATACCAAAAGCAAACCCTTGCAAATTAATCAATTCAACAGAGCAATTCACAAAAGAAAAGGGGGGAAAAAACAGTCGAAGGGAGCGTAAAAACCCGCGCACAACAAACAGAATATTAAAAAATCAAAAAGAAAGGACATGGAGTGACATTGACATTCTCGACTCTCTCCGTTGACCGACCTAAATGGATGCGCTTCAGCACGAGGGTCACCAGCGGACGACCCAGCAGATCCCAAGCGGACTTGAGGAAATTTATCTCGCCCTTGAGGATGTCGATCATTAGCTCGTTATCGGAGGCGATATAGAAGCGCGACAGGTCGGCGAACTGATGCGTGATAAACGGTAGAAATCATAAGTCAATCATTAGGTACTCGGATGCAAGCCGATCGACAATTAATATTCGACTATTAAACCATGTTTTAAATGTTCTTTGAACATACAAAATACATTTTTAATTTGTAGTTTCCTTCTTGAAATGAAACCAAATATTAAACTTAACATCAAAATCAGTTTGCATCCCTGACCAAAAATACAATAGAAATAGTAAAAACAGAGCATTTGGGGGCAAGTGGGATCTTTTTTGGAGTCTGGAAAGGGGTGGCCGGGTTTCTGGGGCAATCCGAGTCAGCTAACTGGACTCAAATCTCACTCACCTGCGGGGTGAAGGCGAATATGCGGTCCTTCAGCGAGTACAGCTTACTGGTGCTAAGGATGCCCACGTCGCGGGACTTCCTGCCGCTCAATCCCAACTTCCTGTTGCGTCCCAGGTACGTGTAAAGGTGGCTGAGAACTCTGGCTGGTTGGACTTCAATCGGAGCAACTTCCGCGATGGTCTGCACATGCAGATCGTGCTCAGCCAACTTGTCGCGGATCTCGTTGTCCTCGGCGATGATGACCACCTGGACCACTACGTCTGGTTTTTTCTGGGCGCCCAGGCGACGATTCAGAGGATCCAACTCGCCCACGGCCAGGAAACCCTGAAAAAATTAAGGAAAATCATTAAAAAACTGGATAACAAGTTAATCTTTAACTTAAACATTGATTTCTTAGTTATTAAAAGTGTGGAAAGGACATAAAAAGTTCTAAAATAATTAAAGCTAGAGATGAATAAAACGTGACCCAACTATGTGTCCACAGTTGTATCAACAAAGAGTGGAAAACAAGATCGATAAAAATACTTTACAGGGTCACCAATGCGTTCATCTAACTTTAGCAACTGCAAAGAAAATACAGCAAAGAAATGCTCACCTCCTGCAGCAGCCTTCCGAGGATGAAGAGGGACTGGCCCCACAAGAAGGGACACCGACCGACGACTTCGCGCGCCTGTGATCCCGGCTTTTGGTACTCGAAGCCCACCAGATCCTGCGGCACCGCATAACTTTCGGGAACGAGCAGGATGCCATCCTCCGAGCGCACCATAATCTTCTCCAGCCGACTGGCGTACTCCTCCACCGAGCGCTTGTCGCTCTGGAAGGCGTGGAACAGGATAAGGTAGCAGTAGAAGAGCGGCCATTCGCACTCAATGTTCTCGAACATGCGCAGCTCCCAGCGTTCGTAGTAGAGCCTGGAGGGATCCTCCTTCGGGGTGCGATAGCCATCGCGCAGGAACCGCTTGCAGCCGTACTTGCCCTGCAGTCGCGACAGAATCGCGTCCTTGGTGTTGTGAATCAATTGGGCATCGTCGACGGCGAAGGCCGGAAATCCAATGACGCACAGCAGGCCGGAATCCAATTCCTTGCTGTTGGATTCGCGCGGCAGCATGGACTGCAGCACCGCCTGGCATTTGTGGGCCTCGTCGGCCAGCACATGAATCACACTTGCCGGTCCGCCGCGGGCTCCGAACAAATCCAGCTCGTTCATGGCCTCCAGCGCCGCCTTCGCCATGCCAATGGAGCTGGCGTTCAGCTCCGGTTCACCTAGAATAAGAAGATACATTAATTTCTGTCTAACAAGTAAATTGTAATGAAAATTAAGAGGTATGCTTATTAACTTTTGATTTTTATACAACCAATTAAATCCAGATTTAATATTCTTCGCCTTATCTTTCTTTTGCATAATATTTAATTGAAACTATTGTTAATATTCATGTCTCTCTTATCTAGAAAACTGATTTTGATAAAAACCTAACACTTTATTCTAATTAAGTGCTGACCGAAATGATAAGATAAAAGGAATGGATGCCAAAATTGTTTTCATTCATAAAAGTTAATAGAAGCACATTTCAATTTTATTTTTGTGATGGAAAGCGATTTACTTACCATGGTTGGTCTTGTCGCCTCGCTCCCAAATGCCATAATCCGGAATCGAGTAGGCTGACTCGATGTAGAAGACCAGATTCTGGATGAAGGAGACCTCGTCTAGGGAGAAAACAATCTGCAGGCCAGAGGCGGTCATCTGGGCCAAGATCAAGAGGTACAGCGATACGGCATCGATCTGCAGATGACCCCACTCGTTGTCCCCGACGACGGGCAAGCCGTTCTTGCTCGAGTACTTGGCGTGCAGGGAGTCGTAGGGACTCTGGGTCATCTTGAACTTCTCCACCTTGTCCTTCTGGTTCATCATGGCCATGAGCAGGCCGCGCATCAGCTTCACACAGCTTTGCTCCAGCTCGTAGCACTTGGCGCGATCCTCGTCCTGATCGGCGATCTTCTTGTACGCCATGGACAGGCCCCAAACGGCCAGGATGCAGTAGACATTGTCGCGGATCCAGGCGTGCGAGTTCACATTGGAGGCGGGAAAGAGTCCGGTGACCGGCTCCTGGTGCGCCAGGATCAGTCGGTGCACGATGCGCTGGTAGTAGTCCAAACGGACGCCCGAGTTGCTGCGAGAACGCATCGTCGATGTGGATTTGAATAAGGTTCCCAGTCAGTTATCTAAAAATAGTTATTTGGTTGAGATTTCTTTTAATTATCTTTGAAGCAATATGACAAATTAATAAATGACTGCTATTTTGCAGAAACCCTTAGCTTGATTTATCGTTTGCTCAATAAAAAATACAACTTTAAGCTATAGTTGTCATACAAATAGTAACAAACAGTAACCTTCTTGGTTTTCACACACATATTTGTTTACAGCTGGGGTTATTGCAGTTTATTTTGGTTCTGCGAAGGTCAGTTGCACCCCATATTCTATAGGGAGCAATATTCCTGGTAAGTAATTGATGATGTGATTGTTGTTTACCATCCACGGCGCGGGCACGCTCAACTTACATAATGTGGGATCGGATCGGACCGTATGGTATCACTTCGGATCAGATCGGATCGGATCGTTTGTTGTGGTTCGGTGGAGTGGAGGAGGCGGAATTCCGGAGCTCCTCAGAACACCTCGACCGCTAGAACCCGTGGAATCCGTGAAATTCGCCGCGAGGACAGCGCATTCTCTCCGGGATTTGGCGGTTGGGATGGTGCACGACTCCCGTGCAAGTTTCGGAGCTTGGCTCGTCACTTATTTGCGAATAAATCGAATTATATTGTAATTAAAACTAATGCAAAAGTCAACTCAATGTCACACAGTGTGACCAACGGATGTGCGGACAAAGATGCCGCCAAGAAAAACTGTTAAAGAACAGCAAAATCCAGAATCTACTTTGCTTATCATCTGTTTTTCCTAGGTTTATTATTATTGACCTTTTTTAGCAACTTTAGATTTCTTATGCTACTGCGAAAATTAAAATGACTTTGCATGTTAAAATAAAATAAATGTTATTTTCAAATGTAGTTTCCAATTTCATTTATCAGAACTGCTTTTACATTTGAACAGAACAAAACTAGCAGGTAAAAATCTGTTAAGTTCTGGTCACTTTATGCGTTAATTCTGCGGCGCCAAATTCAAAATAATATGCACTAGCAAAATCCGGTCTTTACTCAGTCTCGGACTAATCTCTCAGCATCTTATATTGAATATAATTTGCTCTCAGATCTGGACACTTAGTCTCTTCCTAGTATCTATTACCTGATATAGAGTTCTCCGCTTGGAAAAAGCGTCAGTTTCTGATAAGCCATTGCATTGATTTAAACAAACTGCTATGGGTCTCCGATCCGCTGCTTTAACCATATATCTCTGTGGAGTTTTATTATCCATCAGTTGGGCAAGTAAGTTTTATATTTCAAAAAGAATATAAGTTTTCAGAAAACAAACAAAACACAATATTATTGGATAATGTAATTTATCTTTATAGTGCTGTTCCGGAAGAAGATATATTAACATATCGGGAAAAGCAAAAACTGGTTTTCGATATTAATGCATTATAATGTAAAATCAAGTTTTTATGGACTTATTATGTGTGTGGATGACATTATCATTGTCTCTTGGTTTTTTTTTAAACTGATAATAGTGTTTTTGAGAATTTTAAATTTTAATTAGAAGAATTTCTGAATAACAATTTGTTGTTTTTTTTTATCGTTTTATGTGATTTTAGAGCCCAGGTTGCACTTTGGCAGTTGTCTTGGCTCAAAAAAGGGTCAGTGCCGACCCGTCGAGGAGTGCCAGGAGGAGGCGGGTTACATCCAGGCCAAGGATTCCTCGGAGTGCTTCGAAACGGTTTGCTGCCTAAAAAAGTTGACGTCGTACCCGCAATCGGAGGAGTACTACTGCAACCACGATCTGAGGCCCCACATCTCCAATGGGGAGACCACAGAAATCGGGGAGTTTCCCTGGATGGCCATGTTGCTGTACGGAGATCGCCTGGAGCCCAAATGTGGCGGATCCTTGGTGGGCAAAAAGTGGGTCCTGACCGCAGCTCATTGTGTGCCTATTAAGGATCACGAGGAGGAGCTGCGCCGCGTTCGCCTTGGTGTGTGGGATTACCGGCAGACGAAGGATTGCCGGGGTCCGAAATGCACGCCGCCTCCTCAGGACTTTGCCATCGAGCAGGCAATCGTTCACGAGCTGTACAAGCCGACCGAGACCGAGGGAACCTCCCTGCAGAGGCACTCCAACGACATTGCCCTGCTGCTCCTCGGCCGGACGGTCACCTACTCGGAGTTCGTCCAGCCCATCTGCCTGCCGCCGCTGTACAGCCCCTCCAGGCTCGGCGTCTATGCGGACTACAGCCTGACCATCGCCGGCTGGGGAGGCACCAGTGAGCTGTCGCTGGCCACCAGTCCGGTGAAGATCAAGGCACAGGTGAACGGCTGGTCGCGGGACCAGTGCAGGCTGCTCTACGAGGACGTGGGTCTGGGTCAGATGTGCGCCGGCGGCGGATCAGCCAGGAAGGGCAGTTGCTTCGGCGATTCCGGCGGTCCGGTGATGGACGGCAACCAGTTGGTGGGCATCGTCTCGCTCGGCGAGTCTAAGTGCGGATCCGACCGGGGTCCCATGGTCATCACGCGGGTGGACTCCTACGTGGCCTGGTTGGAGCGCCACTTGCTCGGCCTGAACTCAATCAAACCGAAATCGATTGCTGTCAAGCCTTCGCATTTATTCCAAATTTTTGTAAAGAATGTTTTTAGCTAATGCAATTGGAACTCTTTCAGAAAGAAGTAAAAATCAATGCAAGTCTTTTTTTCATAAACTACCTTTTACTTTTTTAGCCAATAAAAAAAACATTGCAACATACTGCAAAAGATTCTAAGCTGAATGAGTCAGAAGTTCAATTCCTACGAGATTCGTATTCACAGCATAAATTAGCTAAGGAAAAAGTTTTAATTAAAAACAATATTACGGGGAGCGAGCCAAACAAATACGTCAGAAGTTGGCAAGAAAAACCCAATGCATTGGTGGGCTTTTCACGTTAGACTAGTAATCTCAAAAAAAAAAGTCGTAGCCAGAAACATATTTAACTAAAAATTAACTAAATAAATTAAACAATTTGTAACAAAATCTTTCCCTAGAAAAACATATTTTTTAAATCCTTCCCCTTTTATTCATTTATCAACTACGACCTTTATAAAGTAAGTATAAATTTATGATAATCTCTCCGACTATCTTGAATCGAAATCAGGTTTAGCAACTACGTAATATGAGAGGTGTAAGTCTTGCTCTCCACTTCTGAATAGCGATATCCATTCAGATTCAAAGCTATGGTTCTTCGATCCGGTACATTCACCTTTTATCTCTACGGATTGTTGTTAACCAGCAGTTGGGCAAGTAAGTCTCAATCTAAAGTCAACAATTATTCCGAATTTGAATAGTATTTAAGGGACAAGATCCCCAAATTAAGGGTAACTAATACTTTTACTCTTTGGTAGAACCCTCCTTGCATTTTGGAATCTGTCGCGGACGCGAAAGAGGAAAGTGCCGGCCCAGCGAGGAGTGCCTGGAGCAGGATGGCTTCATCCAGGCCAGTGATTCATTCCACGAGTGCTTTCACATGGTCTGCTGCCTGAGGAAACAAACGGCCTACTCACAATCGACCGGAGACTACTGCAAAAATAACTTGGAACCCCATATTGCCAATGGAGAGGCTGCAGAAATCCGGGAGTTTCCCTGGATGGCGATGTTGCTATACGGAGATCGCCTGCTGCCCAAGTGTGGGGGTTCCCTGGTGGGCAGCAAATGGATCCTTACCGCAGCACATTGTGTCCCGAGGGAGAGTAGCGAAGAGCAACTGCGTCGTGCTCGTTTGGGAGTGTGGAATGTCCAGCAGACGGAGGATTGCCAAGGACTACAATGCACACCGCCTCCTCAGGATTTTGCCATCGAGCAGGCCATTGTGCATGAGATGTACCGGCCTTCAGAGAGTGCGGGAACCAACCTGCAAAGGCACTCCAACGACATTGCCCTGCTGCTCCTCGGCAGGAACGTCACCTACTCGGCCTTTGTTCAACCCATCTGCCTGCCCTCGGCTTACGATCGCTCGCGAAGGAAATTCTATGCGGACTACAGCCTGACCATCGCCGGCTGGGGACGCACCAGTGACCTGTCGGTGGCCACCAGTCCCGTGAAGATCAAGGCGCAAGTGAGTGCTTGGTCCACCGATAGCTGCAAGAAGCTCTATCCGGACTTGAGTCGCGGACAAATGTGCGCCGGCGGCGGTTCGTCGAAACGAAGTAGTTGCTTCGGCGATTCCGGCGGTCCGGTGATGGACGACAACCAGCTGGTGGGCATCATCTCGCTGGGGGCGTCCAAGTGCGGATCCGATCGTCGCCCGATGGTCGTCACGCGGGTGGATGCGTTTATGAAGTGGCTGGCGCAGCAGATGAACCTCTCGCTGGGAAATCACTTATACAATAGATGAATTAATACGCTTCGAGTTTTGTCAAGATCCTGTGATTATTATTGAATTTCTCGCCAAGTTTTTGGAGTAGTTAAAAAAAGTTTGTTTGGTTGGTTGGTGGATGATGATGATAGTGTATGTGGATGATTACGATGATTGGTGATCCCCTCACGCTAAAGCTTTTATCTAATCGCGCCTGCTGCGCTTGCGATCCGAATGGCTGCTGCGCTCGTTGTTCTTCTCCTCGGCTCGCTTGGGCGCCTTCTTGGCCATGTTCAAGAACTGATCCAGACCGAAGGGATCCTCCTCCTTCTCGAACTCGACGGGGCCGCTCCTCTGTCCGGCGGCCGCATCCCGGGAAGCGCCCGAGAATTGCTTGTCGGGCACGAAGCGCTTGGTATTTACAATGGCATCCAGATCGCCGCCGTAGTTATCGCTGTCCGCCTGTTTGCTGGGTCGGTAGATGTGGGCGCCCAGTGTGTTGGAGTCGCGCCAGGGCTTATCGTACACGTTGTACGCCTCGTCGTCGCCGTAGCCCGAGTCCATGCCCTTTGTCGTGTTGAAGAGGCGCTGATCGAAGAGCGTCTCGCCATTGCCGGCACTCTTGGCTGGCAAACCGAGTGCGATCTGCTCGGAAATGTCGCGCTCCCGCTCTCGCTGGAGTTTCGATCGCTTTTCGGGAGCAGCTCGCTGCAGATTCCTGTCCCGTTGACGCTCCCGTTGCCGCTCCGCTCGCAAGTCGTTGCGCTCACGTGCGCCCGCTCCGCCGGCTCCGGATGGACCCGATGGCTCGGCCGCCTCGGGATTGCGCAGACCAGCTCGTTCTTCACGCGCCCGCTGCGCCATCATGCGCAGCATGTCCTCCTTCATCTCCTTCTCCTTCTGGGCCAGCCGCTTCTCCAGCTGGGCGCGGGCCTCCACCGCTTCGCGCGCCTTGCGATCGGCTATGTACAGTGCCTCGGCCATCTTGGCGAACTTCTCGTTGATGTGCACCTGCTGCAGACCACGACCGTCGGCGGCCAGGCGCTTGTCCAGGGGAATGGTGTAACCTGGGGTCAGAGGTCAGAGGGATGTGCAAATTAGTAAAGTACTTAATCGTTCTTTAAACAAACAAACAAGTTCTGTCATAAAAAAGCAGAAACGCAGTGCAAATCAGACTGAAACATCTTTTACCTTTGGCGTTCTTCCAGTTGGATATGCAGGGCGGGATCTTCCACTCCTTCTGCTCCTTGACTGTCACTTTCCGGGACGGCGAGTGGAGGACAGGCGCCGGCGGCGACGGAGGCCCCCGTGGAATCTTCTTGTTGATGCGGAACTTGGGTGGCTCCATTGGATCCAGTTGCGCCTCCACCATTCGTATGACTCGCTGCTTGGCGCCCGAATTGAAGGCATCGCCTTGCTGCGATGGCGTGTACCGGATGTACTGGGCGGGTCCCGCCTTCTGGGCGTGGCGCACGGGCAGCGCCGAGGTAATCTTCTGGTTGGTCAGCTTTTCTAGTGCCAGGCGCGTCTCCTCGGTCGTCTCCAGCACCGTTTCCTCGTCGGGACGCTGCAGTTCCTCGGCGTCTTCGGCCAATACCTCGGCCGGCAGCAGTTGCGAAATGGACGAGTACACAACCTTATCTTTGCTATGTCCCTGGCGCGCAATGGCATCGTATTTCACCTTGCCCTTGTCGTCCAGGCGAACGGCCAGAGCATCCGACTTCTTGCCCACATTTCCTGGTGCTCCCAAACCTGGCAAGTGAAAAAAGAGATCAGAAGTAAGTTAACCTTCTTATGTAATTGAAAATACCCTGCATGGTAGCATTTCTACAGACTACCGCAATAAAACTCCATTAGATTAGTTTAAAGAGAGCTTTTTTTAAACTGAGGATTTGTTTGCACAAAAAAAGTGATAAACATGGGTCCATGGAAACCCATTAAAATGCTAACAACCCTTTTAAGAATACAGTTTCCTCAGGAAACCAGGAATCATCGCCTGGAAACAAAGAGAAAGTTGGCTGATAGCCACAATAACCTTACCCAGTGGATACTGCGCCACATGGATCTCCGGGAAGGCGCCGCCATCGCCAAAGTCGGCCTCTGTGCGTGGAATCCAATCCTTGCGCTGTCCGTACGGCGGAGCAGCGATTTTTGCGGAGACAAGGGCTCCGATCTTTGGGGCTCCGCGGGCCGCCAGGCGACGCTCGTCCTCGCGATCCCAAACCGCGTTCGTCGGCGTGGGCAGCAGGCTCGAAAGCGACATCTTGGTTGGTGTGTTGATTTATCGGTGACTTAATTCCTATATGAAACCACCTTTTTGCGTTTCGTTTTCTCAATTTGCAAGCAAAAAATATAATGGAAAAGTAGGAAAAAAAACACGCACGTACACGGACACAAGCACACAAGCGTACGGACGGCAAGGCTGCCAGACTATCAGTTAAAATCCACAAAATTCGGTCACTCTTACGTAGTTTGTTACAACATACAGAATTTTGATTATTTTTCATTTAGTAACAAATGATTCCTTTATGAAATTAATTCAATTGGCTGCTTTTCCTAAGAAAATAATATAACTTATAGTTGCAGTACTTAAAAAATGTTTCTTTTATGTGAATTTATAGCTAACTTACCGCTAAAACCTTACGTTTACCCATTCGATAGTATCGCATCACGCTGAGCCGCGAGCAGTGCCATCGCAAGCAGTGCAGTCAACAAAATTAAAAATTTGTTTTTTTGGCCTATTCAACAATGTACACATTGATGCATGGTTTCTACAAGTACATGACTCAAAAGGACGACTACTGCGTGGTGATCCTGGGCCTGGACAATGCTGGCAAAACGGTAATGCGGCTCAATCAGCTTAAATAATAGGGTTTCCCTGCTAAAGTTAACACCTGTGCCCACGTAGACTTACCTGGAGGCCGCCAAGACGACGTTTACGCGGAACTACAAAGGCCTGAATCCCAGCAAGATCACGACGACAGTGGGCCTTAACATTGGCACCATCGATGTGCAGGGCGTGCGGCTAAACTTCTGGGATCTTGGTGGCCAGCAGGAGCTGCAGTCCTTGTGGGACAAGTACTACCAGGAATCCCATGGCGTCATCTACGTGATAGACTCCAACGATCGCGAGCGCATGGAGGAGTCCAAGATGATTTTCGGTAATTATACTGAGCCTGTTTATTGAAATCCCTGCTGCCTTTTTTTCCATTCAGGATTAAGTGATCTTTCCCTAAAATATTACCCAAAAATATGTTTAGAGAATTCGTTTTTTTTTTATTCTTTTCCTAGACAAGATGATAAAGAACGAGCTGCTGTCGGGAGTGCCTTTGCTGATCCTGGCCAACAAACAAGACCTACCGGACGTGATGGGAGTGCGGGAGATCAAGCCCGTGTTCCAGCAGGCGGGCGCCTTGATCGGTCGTCGAGATTGCCTCACCATTCCCGTGTCAGCTCTGCATGGCGAGGGCGTCGACGAGGGCATCAAATGGCTGGTGGAGGCCATCAAACGACACGCAGTAGTCAGACCCCCCGCGGGAGAACGATTAGGACATCAGGAAAAGACAAGGGCGCATCAGCCCTCGACTGGCTTTAATTAGACTAGTGTTTTTGTAACTTTAGGGCTTAGGACTACGCTTATTTGTAATTAGCCGGGAGGAGATTGTGAGATACCAGTTGTACATTGTTGTAAATGCGGGAGATGTCTGCTTTATCTACGGCCTTAACTAGATTTGTTTTCCGTTTTTTGTCGGGCCGCAAGTAGCTTGTAAAAAAAGTGAACCACGTTTTAAAGGCTAGCTTAAACACGACACTTAGAATTGGACTAGTGCATTACAAGTAAACTAATTTGTAAATAGTTGAGACCGCGCTTTGTATTTGAGACCCCTTCCATAAATAAACTATTTTTAAAAGAGATGGTAAATAACATGGAACCATAGCCCAATCCAAGTTTTTTCTTTAAACCTCACTTGCTTACCAAAATTTGTCTTTCAAAATGAACTAGGAATATATCTTTTAGCTAATAAGAACTAGGATTAAATAGTATCGTATACCAGCGGACGTCCAAGGGCTAAGGTTAATTGCCAACTGTAGGGTGAGTGGGCGTTTGAGTACTATAAAATCGGGAGAGTTACAGCTTTATCTAACAGCACTGCAGGCGCAATACCGCGATGGCGGTTGTCAATGGGGCCTCCGCTTATCCGAACCGTAAAAAGAAACAACCAGCCGGGATTGTGTGCTTCGTGTCTCGGTTCTCACGGCGAGGGACCATTATCAGCGAATAGATAAGTGCGTTGCCACCAAAAACAACACCTGGTGCCGGAGTGGCACTGGAATCGTCAGTCTTCCGCAGGAGTTTCCACCGCTCGGGCTGGAAATGATCGGCTAGTTGTACAAATATACCCAGAGCTATTGAGAGTCGGAAAAGCAGAGCGTTACCTGTTAACTATTAGTGTACATTAGATAAGGTCTATGTAGAGCACTCGCTGCTTATCGCAGACATTCCCATTCCAGTCGGTTTAGTAGCGTGCTCCAGAGAGAAGCTACCATGTATCCGTATTACGAGCAGGACTGGAGCGTTCTGCCGCCGGAGAACAATCGCAGGTGAGATGGCATCCCCAGCATCCGGTTTCGCCAGAAGGTTCTTTAGTCAAGAACTTTAAGTCATTTGAAAATCTTTTTCAAAAATGACGTTATCGCGGCGAAGTGTAACCGTTCATCGGCGGTTTGTTGTGCAGTATTTTTTTGTGTGCGATGTCGTAGAAAACGTTGAATCACCTAATGATTGCAAAAGCTTAATGCAATGCTACTTACGATGTTCTTGTTTTCCAATTCAATATTTTGATTAAAAAGTGATGGATTTTTGTTATCCCATGACAAGACCTAGTGAAAGATTGAAAAAGGTTGAGGGTTTGGCTGAAAATCTAAGCCTCATAAAAAATACTAAAACAAACTAAGCTTTTCAGATCGTAAGCTAAAAATATTTATTATTATTTATTTTGCAGTCATCTAAAAACAACTCGACTACAAAATAATCTTAAATATGTATAATCATTAATGCAATAAATTAGGTAAAAAGTCCACCAAACCTTATTACAAATTACAAAGTGACACCCACTGTGCATAGAAGGCACTACTGCCTCTTGCAAGACGCGTTAGTACCTTTTTTGCGGGTGCTTGTAAATATTGCCCTCTCGCTCGCACCCACTACTACTGTTGCGCTCATCATCAACATATTCTCGTCGAACTTTTTTTTACTTGTTACGTTGATTTTGTGGCGTTTAAAATTGCGATTAACCAGCGCCAAAAGCCGTGCGAACATGTGCTAAAAGCGTAAATGCATTGGTAGAAAAGAAATTAATTAATTTCCGGAGACATTCCAGCTAAAAGCGAAGGTGTGTGCGTGTACTTGCGACGACGGGCCGTGTGTGTTGAAATTTTTTTGTCGCGTTGTAAAATTTTGCATTTGGAAGCTGACGCGTTGGGCAGGTGGTTATAATAAACGTAGCGCTAAATGAATCTGAGGTGCAAGCCGATAAGCGGAAATGCCAGTTGAAAAGGCTAAAAGTGTGCCATAGATTTTCCTCGCTTTTTCTTGTTGGCCCAAAAGGTTTGCATGTGTGTGTGCACCCACTATATGTTCGTGTGTGAGGGCCTTCCAGTGAATCGCATAAATTAGCAGGCAAAAAATCACATTGAAAACAAACGAGGAAAGCTCTGAGAAAACCCTACGTGTTAAATATACATATACTATATGTTAAAAGTGACGTTTTTGTTTTATGATTTTTTAATGAAATCGATAATACCCATGCTATCGATGACGGCAGCTGTTTTCGTTTTTGGCCATTTCCATTATTAAAGAGAAACAATAAGTTGAACAAGTAAACAAGTTGTATTTCAGATTTACTGTTTTAGCCTTCCAATTGGGCATTGGAACGTCTAAGTGCGTGTGTGTGTGTGCATTAATCATTTAATCAATTTGCATTGCGCTCTCCAAAAAACACAGTAATTTGTTGTTGCCTTGGCCAGATAGATCATGTGTATTTGTTTGAGCCAACTCACATACACGCACGCACACACGCACGCGGACGAGATGTCAGTTTCATAACAAAACAGCGATCTACTTTTTATGTCAGCGGTAATTGTTACTGCTTTTGCTTATCTATTTCAACTTTTTTTTCCAATTAGTTTTGTTAAAGAGAGCAAGCGGGAGAGCGAGAGTGCAACGAAATAGCGGCCGGCTGTTAGTCCGTGTGTGTGAGTGCGTGTGTGGGAGTGTGTGTGTGGAAGATCTGCAAAGGAAAAACCGTTCGTTTCGCTAATTTGTGTTGTTGCCGCCGCCCAGCAACAAAAAGAAAACACAAAGGCGCGTAGGCCGGCAGAAAAGGAAACAAAAATAAATAAAGAAAAAGAGTGCGAAAAAAGGCTGCCACACAAGTGATTCAACGTTTCTCGCCGCCACAATGAATTCCGAGCATGGGTAGGATCCAAAACTGCATCCCCATAATCAGAGTTATCCTATAAACCTTACCTTTCTCTGACAGGTTCAATCCAGCCTTCAATATGGCCACCATACGGCAAGCATTCACAGAGGCGGTGGAGAGAGGTAAGCATCTGAGAGGTCATCGCACAGTGGGTAATGGCTATAAGGAAATACAGGGTTTATGTGGATAACCAATGCCTCGAAGCTCTTTTAGTAAAACATTTTGTTTCTTAAACATAAACATAATAAGAATATAGGAGCGCAGTTTGAGGGTTTATTCAAAATCTGTTTAAATTGATTTTAAATTAAAGTTTTTCTAAAAAGCTCCTATGTACATAAACGCTGATTTCCTTAATCCAAACTAAAATCTTTAAGCCCGAAGTAGAACTAAATTGCATTACAGCGATAATTTAATTAGACTTCTTAAAAGCTTTATGAAACGAGAGGTTTTACGGTTTTAAAAGTTCTTCAAACGAAGATACGAATTAGAGTTTTCAGTTTAAGTAACAAAGAGAAGGACCATGCTGATTTTAACAGAGAAAAACTCCCAGACAAACCTTGATTAATTAACATTTTCGTTTCGCCCACAGTCAGAATGCCCACGCCCACACGCCTGCGCGACCTCATCCGACAGATTCGCGCCGCCAGAACCGCAGCCGAGGAACGGGCGGTGGTCAACAAAGAGTGCGCCTACATACGGAGCACGTTCCGCGAGGAGGACTCCGTCTGGCGGTGAGTCATTTGCTGTTCCCATTCCCGATGAAAATCTAATGTTTACATACATACTGTCCACAGCTGTCGCAACATTGCCAAGCTGCTGTACATACACATGCTCGGCTATCCGGCTCACTTTGGCCAACTGGAGTGCCTTAAGCTGACGGCCAGCACGCGGTTCACAGACAAGCGGATCGGCTACCTGGGCGCCATGCTGCTTCTGGATGAACGGCAGGATGTCCACCTGCTCATCACCAACTGCTTGAAGAAGTAAGCTGTTGTTGCACTTGATTAACAGATTTAATATTGATTTGTTTGCCATTTTGTTTTGCAGTGACTTGAACAGCTCGACGCAGTTCGTCGTGGGCCTGGCGCTGTGCACTCTGGGAGCGATTGCCTCCCCGGAGATGGCTCGGGATCTGGCCAGTGAGGTGGAGCGTCTGATGAAGTCCCCGAACACGTACATCCGCAAAAAGGCAACGCTGTGCGCCTTCCGCGTCATCCGCCGTGTGCCCGAACTAATGGAGATCTTCTTGCCGGCCACACGATCCCTGCTCAGCGAGAAGAATCACGGTAATTCCCAATAATATGTTTAAAGGGCAAAATTAAGATTTAAGATTCATATTTGTGAGTTGTATTTAAATATGAATCAGTGTTCTGTTTCATCGGTGACAATTGTAATATTTGACAAGCTTATCTCACGGGGTTTTGAATCACAAACATAAAATAATTATGCCCAGACTTAGTAAATCTGCATTTCTTGGAATCTTAGAATACAAAGTGAGCTTTTACTAATTGGAAACGATTTTAATTGCAGGCATTTTGATCACTGGCGTAACGCTGATCACGGAGATGTGCGAGAACAGCTCGGACACGCTGATGCATTTCAAGAAGGTAAGTTGACGTGGCCAGCGGCGGAATCATGTCGTTCGGAACCAGTTTGCGGCAGAGGCCCTTCTACTTCATCAACTGCCACTGCCACGGCTGCTGCTCCTGCTGCCTTTGGTCTTTCCCCTCCATTGTTGTGGCGCTCGTGATTTAAACGCCCCCAAAAAGCGGGTTTCAAGATTTTTGTGTACAATTATCGCGCCCATTATTTCTATACGTAGTCGATATATATATTTTCTCCCGCTATCACCCATTTTGCCCATATATACCATTTATATATATATACGAGTATATAAATCCGTATCTTTTCGTTTACTTTGCCGATTTTTAACACACCCACACACTCCTTTTCGTTTCGATCAACCTGTATACTTACGATTTTTTAACGCTTGTTTGTTTTTGATCGAATTCGAATACCGCGCAAAACACAAAATGAAATTTGTTGTAATTTGCTTGCCAGGATAGCGGAAATCGAGAGGTATGATTGTTGTGCCTACTAGAAAATAAAACTGTAACGCCTTCTACCTATTTTATATACCCCACACCTATATACGAATATGTAAAATTATAGTTTTGTAAGAGTCTCTGCCTGTTGCCTATGTATATGTCTCGAAGCAGCGATAACTATGATGCTTAAGCAGTTGCGGTTTTAAAAAGTAATTTCTTATGAATCTAAAGTATTCTGTATACACGTAAAATCTATTTAAGGAAGCTTGTTAAAGAGTTGAAGTAAAGTGACCTCAAGAAAACTATTAAGATTGCGATGTTGTCACACTGATAATGTATTTATCTTATCTGTTTTATAATTTAACAAATCATTCCGCTGTTTGTTGTTAATATTATCAAAAAGACAGAGAAAACTACTATAAATTTATTTCAAAAAATAATAATGTTATTGCAACAACTGCTTATGTAAGTGCTTCAATAGCTTATATATTTATCCCTCGCTACTCCGCTTCGCTCAGATATATCTGATCGTATATATATCCCGCTATCTGTATCAATTCTGTGATCCATTTAACCATCTCGCTTGCACAGACATATGCATAACCAGCGGAAATTCGTTTTTGGCCAAGAGTTTTCGGTCTACACGCAATTTTTTGGTAGGAATCTCTCCACACACAAACACGATCTGTAAATATAGCGATTTATCGTAGATGGCCAAGAGTTTTTGGGCCGGGCTTTAGTTCCTCTTCGTTTCATTCGCACTCTTCAAGTTGTTCTTGCAGTCTTTGTCCTTTTTACACAAAACTTGCACACCTTTATACACGCTCACTGTCACACAAACTTTTCCGTATTTTCCGCATAAAGTAATGGGCTTTCGATTGGGCTTTTAACACATGTTTGGTGTACGAATAACCCGCAGATTGTGCCGAACCTGGTGCGCATCCTGAAGAACCTAATCCTGGGCGGCTATTCACCGGAGCACGATGTCAGCGGCGTGAGCGATCCGTTCCTGCAGGTCAAGATCCTGCGGCTGCTGCGCATCCTGGGCCATAACGATCCGGATGCCTCCGAGGCGATGAACGACATCCTGGCCCAGGTGGCCACCAATACGGAGACGAGCAAGAATGTGGGCAACACGATCCTGTACGAAACTGTGCTCTCCATCATGGACATTCGGTGAGATTACTTGATCATCTGTCATTTTGAGTGTGCTTAATGCAAGTATTTTGTTCCACAGCTCGGAGGGTGGACTGCGCGTTCTGGCCGTCAATATTCTGGGGCGATTCCTGCTCAATTCGGACAAGAACATACGCTATGTGGCGCTCAACACGCTGCTGCGAACGGTCCACGCCGACACGTCGGCGGTGCAGCGACATCGCACCACGATTCTGGAGTGCCTCAAGGATCCGGACGTCTCGATTCGCCGCCGGGCCATGGAGCTCTCGTTCGCGCTGATCAATGCACAAAACATACGTACAATGACCAAGGAGCTGCTGCTATTCCTCGAGAAGGCCGACGCCGAGTTCAAGGCGCAGTGCAGCTCGGGCATGATCCTTGCCGCCGAACGCTATTCGCCGACCACGCGCTGGCACCTGGACACCCAGCTGAGTGTCCTTATCGCGGCCGGGAATTATGTGCGCGACGACGTCGTCTCCTCCACCATCCAGCTGGTGTCCAGCAGTCCCGTCCCGGAGCAGACGTACATCACCAATCGATTCTGGGAGTCGCTGCAGGTGGCCAACCACTGCGAGGACAAGCAGCCGCTCCTGCAGGTCGCCGTCTGGGCCATAGGCGAGTACGGCGACCTCTTCATGTACGGCGCCAACGAAGATGGTGAGTGGTCTATACCTTCCTTGCAATTACACCATCTACTTTGAGCTAGAACCTTTAGTTCAAGTTCCCAATTTAGATGGGGATTCCCTCTATTTAAAAGGGAAAGCCATTTTAACATTTGTTAACATCTGGCTTATATTTTTTCAGAGTTTGAAAGACCCACTGAGAGCGATCTGATCGCTGTGTATCATAAGTTTTTAACCTCTGCTCAAGTCTCGACCACAAGCAAGCAATACGCTCTGGTCTCCCTAGCGAAGCTAAGCACGCGTCTGCAGCAATGCGTGGAGTGAGTAATATTTATTCATGATCCTGCCACCAATGGTTATATCATCATGTTTGTATCGCAGGGAAATCCAGGCGCTGATCACGTCATTCGGCAGCCATCTGAACGTGGATCTGCAGCAGCGCGGCGTGGAGTTCACGCAGCTGTTCGGCCACTACAAGCACCTGCGTCCGCCGCTGCTGGAGAAGATGCCGGCGATGCAGATCAGCAGGATTAGCTCGCAGAACGGCGAGAGCGGCGGCGGCTCCTTCGACGACAACAGTCCGGATGTGATTGAAAATGGCGTTGAGGGAGGCGGCGGCGGCGGTGGTGGCGGATACTCACTTATCGAAAGCAATACGAATGCTCTGGGCAACAACACGGTGGGTTGGCTAGACAGATTCCCTTCGCCTAGAGCTTAGTTTTACTAATAGATGTCCTTGTGTTTTGTAGAACATTCTGTTGGATTTGCTGGGCAGCACGGATCTGTCGGCGGGCGGCGCTGGCGATTTGGTGACGGCCACGGATCTCTCGAATGCCGTGCATAAAAAGAACTCGCGCAATGCCAACGATGTGGCGGCACCGGTGTCCAACAACCAGGATCTGTTGGATCTGCTCGACTTGGATCTGACCACGCCCTCGTCCGCGACGACGGGTGCGCCTGCGGGCGGAGGAGGAGGTGGCGGCGGTGGCATCTTGGCCCTGGCCGGCGATAACAACCAGAGCAGTGCGGCGAACATGAACAACATGCTGGGTGGCCTGGATTTGGGCGGCTTTGGCTCCGGTCTGGATGGTTCGGCTAGCATACCCACGAACGGCAACGATCTGGCCAGCATGCTGGGTGGACTAGGTGGTGTTCCCGCTGCCGCAGCGGCTCCAGCTCCCGTTGGCAACCTCATCGACGGCCATGCCGGCAGTCTGCTGGGCGATCTGAATCCCACGGCAGCCTCCAACAATGTTGCAGTGGTGGGTGTTTTCTTTAGTTTTTTGCATCTGTTTGGTTTGCTAATCCGCATCTTCGTTTTTTCCTTTGCAGCCTCCACAGGGTCCCAGGTTGACGGCGCTGGACAGGGATGGATTGCTGGTGCAACTGGTTTCGGTCAGGGGCAACGATTGCATGCGCATCTATATGACGACCACGAATAACTCAGAAAATACCCTGGAGCAGTACTTGCTGAAGGTGCCTATTGCGTTATTTACTAATCAGTTTTGTGTAGACTCTAATGGGTGTTTTGTGGGCAAGGCAGATGATTCATTGCATTTACCATACTGATAAGGTTTACGTGTGCATTTCAAGTGCGAGATATAGTTGGCATCCGAAGGTTACATTTAGTTATTTAAATGAGGCGAAGCCATCCTATTTACAATTACATAATTGTAAACTTTATTTACTTTATTCCTTGTTACTCCCTACTATAATTGTCTTCTTCTCTTATTTCATTTTAGGCGGCGGTGCAGAGGAGTTTCCAGCTGCAAATGCTGACGCCTTCCGGTTCGGTGCTGCCCCCCGGTGGAGTGATCACGCAAGAAATGCGCGTGGTGGCCACATCAAATGTGAGTGTTATCCTGGCTAATCCAAATCCTATACCTACTATAAAGCACATAATTCTTTTCAGGCGACACTGCGGATGCGTCTGCGCATCCAGTACGTGCTCGATGGGCAGCAGCAGGTGGAGCAGACGGAGGTCAGTGGCTTTCCGGAGCAGCAGCCACCGGCGACCGAGGAGTAGAACTGCAACTGTATTAAAGCAAAACCAGATTAGCCTAATATCGGAAGTAATTCAACACGGGCAACACTTGCGCAGCAACAACAACAGCAACACTAAAAAACACACACTGTGGTTGTCACACATTTATTGTAAAATAAGTTATCACACACGCAGTTGAAACAAAACAAAACAAAACAAAGCAAATCAAAACAAAACAAAGCAAAACACAGAGACACCCACACAATCGCAATCGCAAACGCAGACGCAAACACAATCGCATCTAGATCAGAGCATTTTCCCGATCGGCGCACAGCGTTCTAAGACTCAGACTGTTTTTTAAGCGGAATAGTCCAAAGTCGGCGCTCGGAAGCAGTTAAAAAAAAAAAAGAAGAGGGGATACCCCCAAAAGCAGTTAACTTATATATTTTTTCTAATTTATATCTATACCTATATATATATAAACACACTACTTGTCAAATCAAATTCATTACGTTTATCTTGTTTTACTGTCTTAAACTATCTCATTTTAAATGGTGTGTAAACTTTTGTGTGTAAAAGACAACTTTCAGTTTTAATTTAAGACAATAAAAGTCAATCCCGCTAACAAATGGCAACTAACAAAAGCAACAAAAAAAACAAAAAACAGATAACAGAAATGAAACGAAAGAAATGTATTAAAACCGATTGTGAAATTATGTAGCAAAAGCATTTAAAAAAGCTTAGCATTTTAAAGGAATCGAAACGAAGCGAGTAGGATGATGTTTGATGCCATTTCGAGCAGTTTATTTGTTATTTCCTATGTATATGTAATGAGTGTTTGTTTCCCCGTCCTGAGTCCTATTAATCGGTTAATCGGTTCCGGCTTCCGTTGGACCCCTCTGATATTCCTTTTTATTTAGCCCACAAAACCGCATTCATATTATAAATATATATACAAACACACCGAAACGAACACACACACTCGACCACGCGGATATATATTATATTATGTATTGTTATTTCCTGTGCGCACGTACTTAAAGCGGAGAATCAGCAGCAACCAGAGAAAGTCGAAAGAGAAAAACAAAACAAAAGATAACAAAACAAACCAGATAGCACTGTGGAAAACTAGATAATATCTATGATAAATATAATTGTAACGGAGGTGGACGCAGCTTAGAACTATATAAACTGATTAGTTGCCGTCGCCGAGGACGATGATGAGGGGCATCGAGAAGCAAAGAAAATCCATTAACTATTATTATTATTATGATTATAAATGAATTATGCAGCTGTATGAGACGGAAAGAGAGAGAGAGAGAGATAAGAGAAAAATAATAACATTAACATATTGTACAATATATTATTATTTTTGTATTATTATCATTTCCTTTTATATCTACTTATATTCCACAAACCTTTTGAGCCGAAATAAACAAACGATTTCGTTTTATCGAAGGACAAGATGGCCAAGACTCTAATTATCCGCAATTGCGAAAAGTTCTACACTTGGGAAATAACTCATTTCATTATTTTATGTAAAGTCCCCAAAATCGAATTGGATTTCTCCAATCAAATTAGCATAAAACTTCAGGAATTGCCCACAAAGTGGATTGCGAGCAACGGCACTTCCTGCCCGCAAAAAGTAGGCTATGAAAAACACCACCTCCTCCCCCTCCCCTGCAGAAATCGTATCAATACACGTGACTGAATCAAATCACAGAACTGACAGGCATTCTGTGTTCCTAAACTCTCCGTCATCCTGCAATCCTGCATCCTAATCCTAAGCCTCGACGAATCCGCGCAAACAAGTGTAGACGAATAATGGAAATCATCATGGATAATGCTCGGAATCAAGATGTCTCACGGCTGTCAGCTGTGCCTGCTGTTCTCTCCTCCTCTCCCTTCGGATGTCCTGGCCGCTCAGTGATGACTACTTAACGGTTTTCTCTAATTTCAGCTTGTTGAATTCATCAATTTTAGACGGATTTACAATTTAAAGGTTGAAATAGTTGGTAAGGATTGCAATCGACCAAAAGCAAAGTTATTTATTAAAGACTTATATCGTTTTTCGTTTTTAATTAGTTTCTACCTATTGAATAATAATTGCTTTGTACTTTTTAAATTCCAAACACATTCCGTTATTATTGATTTTTGTTTCGTTACAAAGTGTTACATTTAATAGTTTTTCTGATAAGTGGATTCTTCAGGGCTTCTGATATTCAAACTATTCGCAAGTCAGATAATTGGAGTCGATTGAAGTCAACGGAGAACCTATAAAAACGTGGGCTCTTCTACACTAAAATCAAACACAACTCGAACGTAATACAAAATGTTCATGCAGTGGACTCTTGTGATCTTCAGCGTAACCCTGATCTCCGCCGGATCAATTTCGGAGCGGATTGAGGGAGGAAGTCGGGCAGAAATATCCAAATTTCCCTGGCAGGCTTCTCTTCACATATACGGCCTCTTGACCTGCGGTGCTGTCATCTATAGTAACGAGATCGTCATAACAGCAGCCCAGTATGTATTACCTGAATTTCCAAAGATCCACTCTGTGAGAGTGGGCTCATCTATCGATAACACCGGAGGGCAAGAGGTGCAGGTGGCACAAATTATTAGCCACGAGAATTTTAAATTGAAAGGAGTATTTGCACCCAACAACATAGCCGTCATTCGACTTCAGTCTAAACTTATATTAGGCAACAGTGTGAGTCCCATTCCATTGGCAGATAAAGCCCCCAGTTCTGGATCGTTAGCCTGGGTTTCTGGATATGGAAGACCCGAACCTGACGAGCTCAAATCACAAAATCTATTCTATAGCGCTCTTAAAATTGTGAATTTCGATGAGTGCCAGAATTTATATAAGTACTTGAGTGAAGATATGATTTGTGCCGGCGCTCCTGGGCACAGTGTCTACGAGAAAGATGTCGGTGATCCTCTGGTCTCCGATGGAAAACTGGTTGGTATCGTTTCCTTTGTCTCTAAATGGGGCCTTTCGAAATATCCCGTAGTCTACGCTAATGTAGCGGAGCTTAAGCCCTGGATTTTAAATGCAATTGCTAAACTCTAAAACACTTAACATGCGAGTACCATTCTATACCAAAAAAATTAAAAAATTAATAAAAACAAGAAAGGAAGCTAGCAGTCATCACACTTGTTTTACTTCAACAACGCAGTAATGACGATTTTTCTACTGATTTTTTTATATTTTCACCGATTGATGATATAGTCGTCCGATTTTGATGAAATTTAATAAAATTATTAAAAAAAAAAAATTAATGAAAGTAATTACCTTCAATGGCATGCCACATCAAAATCTGATTAATTTTGGAAAGGTTATAGTCTTGCGAGTAGTGCAATGTTAATATAATGTTAATTTAATATAATATAAATTTAATGTTAACTTAATGTTAATTACATTTATATTGACACGTCATCGAAAATGATAATTAAAAACTTTTAACGTTTTCTTGCACCTATAATTCTGGTTGATTCTTAGTGGGATACCACTGGATTTTGGTCAAATGCTCAGCATTCCGGGACGACCGGTAGTTTTTTTGAGAAACTCTCTGCGGTCTTTGGAAGTCTGTGTGTGCTTGTGTGTTGGTGAAGTGATTCCAGAATGGGAGAGAGAGAGTATCCGGCCGACTCCTCCTACTGGAGTCCACTCTCGGATGCAGTGCATCATGGCGTAACTTGTTAGCATGGGCTTTTGGATGCCAGATGCCTTCCTGCTTGGTGTGGATTAGTATGCAGTGCATCATCACTTGACTTGGCATGGAGTTTTGTATGTCCTCCTACTCGGAGTGCAGGATGCACTGCATCTAACATGACTTGGCATGAACTTAAAGGAGCCCGAGTATAGCGGTGAGCATCATTTTTTTTTTTAAATTAAGTGATGACGTGTTTTTTTGTAAATGTAGTGCAATAATTTAATTTAATATTTATTTTATTTTTATTTCAGGTTTTTGGAAGTATATTTGACAGGTTGCAGAAAATAATTGGTGGCATCATCTTGCTTGTAATTTGGAGCTGGTCATCAGGATGCAGTGCACCAAGATTTTTTCGCAGTGAGTACATCGACTATGCATGGTTTTAAAAGACAATATAATAGATAAAGATAGATAGTTCTATTGGAAAAAAACAGTTTCAACTTCCTGCTTCCAAACCAAAAACGAAAACAATTAAGTATCAATTTATTTTTGGTATATTAAGTTACTTGTTTTTATCCGTGTTCGTCCATTTTAGTTTTGTACAGATCCGCAGTTCTGATTAGATATTTTTTGGCATCACTCCTGCAGCAGTCGACACTGTCTTCCTCTCTCTTTGTTCCTTTTCGCGATGCTCCTTTTTGGATGTCGCTCCACTCAACTGTCGCTCTCCTCTCTCCTGACGAACTGTAACCTTTGGTAAGGTTAAATGTGAGCAGCGGAACCCGCGAATTGTGCCACGCCAAAAGAGGAGTGTTGAGTGCAGAGGGGGGTATGGAGCGGGGGGCGAGGCGCCGACGCAGAAATATGGGGTATAAGGATATCAGAACATCAGGACATGCCGCTCTTCCGTTATCCCTTGCAGCCAACTCGAACGTGTTGCGTGGAACCTGTTCGTTTGGCTCTCTTTCCACACCGTTCTCCCCACCTTCTGCCCCACCCACTTGCACTTCCACGTGGGTGTGCTTCGGCTATAAACAGCAAGAGCATCTGTGTCTGTGTGCTTGTGTGTGTGGGTTTATCTCCGTATCAAAATCAAACTGATTCAGCATCTCCATCAGTATTAGTATCAGCAGCAGCTCTGCTTTAGTCTCTGCCGCAGTCGGCGTAACTGCTGAAGTACGAATACGGTGGAGCCTCACAAGCTCTGATTCCAGATTTTTTAAATCCTTTTTAACATTTTAAAGGTAAATAATATATATTTGTAATCTGGATATAAGTAATATCTTTAATCTTTGCATTGTCACCTAACTTTTTCTTTTAATATTATTTTTTGAAATTGATATTTTGATTGAGTGTAATTTTCTAACATTTAGATACCACCAAAAAAATATATGTTCGTAATAGTAAGGTTAAACTGTAACCCCGTTGGATGCCCAAAAATGGGGGAATTTGTGGGGCTAGAGAAGCGCTAGAGTCGCCTGTCGCTGCAATGATTGAGATTAGTTTCCATTTCTTAATTGAAAAGTTGCTCTAATCTTTTCATATTTGTGGAAATTTGCCACAGAAATTTATCAATTTTCCAGCCCAGCCTTGGCCGCCTTGGCGCCCACTTTTGGACCCAGCCACCACCCTCTCTTTATTCTCCCCTCCGAGGAACTACAATGCCCTTCTGGCAGGCAAACTGCCTTGAACAGAAATCGCCCTTCAGTCTGCTGTCGCTGCACTGGAAAAACAATTGCGGCCGAAAGGGTGGTGAATTTGATGCCAATTAAGGAAAAGGTAAATTGCCAACGGAAGGCAAAGTTTTAAATGTCCTTTCATGACAAGTTATGCTGTTCATTTAATGAGGACATTTCGCGCACACTTAAATTCATTATAGAAGTTGTTCTGCGATATTCTTGGACCAAACTTAAACACTGCCCAATTACTTAGTTAATAGCAAATAATGATTGTTATAAATAGTATGTTTTTGTAAATCCTTATACTTATTTATAGTAAAATTTTTTGAGTACTGTCATGGTAAAAACTGATAGTTTGGTAACTATTTTAAATATTAGAGGATAAAAAATTGCATACTTTTTGTCACCTTAAAATGGATATCTTATATTCTGTTTGCTCAGAATATAGTGTCTTATTTTATTGCAGTGCTGCTGCTTTTGTAGTTGTTTTATTCCCAGGGCCAATCTCATCGCCCCCCAAACATCTCGCTCCCAATCTCCCCGCCCCATTTGCCCGCTGGCACTTCTGGGGGGGAATGAAAAAAGTAATTTTGTGCAACGATGCGACGACCCTTGGCCAAAAAAAAAGACACAAAACAGAAAAAGAAAAACAACAGCGGGAACAACAACAAAATTGTAATGAGAAACCTTTTATGGCACAAACACATGCTTGCTTTTCCACCCGCCTCCGCCCACTTTCCACCCCCTCTTACCACCCAAAAAGCCAAGTTATCTCTTCTGTTCTCTTCTCGTTTGCCTTTTAGTCGTAGTCTAATTTTATTTGGTTTGCTTTGCGCTTCATCTGCTTCTCCTTCATCTTCGTTCACTTCTTTCTTTTGTCTACTTAGAATTAATAATTTTTGTTGTTTTTTACTTCTTTTTTTTTCATTTCCATCGTGTTGTAATACAATATGTTTGTAGGTACTCTATATGTATATATACAGCTGGGGTCAAAATAATAGCAGTAGCTACTAAGAAACCAAATATTTTGATATATTTGATGAATTGTTTGTGAGCTTTGCCCCGATTAAAAAAATTTCTTTGTCACTATCAAAGAATTTTAATATTCAATCATTTTTTTCTGTAAATTATAAACTAAGATATATTTTTTCAAACGTTACCATAAGATTGTTTGTTCCTTATTTTGGACGACCACTGCTATTATTTTGACAACAACTGTAGTTGCTTTTGTTTTCTTAGCGTTTTTTAGGTTGTCCTTTTTTTTACTTTTGTTTGTTTGATAATTTATATTACAAAATAAAAATCAAAAAGTTAAACGGGGTGGGGCCCGGTTAGGGGTTAAGGATGGGGATGGGATGGAACGGAAGTTTGGGGCGCGGCCAAGGGTTAAGGGAAAGAGAGGTGGAATTTGGCAAATGATTTGGATTTGGCAGGTGAGCCCCTCTCTTGTTCTCCTCCCGCTCTCCAAGCGAATTTCTTTTGTGTTTGTTTGTTTCGGTGTGTGTGTCTCTTGGGGTGTGGGCGTGGGTGTGAGTGTGGGCGTGTCCATTGGGAGCATTGGAGCATCTTTATCGAAATAACATTGTAATTGCTTTTTGATAAATGAAGCACGCGCTGCACAACTGACAGCCGACCAACAAAAGCAACGAAAGGCACCAACTAAAACAAACAGTGAGAGCGGGAGTGAGGGAGCAATGCTCTAGCACCAAAGTTACCCTCTCTTTTTTATTTCTTTGCTAAGATCAAAAGCAATTAGAAATCCAACAGGACTCCTAATTGGGAACAAGTGGGTTTCAAGTGGACTTGGAGTTGGAATTGCATTACACTTAAATTAAAGTTTAAGTCATACAGAAAAAAAATCAAAGGTATTGGTCTTACATACTCTAAAATATGTTCCTTAATCACTAATTGACTAAGCAGCAAGCAATATGCATGATAATATAAAAAAGTTTAGTCAATTGTTTAAAAACATAATTATAAAAGAAGTAAAAAAATTTTTGTTGAATCGTATTGCGACACGATTTTAATTTATCTTTATTTCTTAAAGAGCTGTATTTTTCTTTTCCCTCAATTTTAATTTAAACATTAATCAGGTAAAGAAAAAAAATAACAAAATATTTTATATTGTTCCATATATGTATCTGGTACTTTTATAAATATGCTTAGCTTATCAGGAAGAAGTTTATTTGGTTAAGTTTTCTTTGTTTTTTTTTTCTAAGTTCAAAATGTTTGTTTTATAAATAACCATTTGTATTGGATATAAATACATACACCTAGTTTTATATATTTTTTTTTTACATTTATATGAAAACATTCAAAAGTAAGTGATATAAAAAATAGGAAAAGATTGAAATGTACATTTAAAGGAATCAAAGTTTAACATGTTTTTCAGTCCACACTTAGTTTTATTCTTTTTTTGTATTTTTTTGTAAGAATATTATATATATATATATTTACTTGGAAGATTTTAGTTGAGTAGTTGGAAACGAAGGTTTGGATTGAGAAGTACGGTGAATTTGGTATAAAATAATATAGAATAAATTATTCATGTAAATAATTGTTTTCACTGTTGAGCATTCACTGCTTTTCAAGGGGTATTTGGTGGACATGCCCTCGTCTTTAATGGGTATTGGGGTTATAAAAGCAAAGTCGCTTGGACGTCTCACTCAAGTGTCGCCCAGACCTAATATACCCCCCCGACCCCCCGTCTTTAACCCACTACAGTCCATTCGAAAAGGGGGTGGGCACCACGCACTCTGGGAAGACAATTTAAAATGTTGAAAAATGCTCAGCTAATTGGCAGTTGACAGCGTCGAGAGCCTGGGATTGGCTTGGCCCACAAAATACGGAAAAAAAAACACAACACAGACATCGGCGGGCAGGGGTTAAGAAGGGGGAAATGGGTAGGGGGAGGGGGAGTGCTGTAGGGGCATATAAATTTAATTTGGTTTATAAAAAGTGCTTGAGAATGTAGAGTGGGGAAATGCTGAAGTGGCCGAGCGAACAACAGCTGAACAAAAAACGGGGATGCTGGGGCGGCCGAGGGTTAAGGGGATCGCATCTAATGGCAGCCAAGTGGCCGCCAAAGCCAACCCCCTTAGCTAATCCAAAAAAAAACAAGAACAAAAAAAATGGAAAAACCAACAAAAAAATTAAATTAAAAAAGTCAAGAAATTAAAAATAAAAGTCAAAAAAAAAAGAAAGGCAAGAGAGATGGACGAAAAAGTTCGGAAGCCAAAAAGAGAGTTTTTCGCCAAAGAGATGGGAAGAAAGGAAAAGTTTAATCGGAAATTCTTCAGAGAATACTTTTCCGGCTGCGGCAAAGGAATTTTTCCATTTTCCATTTCATCTAGCCAAAGAAGTTTCTCATAATCGACACGACCCCTTACACAATCAACCCCCTTGTCTTGAATGCATTTGCATATCCCAACTCTAATTTATATGATAAGTGGGAGGACGACAGGGGGGGAGAAACACAGAGGAGTAGACAGAGGAAGGCTGCAAAAGGGGGAGCGACACACACACACACAAAAATCGATGCCTTAGTTTTTTGATTATAGAAGGGGTTTACTACACACGTAGTGTATATGTATATGTATTCCCATGCCAACCCGCAACAAATAAAAGTAGCCAAAAATGAGCTGCAATAACAAATCAAATTATATTTACATAATAAACGAATAAAGGATAAATATTGAAAGGGCACCGTACTTCCGCTTCCATCCTTCTCGTCCGAATTTATTCATACACAGTACATATCTAAAATGTGATTGGCATATTTCGTTTTTAGTCTTAACGAGTCTCTGCCACACAAAAAAAAAAAAGTAAAAAAAATAGAGGTAACACAATTGGATCGCTAAACTAAAATTAAACTAGGACTATATATATATTGTATGGCAATGGGTTCAGACTGCACAAAGTTCTCACTCCAGTAATTCCATTTTGGGGGAAGGTTGGTTGGGTTTTCTTTTAAAATGGCTAAGCAAGTACGTTTATTTTGATTCGATCGAAGTTCACTAATTCACACTACAACCATTGGAGCAGATATTAAAAGCACACACGTTCTTCCACATTAAAAAAAAACATCGAAAGCAGGAACGCTCCATTAATCTTATTGAGTTTAATACTACTTTTACTTTCTTTTTGCTTTCCATGGAGTTGACCAGCCATCTTCTTCTTCCCCCTGGAAAACCCTCTACTTCTCTTAGGTCTTAGGCCTTAAAATCATAGGTTAACAAAACAATGGACCACTTAAAATATAAATAAATTAGGGCTAGAATATTTACAGGCATTTTGCGTAGCGAAGTTTTCTCAGCTTATCTCCGTATTAACTATAGTTTAGTTTAGTTTAGTTAGTTACTTTGTTACTTTGTTTTTACATGCTCAAGTACAATAAGTCAGTTATAATAGTTTACTTTGTTGTTGTTGTTGTTGTTAATTCAATTGAGTTTGTCTAGGTATAAACATTTAAAAATTTTGAAAAATATTTACTTTTGATTTAAGTTTTCTTGTTAATTTCTTATTCTTCGTTTTTTTTCTTGTTTTCTTTTGCTTTGTTTTTCTCTTTTATGTACTATGTTTCATTGAAGTTTGAAGACGACGAAAAATGGAAAAGAGATGCATGATATTTGTTATTAATATTAATTTGTTGCTCATTTGTTTTTAGCCTGAGATAAAAACAAATGCGTTTTGTTTGTTTGTTTGTTTGCAAGCGAGCGACGACGATTGACAAAAAATTTGTAGCAATTTGTTGCATTTAGTTTGGTGTATGTAGTTGGTTGGCCGCTGGCCCCTAGTCTATAATATAATATAATATATAGTAATATAATATATATTTATATTCGTAACCGTAACCGCAAACGTATCTTTATCTGTTTTCTGATTCTGTTTCTTTTTCCGTTTCTGCTTTTGTATCTGTAGCTCTTTCTTGATCTGTTCTGCAATTGTATCTCTGGCTGCGCTGCTTGTATAACTATGATATATATATATGTATATAGTAAATGCGTTAAGTGTATAATATAGTTGGTATATGTATATAGAGCTATGTATGTTAATCATGCGTGTATATATGACTGCGCTGGTTTGGCATTGGGATCTACGAATGGCAGAGGATAAAACTTAAACTTAGTTGAGCGAACTTTGCCTTTTGACTTTTCGATCCAATTCGATCTGATCTATCGCATCGAACCGCAATTCAGGATTTTCCGTTTTTTTGGGAAAAGGGAACTAACTATTAAATAATCGGCGAAGAGTATGTACATAGTTTCCTTCGCTTCGGTTTTGTTTTTGCTTTTTGGGGTGCAGAATATCACATAGTCAGACATCTATATATATACGACTACAAGTTCTCCGATCGGCAATTGCCCTTCTCCATCCTCCATGCTCCATACTCCATCCTCCATCCTCCATGATCCATCCTCCATCCTCCTTAGACATGCAACGTGGAGGCGTCCAGTGAGTTTCGGGAGCAGGAGTTGCGACCAATCAAGGTGGCCGTGTCCGCACTGTCCGCGTCCAGGGGGAATCGCTTGCGCTGCGGACGCAGGAAGAGGAACATGACCAGCAGGGCCAGGAAGAAGGCCAGTGCTCCGAAGGCCGGATAGACCACTCCGCCCAGTTCGCTGGGCGTGGGCAGGGCACTGATTATATACACCCGATCCGTGGGCCGCACCCGAATCCGCTGCTCCAAGTGCTCCAATGGCTCCAACGACACAGACTGGCTCTTTTCGGTGCTCGGAGTGATCGCGGTGGTCGAGGTGGTGGTCGAGGTGGTGCTCGTTGTCGTGCCCACCAGCTGAGTGGTGTCCACATTCAGTTTGATCGAACGACGCATCACACCAGTGAGCTGATGGGTAAGAATGAAAAGAATCGTTCAGAGTTTGATTAGCTGATATATTTCTATAAAGCAAATAGGTAAAGTGTCTCATTTTAGGCTTATGTGTAGCTTATCTTGTTTGTAAGCAATAAAAGGTTCTTAAGGTGTTTACCCAACTATCTGTAAGTGCTCCAGAAAACTCCACATGATAAGTAAGCTAGATAGTGAGATGTTCTAAATAAACCAATGAAAACTTTAAACCTACCAAAGATAAAGTTCTTCATTTTGTCACCCATGAATATCTATATCAACCTTTATTAAATAAGAATACTCTTCAAATTACTTGATATTTGAATCAAATACATCTATTTCTCAATCCTACGATATTACCTCTAACATTCTTCAATAAACCCTTGTTTTATTTATCCTTTCCTTATCTTAAATCTTATGACTATTTCTCTTAACCCCGGATATCAACCTAGTTGGAAACTCACCTTGTGCTTGCATTTAACCTGGATGTTGTAGACGGTGTCTGGCCACAGGGACAACTCCGCCCGAGCGGTGTCCGTGAGCAGATTGCCGATCAGGCCGCCGCCGGAGACCTCCCAGGTGATCAGGCATTGTCGCGAGGCATTGGCTATCATCTCGTCCCAGCCGATGTCCGTGAGGACGAGCGACTCCTGGCGCTGGGCCTTCAGGATCCTCAGCTCGAAGGGGGCCAGCAGCTTTTGACAGCACTGCAAAAAGGGAAACCAGACCATGATTCACGAGGATGCCAAGGAGCAGGAGCAGCAGGAGCATCAGGAGCAGCAAGGACAACGCCCAAGGCGAAACACGAAGCGTTAAGAAAAGACAGGAAAACCAGGGAAAGGCAGGGAAAGGTAGGAAAATTCAGGGGAAAGGGGAAAAGGGAAAGGGAAAGCGGAGGAAAGGAAAGTTAGCTATTTGTCAATTATTTCTTGTAATTATGTGGCGCGCCCGCAGGTAGGCAATGAAATTTCTGTTCGTCCTTGCCTCGGCTGCCACACTTTTCGCCCCCAAGCGACAGCGTTTAACCCATTAGGGCCCCGGACCGTTTCATTTGGAATAATTCATGTCCCCGCCGTGTGTAAGTGCCTAAAAATGTTTACGGTTGGCAATTTGGTGCGACGGGAAAACCCTTTCGCCTTTCCTTAACTTTCCACCCGGCCTGCTGGATAATAAATGTAGATTAAATTTCGGGCGTTTAAAAAGATACTCCTCGGGAGGAATTCTCTCGAAATTGTCAAATTTCTAATGAAATGAAAGACGCAATGGCCAATAAAGTCGTGTTGCACAATTAAAATGATTTACATTTTAGGGTAGCAAAGTTTACTCGCATTAAAGGTGATGAGAAAGTTTATAAATGATATATGGTTTATTATAAACTAAAATATGTTACTGGTTATTGTTTGAAAATGATCTACTTTTAATTAAACACAGTTTCTCGTTTAATGGATATAAAACTCCCACTTGAAAGAATTAGGTTTTAGTTTCCTATTTTTCCGCCATTTGGTGATAAGTGGAGTACAATATATGGCGAGAATGGCGAGAGTTTATGCCACTTTCCAAGCAGTTTTGAGCCAGCAATAATGGGTTAATGACATCGTTAGCCTGTCGCACAAAGGACAAACACGGGATGAAGATACTTACGTTTGTGCAATCAACGGAATCCTTACAATAATGCCAGTCCTTCGAAAGCTGCAAAGACGGAGAGAGAGAGAAGGAGAGATGAGTGTGAGAAAGAGACAGGAGACAGGAGAAAGTTAGTTAGTGGGCGTGGCCTAATCGAATTTTAAGTAAGCTAGGAAAAAGTAATCAGGCCCAGGACCCCAGGCTGCCAGGACAAACAACAAGGAGTCATCAGCAGGCTCCTTTCTGCCCCAGTCCCTATCTTATGCTCCCAACAATAGACGCAAATTTGTAACTTGTAATAAGAGGCAAGGCAGTCAGGACAAAAAAATAAAAAAAAAAAACAGGAAAAGTCTATGGAGACTACACCCGCGGTCAAAAGAATACAAAAGCCAACTTCATTTTAAGCTCCAATGCAAAGCAATACTTAAAAATTCTCTAATGAAATGTTTAATTATTTAAAAAGATATTCAGAACTGAAAACTTAAGTTCTTATTATTAACCCAGTATTACCTAATACCTAAACATTATCTAGGGAAATGTTTAATTATTTAAAAGGATATTCAGAACTGAAAACCTAAGTTCTTAAATTAAAATTATTAACCCAGTGTTACCTAATACTTAAAAATTCTCTAGGAAAATGTTTAATTAATTAAAAAGATATTCAGAACTGAAAACTTAAGTTCTAAAATTATAATAATTAACTCAGTGTTGAGTGTATTTTGGAATCCCAGTTCTTTGGGCTTCCTCAATTTGGATACCGAAATCCCAATATTATCAAATCAATGGAAATGCTTAGGTAAATTGTCTGTTGCCTTGGGCAATTGTGTTAATCCCTTTCGCTATTTATTTGACCGGTCCTGTACACAAGTAAATGACCACAAACGTTTGTGTGCCGTCCCGTCCGTCGTCGTCTATGGCGAATTGAAAATTTCACGCTCCCGGCAATGAGGATAATGAGGAGGATTGCCGTGACAGGACGATGGGAAGGGCAGGAGGATCGGGATCAAAACCGGACTGCCTGCTTAGCCTTTGTCAACTGTCGCCTTAGTCTCAAAACAGCTGAACTGAACGGAACAAAATAGAACACAGAGCTAAAACTCAGCTGAACTAAGGAACAGCGGGCAGTACGAGGTACCAGGACCATTTCCCCTGGTTTTCCCCATTCGCAGTCCTTTTATGAATGAGCAACCGGCAGGCAGACAAAAAGACAGACAGACAGACAGACAGACAGACTCAGAAATGACTGAGGGAAGACCAATTTCCCCCTCCACCAGCGATTAGAGATGGGTGCGTGACAAATTGTTATGACTCGGAATTTACAATATTAAAAAAAATCAAACGAGGCGGTCCCAAGCTCACAAACTCAATTCATTGGGCATTCGTTTTCGGTTTTCAGTTTTCCGAGTTTTCGGGATTTTCGGGGAGGGTTAAGTAACCCTAAATGCTTCTTGCTGCAAGCCAGATTTATGGTTATTGCATTCGCCGGCTTTAGTTTTATGAAATCTTTATCTACAGCCTCAGTCGATTGGTCATACTAGTTAATTTGGAACTCTGATTGAATTGTATGATTCCCCATATTAAATACAAGTATTTTCTGTATCTTTACCATATGAAAATACCCAACTTGGCGAATCTCTGGTTGAGCACACTTAACTAAAATCAATAATAATAATAGCCGGCAACACTTACACCCTAATGTTTGTTTAACATGAACATGTGTACATGGCACCAAACCTAATCCTTATCATAATAATCAGCCTGCAGCTGCGAATTATAATCGTTTAATTGACCCTTGGTGCTGGTGCCACAAAGCCTTGACTTTAATTTCTACTAGGTTTTTAAGCCTCAAACAACTTTAGTTTAGATTTTATGTTTGGTTTCTTGCCGGGCAGCTAAATCGTTCCTTCTTTGTGGGACTTCAACTTAAGCCATGATATTATCCGCCCGCTCAATCGTTTCTTGGCAACTCCGCTTAAGCCAAAGCCACTCCGATGCTATCCGGCCCTCTAAGCCCTTAAATGCATCCGCACTTTCTGCAAATGTAGTTGTACTTGCATCTGGATCGATCATCCATCATGCTGGCTAAGGAAGGCTGAGGAAGGCTAAGGAAGTGGCAAAACCCCGAACACGAACCCAACTGGTCGCTGGACAATGGCTGCCATCACCTTTTGGGCCAACTTTGACGGCGGCACTTTGTCATCATTACACAATAAGGCAGGAAAATCAGGAGTGGAGGGGGAAACGGAAAGGGAAGAGGAGCAGGAGCAGCAGCACAAGCTGGAGATGGAGATGGGGATGGAGAAGAGGACCAAAACCAAGCAGTTGTGGCAGATAAAAACGACGAATGCCAAAAGGAAAATCGCAAAGACAACATATTTTCCGCTCAATTGAATTTCTGGCCTCTGAAGATGTGGACTGTAGCTGCTGAAGTTGATGAGGGGAGGATTCTGGATTCTGGATTGCGATTCGAACGCAGGACTCTCAACAGAGGACTGAGAAACAAGGGGAACAAGGATGTGGACGAGGCCTGAACCTGAAACAACTTGGGCGATAAGTAACAACAATAAGGCGTTCAGTTCCAGTATGAATGTATGAATGAATGAATGAATAACTGAAATGAATGACTGACCCAACCGACGGAACGACCGACTGAATGAAAACGCTGAACTGGCAAATCTTTTGGCCCAGCGGCTTTCCCCGATTTCCCATCGCTTTCCACACAGTCTCGAGACGTTCGACCACGACCACTTCGACTACTACCTGGCCCAAAATGTGTCTGGGCCAAATAAATTAAACGCAGGCAGCGACAACTTTTACATGCAATTGCCCTGGCATTTCACACCCCGGCCAACTGCACTCGAAGAAAAGTGTTAAAACCGGCACCTGAAAGCGGCGGAAAATCACCTTCACCTTTGTTGAACGAATAAAATTTCCCGCACACATTGTTCAGGTAAATATACAAAATTTCGTTAAATCCCTGCGATTTAGAGTCTATTTGTTTCCTTTGTAGGTTTATTTTCCTTTGTTTTCGTATATTTAAACCATTTCGTTAATTGTTTTGGAACAATACAAATATTCATATATGCTAATAGGGGTTTCAAATGGTTTCATTTTGAGGGAATAAGCCTTCTATTTATAAATCCTAATTTGTTTGTTCATTAGTTTTAAATGGTTTTCTTTGTGAGGTAAAAGTTTAAATCTTTTATTTTGAAATCCTCATTTACTGCGAAAAATATGAAGTGTGATTTGTAGATATTATATTTGAGATATTACTAGACTTGTTAGGTTATTGAAGTATTTATTTTTTCTTCAAGTGTGCAAACTGGGCCGCTAGATTCCGTAGGCCACATAAATTACCAAAGTTGGGTCAGTCAGTCAGTTTTTTGAGCGGCTTTTATGAGACACGTACGCATACGTAGATATATTCGATGATTCCACCACCAGCAGCGGCCGAACTACGTGCCTCGCATATACATCAAGATCGAATCTTCCGGCCATCGTGCCACCCGGAAAAATCCACCCGGCACCCAAGCCACTGGAGCACCACCCACCGGAATCACCCAAACCCACACACCCAAACCGAAACCACCCACTGGAGTTGGAGGAAAAGTCTTTCATGGTGTTAATTTGGCGCTGATTGAGCAACGCATTCGCATTCGCATTCCCCGTTCTCGATTCTCGATTCTCACTTCTTGGGGGTTGGACAAAAGGATGGAAGTATGAAAGTATGGAAGGATGGATGGATGGATGGATGGGTGGATTAGTTCCAGTTAGTCCTGCGAGCCGAGCATGAAATTAGCCCTGCCTGCAACCCCTAAGAACTTTTGACTTTCGGCGGGGCATCCTGCATTACCGCCATCGCCATCGCCAACCGCCACCACCATTGAGAAACTTCAGCGTTCCAAAACTTCTGCACAGAGTTCGGACTTCAAAGGGCATATCCGATGTAGATGGAGATGGAGATGATGACGGTGATCAGGAATGCAGACGGCATCCACAGGCGAAAGCTTAAGTATTTCGTGCCCAAAATCTGCAATTTCGGACTAAATAATCAACAAAGATTGGCACAAGGAAAGCCGAAAAGCCCAGACCATTTCTGGGCATCAGGGAGGAGGAAAAGTTGAGTGAAGGCAATTCATACAGAGGAGCATCTGCCATGTCAATCAGCACAGATATTTTAAGGCCATCATTTCGTGTATTCTATTCGCTAAAAAATTCCTACTCAATGGGACTATTATCAACTCTTCGATGGATTACTAGGTGAGAAAGATTTAATACAATAATATATTACTTTTGCATTGATTTCCCCATAAATGATGAGCAACTCTGCAACCCTATATCGAAAGTGCTACCGAACTATATTTGGAGCAATTTCTGCTTATGCCCTCGCGTTAAATCAATAAACTTTCGGTCTATATTTGGACGTAACTCAACATAGCGTTTCCCTAGAACCATTTCGAGTGTCGCAGACGACTGTCCGAGTGTCTTGGCCTCTCGAGTTTCATCCCGTGTTTCTTTGTAAGTGTCGCCACAGCACTCATCATGGGCACTCCTCGAGTCAATTGGGTTGAATGCCTCAGCCTGGGCTCCTCCACCGTTTTCCATTCTCAGTTCGCCACTCGAAGTCGTCGAGTCGAAAACCCAATCCCGTACACCTCATAGCCGGCCACAATGAGCTGCTCTCGACTTACTTGGAAATCGGAGATGATATTTATACTCTCGTGTTTTTCCCCACTTGATTTATGCCTGTGTTCTGTGGCCCGCCGGATCGTATTGATATGAAAATTTGATTTGATTTCGTTTGATTGAAATTTATTAACCATCCACAGTTGTCCGACCCTCCCCCAGTGGTTCCGATATCGTTGACAGATCAGCGCGGTTCCAGGAAGTCACGCATTAAAAAATCAACTGCTGGAACTGGCCACAAATCTTTTTGGGAAACTTCGGCCACGGCCCCGTCTTGATTTCAATGCGCCGGGGACGTATTCAAAATTATTTCGGCGGGGATCGGTTACACCAACTGATGGGGAAAAGCCGAATCCCCGGGGTTTCAAAGTTTGTTTAGGGAACCAGAAAGTGTCAATTCAGCGCTTCTCGGGGGTGAGTTCGATTGCAGAGGCATTTCCAACTTGACTTTGTTGTCTGAAAAGTTGGTTATTCATATTGATTAGTTGGGCATTAGTTTTGTGCATCTATTTGCTTTTCCACTATTGGTTTTATCACTCACAAAATGAATATCACGTGGGAATTTGCAATGATTTTATTTAATCAGAAATTTTTTATTTGCTTATATATGAGTTCGATGGATTTTACATTGGTAAGTCAAGGGGATAAATGTCAAACGAAATCCATTCTTTTCATCCAACTTTTTCAGCTGCCTCCGATTTTTCGTGGTCATTTTTCAAAGCTCTCTTTTTGGAGAGCTCATTGTGTCCTTCTTGAGATCCCATTGTTCGCCCCACCTGCTCTATTTCTTGAAAAGATATTCCCCTTTGCCGCGGCCTTTTCAAGTGAAGTTCGCGTGGAACGACATCGTCCATCCATCTGTGACAGCTTTGTACAAATTCGATCCGAGAGCTTTACTCCTTCTTTTTTTTGGCCATTGTCCATATAGCCGTCTCAAATTCAATTCCCGATCTCTATTAGCGACGCTCGACCACCCAGTTGACATCTTTCTAGCGGCCGCCGGCTACCTGAGCGGTAATAACAACAACAACAACAACAAAAACAACAGCAATATAAACCAAGCGGCAACAGAAGCAGCAGAGGCAATAGCTGCGATGTCAACCCGTAGATAAAAGATAAAAGACCCAGCGAGCGGGCATACGAGTACGGGTATAAAAAATGACGTCGCTTTCTGTTGCCTTCACGAACGAACCATTGTCATTGTCATCGACATCTCGACATCGACGACATCGAGACATCCAGGTCTCCTATAACCTTGAAGGTCGGTGCCGTCGAGGGTACAACTGTTGCTACACGCAGAGAAATGGGTGTGTCCGAGACCAATTCGGCATGACCCCAATTAGGGCAATCTTAATCGCATTAAATATTACCTGGCGGAAGTGCGCGCTGCACTTAAATTGACTGGGAAAGTCTGCTTGTTGTGAAATATTTCCCTTAAGACGATCGCAAGCCTTTTTTTGTTACTTCTAAACATCGTATTACTTATGATCTGAGTTGATTTCATAACAGTTTTTCAGAAATGCAAACTTCAAGTGCTGGAAAACCAAAGTTTCTACAGCTTTTTAAGCCTTTCGTTAAAGAAAATTAGCTATTGAATTTCTTAAGAATTTTTTCAACCCCAATTGCCAACTTCCTTTGGGTAAGCGAACAACCATTTTTGGGCAATGCGGTTTTGAAAGTATGAATAAATTTGGAAAACAAAGAATGCAGTACCCTTGAATAGAATTTTTAAGAAATGAAAAATAACAAAACTATGCAAATTTTGTATTGCTAATTAACATAAAAATCTGGAAATGCATGTATACATGGGGAAGTTAAATTTGTTTGACTGTTCAAATTAAGGATGCATCTGGTTTAACCTATTTCAATTTGATGTTTCTGCTGTGCTCCTCCTGGTTATCTAAATAGATCTCGTGGAACTTTAATGGCAGGTGGTCGGCCTATGATTATTTTTTCCTGTGTACAAGCCGCCTACCCTATCGGCAATATTGCCGCTCAACTGGGCATACAACTGTCCATCAAACGACCGGGATCGAAACGGATCCGATCCGAGGTCTTATCTTGGGTTCAGAGTACTGAGTTCTCAGTTCTGAGTTCTGTTTTGAGTCTGGGGGTTTATGAGTCTGGAAGTTGGACTCTTTTTCTTGTGCTTACCTGCTGATAGCAACTTTGACGGCATCTGTTCCTCTGCTTGCCGGCAAAGGGGGCGGGGGCAGGGGCGGCGGCGACGGCGACGGCGGCAGCGGGCGATGTTGGGTCCGCTGCAGGACTCGATATCGATAGCGATAACTGTTTCGATCGGGCGGGCCCCGCCTCCTGGGCAAAGGAAAGGGCGGCAAGGGCACAGGCCATCAAAACAAGTGAGTGGAACATGTTGTTGTCCTGCTGTTCGCAGTGCTTCCTCTTTTTTTTATTATTCAACTTCGCCTCCTTTCTTGTCCTGCCACTCCCTCCTTTTTCCCGAATGGGCGTGGGCGTTGACTCGTGTGTGTTCGTGTGTGTGTTGGCTGTGTGTTTTTGCGTGTGTGCCTTTGTGTGTGTGGGCGTGGAGAGCGGTGTGCTCAGCAGATTGATTAATTGATTGATTTTGTTTGTTTATTTTCGTATCAAGTGGTGTTGCTCTTGTTGTTGTTGGGGCTGGCACATAATAATCGCAGCGTCGACTGCATTTAGTCAAGCGGAGCACTCAGTCCTCTTCTCGGAGTTCCCGCTCTCCTTGCTCTTTTCGCTCCACCTCCTTTGCCTTCTCCCGTTAACTGTAACAGTTAACTGTGGCTCCACATGCTGTGAGCGACAACAACAAAAACGGTTGGCTCTTTTATTTATTTTTTGTGTTGGTTTTTTTCTTGGGTGTTCTCTTTAACTTGCGTTATTTGTTTGACTTTGTTGTTTGAGTACAAGTATAAGTTACACTGGGGGCCACAGCACACGTGAAAAAAAGTAATTGTAACGTTTGTTAAATATACAGAGAGTACCACCCGAAAAATAAGAACGACAGCAATAACAAAAACACACGTCGTAGGACGACAACGACGATGACGAAAAACACGACGAAAGTGAATATACGAAAGAGTATGCGAGCTGTGCGGAATTTCGAATCAAGAGCCGAACAACCAGCGTCGTCGAGGGTTAAATATACATTGGAGATACATTGGAGATGCGTGTTGCCTAACCCCTATGCAGTGCATGGGGTTTAAAACGGCCTGTCAAACAAAAAAGTGAGAGAGCCAACCGAACATTAACGGACTGAACCCGAACGATTTGGCAGTTGCTTTCGTTCGCTGAAGGCGCTGTATCTGGACCATGGTAGAATAGGCAGAAGGTAGTAGTCACGTCGGATCTGTCAGCCCGTTAACAATCCAACGAAAACAGAGAGCACAAACCGAAAAGCGAAACATCACAACAACAACGCCCAGAACTGTCAGGCTGAGAGACAAGAACAGCAACAACGACGAACATCAGTGGCAACTAGAAAAGCAACAAAACCACTGCAGCAGCGCAGCAGCCACTCCAGTAGCTAGATATAGCGAGATGGCTATATTTGGCTAGAAAAAGGATAGCAGAGTCCTGGGGCCCACGAAAATGATTGACACTACAATTTAAATGAAACTAAAAGAACTAATGATCAAAAACCTAGGGTGAGTGAGGGTGCTTTTTTATATAGCTTTTTGAAAACTACCTTGTCTAGCTAGCTAAGAGATTGTTCTTGAGCATCTCAGTTAGCAAGGCCTCCGAGCTCCTTTATCAAACATGTTGGCTTCGAACTGACAAGTTGGGAGGAGTTTTCTGTTAGCAAGTTGGAAGTTGCAAGTTAGAAGTTGCAAGTGGCGGAGTCTGTGTTGTCGGAAAGGGAAGTGGGAGTGGAAGTGTGAGTGAGTGCGGGCAAGAGGGGGCTCGTTGGGGCCTAAGGTTGCACTGGGTTGCCTTGGGCTTCGGCCTCTTGGGTTGGATTGGATTGGATTGGGCGGGGTTGGGGTTGCACGTTGGGCTGGCTCCCGGGTTAGCTCTTTGATGATACTGGGGTGGCAAAGCAGAAAGCCAAAGCCAAAAGGTTCTCCTCTCTCTTCCTCTATCCCCCTTTCTCTTTGACCGTCTATCAACTCCGCTCTCTCCCTCCCGCCACTGCGGACATGCAGATGAATCAAAGCGGCCGCTGATTATAGCAACAATATGGAAATGCCGCTACCCTTAACCCCCCACCTCTTCACCCTCACCCTACCCCTCCCCCTTTTGCCCTTATAGGGGCATTGTTTATTTATACCCAGTATATGCCCAGCAAATATGTGTGTTTGTGTATGTTTGTGAGGTTTTTATAACCTCCATTTGCCAAAGTATAGTAAATTCTTTCAAAGCGTGTACTACATTTATTATTTAAGCCACGCTGCCTCCCCTTCTACTTCTCCATCTTCTCCTTTCCCCCTTTTTTTTCTGCCCTTTTGTTTTAGTCTTTTTCCTATGTCTGTTTTACCGTATTAGCCGCCCCATGCATAAAGTAAAGCACCCGTTCCCATTTTACCCCACTTCGTCGCCCCTACTTCAAGTTTATTTGCATATTTTGACTTTTATGCGGCAAAAATATTACAGACTGCGCTGCCAGCAAACAATATCAGACCACCTCATCCCCCACCCCAATACAATCCCCCTTTCCATCGGCCAACAACACCAAAAACGTTAATAAAGCTAGAGAAGAGACCGCGTTAAAAAAAAAAACTTAAATACAGGCTAACTTCCCTAGCTGAAACTCTACTTTTGCAAAACTAGTTATTGGAAATTGAAAATTCAAAACACTGACTTTTTCTTTTATAGTATTTTAAAATGTTGGTCTAAAATAATAACGAAATGCATCTTTGCTTCGCAAAAAATGCAATATTTAAGAAATATAAAATTATATAAAATACATTTTTACTTTTAAATTATTTATTTTTAAAACGTTTCAAATCGAATTTGTTATTATATTTGAGTTATAGAACTTTGACTGTTTAAACGAAAAGTGAAGAGGAAGTGGAAGTGGAAGCGAGCCGAAAAAAAATTTTTCCCCAACTTATTTTTTTTTCTGGAGTGGAGTCCCGGGAAAAGTTTTGGGTTTTGGGGCGATGGGTCTCTCGGCTTATGACTCCATTGCAACATGTTGCATGTTCGAAATTGCCAAAAACAAAATATGAAAAGAAATGCCCGCAAAGAAAAGAACAACAACAATACATAATAGCGACAGTCAGTTACAAAAAAAAATAGACAAGGTGGCTTCGAAATTTATGTGCCCATGGCGAGCCATTTGCAGTGCTCAACTTTTTGGGCACAAACACCCGTTTACTTAAGCCCTCCGCACCCCACCACCCGACTCCCCCCAAACCCAACTTGCCACCCCTTTTTGACTTTCCCACACCCCTTTTCCATTTCATTCCGCCGCTCTTTGAATTTCCATTTCTATTTTGCGGTTTTTGTTGTTGCGTGTGGCGGCCATCCAATAAATAAAAGGGCCGCAAAGGCAAAAATAAAAACCGTTAGACTTGTCGCAACATAACGGTGAGCTGTCTAAATGATCGCGCCAGTAATACCGTTGGAGACTCTCTTCTTAACAGAGTAAAAAAAACTGGGAACATCAATTTAGTTTACTAATTAAAACTAAAATTAAAAAAAAAAATTAATTTATAAAATTCCCTTTTTTAAAATTTGCATTTATGTTTGCCTTTAGTTGTTATCAAGTTAAAATTGTCAGAAAGAGTAAGAAGTATCATTTATTTGTGTTTAGTTCGTTATTACAGTGTAAAAGCAATGTTACAAACATTCCCGCATTGCACTTGCTTTAGTTTTAAGTTCCAACTCGAGTTTTGATTTACGCACTGCGTAACGCATTTCTGAAATCACGACTGAACTCTGTGGAATGGGTGAAACTTTTCCGAACCATCTTTGACCATTTCCCCACCGCCCCGCCGCCCATGGAGTGCCCCCCACTTCGGCCCGATAAATCTAGAGTCCGGCAGCAGCTGGGCGCTTCCGGCGCAGCATTAATGAGGGGGTGGGCAGCTAAAAGGGGGCTGCAGAAGGCGGGAGACATGTAAGTAGAAATGAAAACGAAGCACAATGAGCACATCCGGCCTTGTTTTGAACGAAGGGGGAGTAAATACCGATAGGGGTAAGCCTACACTTCAAAAACACAAAGTCCAATTCAAAATTTTGAGCTTTTCCATAGAAACTGCATCATTAGTTTATTTGCCATTTTTTTTTATCGATGTTTTGTCATTTTTATGACCTCCGACCTTTCAAAATTTGAAATAAACGGAATTGCAGAAACGTGACTAGATCCCAGCACTTCTAGTCCCAAAATTTTTAAATTTTTATCCGATTTATAGCTGATATACCGCTTTTAATTTGGAATTTTAATATCTTATTATCCATCATGCGTAAAATGTTTGTTTTTGGACTGATTTTTTAAAATTTGTATGATTTTAAAATTTCCGAAAAATGGCTTTGTAGCAAATAACAAGCCGTAAGCCTTTTTTAAAATAAGTGTTCATAATTATTGTTGAATATTTGCCAACTTATTGCCAGCAATTTAGCCCCATTTGTGGATTTAATGGCAGTGCATCTGTGGGCCAGACAAATGGGCTGCATTTTGGCCCCCGTCCCAGAAAACCCCCCATTTCCCATTCTCAGGCCATTAAGAAATTTGAAATTCTTGAAAAATTAGCAGCGCAACAAGGAATGGGAAAGAAACCGAGGCAGAGAAGAAAGCGAAGCCAGGCGAACTCTTACCGAGAATAATTAATGGAATTTTTGAACTTTTAGTGCAAAATGCCTGCGAGACAACTGCTTGAACAGCATTTTCATTGATGCTCCTTGCTGCATGCGCCACAAATAAATTTGTCGTCGACTCGCTGGCAGATTGTTGCAACTGTCGCACTCCCCTTTTAGCAACCCCCTCCTCCTCCCGAAAAAAAAACAAAATACCAGGCGTTGTGAATGAAAATAGAGCAATTTGCATTATTCGCATTCAAGCCGATTTCGCTTTAATGAATTGCACACAACTTGCCAAGAAATAAAGATGAGCACAAAAGTACGGGATGGTAAATGAGATACGTCTGCATTTCTCCGACTTGGCACTTTGTCTACGGGAGTTGGGGTGCATGCATTACAAAGTAGTCCTCCCATCCCCCCTCCATCCATCCACCCATCCACCCATCCATCTTCTCGAAAGATCTCAATCGAAAGAGTCCCCGTCTGATTTCGATATTGGGGTGTCTGTCGCCCCACATTCGGAATTCGCTCATCTCCATCAAAGTTAATGCGAAATATCATTTGCATTCGGTCCGTGCAGATCGCCAAATGAAAAAACCACCAACAGCTGCGCGTCTGATTCGCTATATTTTGTTGTCAAAAATAACAAGGGAAGAGTAAAGTGCAACAGACCGAAGCAGTAAATTCCCTAAGAAAATATTCATTACTGACCCTTAATTATAATTTTAATTTAATTTAAATTGTTGGTCTCGTGATGAAACTTTTTAAATTGTTCCAGTAAATATCAGGTGCTTTGAATAATAAGAAAAAGAATTTAAATGTGTATAAAATGTTTGAGTTTAGCAATTTAAAAATATTTTTTTAAATTTCGTTCATAATTGAGAATGACGTTTTATGCTGGGGGTTTTCTTATATTTCGTCATGCATTTAAATTAAGTACGTTTGGTATTCCAAAACTTTATGCACATTCTGGCATTTGTTGAGCAGGTCCACGTTAGAGATTTCAATGGCACCCCCAGCATATCTAGTAATTCGATCTGGTGAATCAAATCAAAAATGCTTCCCTGCTTGTCTGAATTATAATGCCGCACTTCAAGGGTAACTCGACAGAACAACAAAAAAAAAAAAAAGAAAAGAAAGAAAGGCGAACAAACGAGCCATAACTCATGTCGGCGTGTTCATTAAATGTGCTACGTTTGTCCAGTAAATGGCAGTGACTACTGCCTGCTGCCACATTCATATCCAAACCCACTGTAACTGCCACTGCCACTGCCTCCGCCTCATCATGGGCCACTGTCAAATGCACCGGCCTCCAAAAGGGGGTGGCGTATATTTTATTGTCTATGTGCGCATATGGTCAGCTCATTGTGCAGTCAGTTGTATTGCCATTATCATCTGCGACAGCCATCAGCGTGCTCATCGTGCGGCGATTAATGCGCCCTTCATCCAGTCGCAGATACGTGTTACATCTATCACACATCGCGTACAGTGCGACCTCTATAAATTGCACCACCATCCGCCAGCAAATAAGTAAGATAGGGAAGATAACTATTTGTGTTTTTTTCAACTTCTTGGTAAGCATTACTTTATGGCACCTTTTAAATTTAATTAAAACCTCTACATATTAGTAGCGCATTTTTTAAGGATAAAATGAGATACAATAGTTGGAGATACAGAAGTTACGTAAGTAGAGTTCCGATTTAGGTAGGTTCGACTGTACAGCCTGGGGGTGGGTGGACGTGGGCTCGGTTCGTGGAAATCGCTGAAAATGTGGAAAACCGCGTTCCGTTTGCTGACATTTGTCCTCGGCGACCGGCAAAATGCACATGTGGCCGCTCCCTCGGGGCCCAATGATATTAATGCTGCTGCTGTATCTGTATCTGCTGGAAAATACCTACAGCGAATAAAAAATAATGAACGCGAGCTGGGATTGATTTAAGCCAGCTGCGGAGACTGCATCAAAAACACATCCAGCAACCCAACCATCCCCTCCATAGAACACATCATTCTTGTGCCTTTGTGAAGGCGAGAACAATTTGCACTCGGCCGGATTATGTTTCGGGTGAAAGATAATGACTCTACATATGTAAATATTTATGGGTTCACTCGGAGAAATGGAAGCAAACATATCGCCTGGTTGATGTTTGCACAGAAAATAAACATAAATCTCGATTTTACAGTTACATATATTGTAACGGTTTCATTTGATTTTATGTAAACATTTAATTGTTGCTCTTATTTTTCAAAACAAAATAAGTTGAGTGTGAAAATTGCAGCATGTTTTGCAAATTTAAAAATAATTGAATGAACATTAAAAACCAGTTCACTATACTGTATTATTGTTATACTGACCTTCCTCAATTCAATAAAATATTTAAATAAATATTTAAATATTAATGTTACCAAAACGTTTTCAGATACAAGGCCAATTGTCCTACAGTCACACTGGATTAGCGACCGATACATTGATTTCTTTTCCACTTTGAAGATGTTATTGTAAAGAAAAAGTACAGTTCTTTTTTGTTAAGGTTTTAAGATTTATAATGTTTTTGTTAGTTTATTTTTTTTACTTATATATGAAATAAGCAATTAATCGAAATCATCGCAGGTGGCATGGTCGCCTTTGCCACGCGCGGTCACACTGAAAAGTTGTCTCTACTACAAGCAAGAAAAAAAAAGGGCATCGATTTGGAAACCCAATTTCGCACTAATTAAGTGGAACGAGGGACACAATTAGTTATGTGCTTTAATTAGCATATACTGGCATAGTAAGTAACGCTAACATCGCCGGCGAAAGCCGCAAACCTTTTAAAACCAATAAAGTGAGCGTGAGTGCAAAAGTGTGTTAAACAAGCAACCAAAAGGCTAGCAAAGGAAAAAAAAACAAGACTGCAGGAAAACCGGAAGCGGAATCTGAGGTAAGCACTGAAATTGTTTCGACTTCTGTATAATCGGCGAGTCTTTCGGTGTGATTTCCGTTCGCAGAGTTGGCGAAGGATCATGAGTTTCCTGCCGGGGGAGCCGGTGCCGCCGGGGTTCGAAGAGGACGACGTGTCCCGCACGGCGTTGATCCAAAAGCAGATCGATAGCTACACCGGCGGACCGCTAATCGGCACAGAATACACAATCGAACTGCACGCGGCGGGACAACTGCGTCCCGATTACTTCTGTGTGCTGTGCCAATCCTGCACGGATAGCCGCAGCGTCTTTGTCCACTGGACATCGCTGGCCCATCGCACAAAATACCTGCAGACCCACTTCCACAAGGCCTACGAAGTGCTTCAGAAGCTCAAGCGCACGCCCAACAGCTCTGGCGACCTGGTGATTGCCACAGGCAATCTGGTTAAACTAATTGAGAAGCACTTTGGTCGCTCCCGTCATTTGATGACCGCCTCCGGCGAGGATTTTCGGCGCTTTCGCTCCAGGATCTGCAGTCAAGTGCGCGATAACTTCCATTTCGACGAGTGTGCCGGTCCGGATTTTGCCGAAGAAGCGCATCGGGTTCTCCGCGAACTGAAGCCCGAAGAATCGATTAAAATCAATTTAAAGGTGAACGAGAACGCGGACAACAATAACAAGGACCAGGAAAACGAGAACGTTATCGCCCTGGATGCCATCTCCAGTGATGACGAGAGCTTCGGTCCGTCAAATGCCAGCATTCAGGTGCCAAAGTCGCAGTTGCGTAAAAGGAATCTAGCCGAAGATGCCAGCGGACGTGGCGCCAATCGTTCGCCACCGCCGCCCGGAGGCGTGACCAAGCCCCAGCAGTTGCCCACGCCGAAGGAGCTGTCCATACAGGCGTCCATAATCGCCCAGGAGCGCTACAAGTGGGAGAAGTTCCGCTGCATGTTGGAAATGCAGCTGAAGCAGCTGCGCGACGAAACGGAAACGTACGAATCGAATCCCGAGAAGCATCCCGACTATCCGGACGAGTGGAAACAGTTCTGGAACCGTCGCTACAAGCAGCTGCAGGAGGAGAAGAAGTGCGATCCGAATCTGTACGACTACAAGCCCGAGTGGATTAGCTATTGGAAGGATCGGCGCATCGAGCTCTTCAACATAGCGGTGAACAAAATCAAAAAGGATCTCAAGGAGAAGTTCAAGCTGAGCGACGAGGACGAGGAGAAGACCAAGGAGCTGATGGAGCGCTACAAGATTCGCGTGGCCAGTCCACGAGAAGCGGCGCCTTCCACCAATGCCAACGCCAACTCCAATCGCCGTGGCAAGCAGCAGAACTTCCGGAATAATCGCTCAGCGGGCATTGGATCGGGAGCACCCGAAGCGGTCATCGATATCAGCGATGACGAGGGCTCCAGTCCAGCGCCACCTGGTCGTGGCTACAATCGGCGCACCCACTCCCGTTCGATGTCCCCCAAGCGGGGATCACGTCGTCCTGGGCGACGCTCACGCAGCCGTTCGCCGCGTCGCAATTACCGGCGCGGATCATCGCGCTCTCGCTCGCGTTCGCGCAGCCTGCGTCGCCGATCCCGCTCGCCGGCCTATTATCGCCAGCGCGACCGTCACACCAGTCACGCCTCCCGGGAGCGCGGCATGTCGCCAGGCGGCAGGGATTTCGGGGATCGCCGCAGCCTGGAGCGGGAGCGCTCCAGCGAATACTATCGCAACGAGGGGGGCTATGGTCGCGGTCCGCGCAACTACGACGTGGAGACGTTCCGTGTGATGGACCCGCGCGTCTATCCCGAGTACAATGTGCCCAAGGTGCGTTCGATATCGCCGGCCGTGTCCTCCATCAAGGACAAGGAGCCCTCGGAGCCCGTCGAGGAGGGGCCCCTGACCGTGGTCAGTGTGCTGCGCATGCTGTCCGCCGTCGAGGAGCATTTGGGCAGCCTGGGGCCCAAGGCCCTCAATCTACTTAGCAAGGCACTGGCCATGGAAATGGTCCAGCCGAATGCCGCCGACGATCTGCTGCTGAACGAGGACAACTGCGTGTTCCTCGAGACCACCAAGGAGAAGCTGAAGGGCATACTCATCGCCGAGGTCCTCGACGATCCGCAAAAGGTGCGCGTGGTCAAGAAACTGATCACGAACATCGCGGCCATCATCTTCCAGGTGACCACCAGAGGTAAGTCCGCCATCCTTCCTTCTCGCTCTTTTTCGCGGTTAGAGGTCAGGAGGTAAGTATGTGTGCGCTTCAAACTAACGGAACTTTTCCTTGGAAAGAATACTGTAAGATTTCCAATGCAACTATTTGAATTACTCGCGCGGTGGCTGTTTTTTTTTTATTCCAACACAATTAGTGAAGTTTTAAAGTTCTGTGCCAATGCGTTAGCTGTTTTCAAAGGAAACATCTTTATGTGACGGTGATGAAGATATATTTATTAGATATTCCCCCCTACTTTCGATTACTAACCTCTGCGGTTTTATACTGAAAGATTTATGAAATAAAGTCGAATATGTTTTCCCCAACAATAATTAATTATAATAAACGATCTTTGCGGCTGTGGAAACAGTTCCTCGTTTCTTGTTGATTCTTTCCCACTAAATCGTTAATGAGAGTTGTGAATTAATTGTGCATTTCTTTCTATCCTGGGACAGGTTTCTCAATAGTTAATTATCTGGTTTAATTGAAGGCTTCTCGGTTCGGTTAATTCAACTGAATTGCTGCTTGTTTTCGGCGATTCTTGACAATTTCTCGATTTGATTTTGTGCTTGTGGAGTTGTAACATTTCAAGTGCATTAAACATTACCGAAAATTGGGTTCGGTATTCAAAAGCGTACCTAGTTTAATTAGAGTTAATAAGGTTATCTATCTATCAAAGCAAATAAAAAAAAGAAAACAAAACAGAAAAAGTAGCAATAAGTCTCTCTCAACTAATTGCTTCGAACTTGTAATACTATTTACTACAATTGGGTCGAGTTTAAATTAAGAAAACCCTCGTTAAAATGTAAATAATCGGTATACATGCGTTTTATCCGGTCAGCTTTCCCCTGTTCTTTTGGTGGGTGTGTGAACAAAGTGAGCCAATGAACCGGAAGCACCGGGAGTCCAGTCGCCAGCCACACCGACCAAATAATAAGTATAAATGTAATTTTCGTAGTTCCGTGCGAAGCCGAGAAGGTTTCCCTTCTCTGAAGACCTTCAAGAGAGGTCTGAATATAAAACACAAACACCAACGCCTGTCGATCCTTACTGATTGTTTCTCTTTTGTTTTGGTCCCCCCTTCCGCCATCGCCCCATTCCGTCCCGGAAACCGGAAGATCTAGGTATGCCCGATGTCGCCGAGGCCAAGGTGAAGGCCAATGCCAATCCGGCGCCCATCCAGCTGCCCTTCGATCGCAACGTGGTGGCTCCCAAGTTGGCCAACGCTTTGGTGCTCAAGGGCTACTACGACGTGAGCACCGGCGACATGAACAAGCTGCTCCACCTCCTCGTGCTGCTCGTTCGCCAGGACAAACAGCGCCGCCATCTGGACAAGAACAATGGCCTAACGTTCGATGAAATCCAGAAGAAGCTCGGCCTGCAAAAGGAGACGTCGGACGACAACATGGGCATCGATCTCGACGAACTAATGAAGGAGGTGGAGAACCAACTGATGAACAAGGAGTCGCAGGAGGTGGCCAATTCCGGGGCAGCGGCCATTATTCAACCGGAATCGGTCGGCGGCGCTGGCAGCAACGGCATGGAATCCCTAACCGATTCCGATCTGCAGACCCTGCTGCAGAACTTCAAGTTCCTCTCCAGCGAGGAGCAGGTGCATCTCATCGGGCATCTGCGCAAGCTGGAGGTCCAGGAGCCGTCGCGCGTCGAGCGGCTGCGCAAATATGTGAATCTCGCCGAGCTGAGCGGCGATGGCGAGTCCTGCAGTGACTTCCTCTCGCGCGTCGTCAACATTGGTGGCAGTGGAGTGACGAAGGCGGCGAAGGCGTCGTCGTCGGTGGCGGCGGAGAAGGCTCCCAAATCGATGCTGGCCTCTCTATCGCTTGGCATGGCCTCCATCGCCGGGGGCGGCGGCGCCTCCTCCTCCTCGTCCTCCTCGATGGCGGCCCTCTCCTCGCTGACCAGCCGGCGGCTCAGTCCGGAAAGGGAGCGCGATCGCGACATGTCCAGTCTGCCGATCAACAGGCAGCGACGCAGTGGCGGTGTCCGCAATTCCCCCAGTTTTATGATCGACGACGATGAAGACGAGGACGATGACTACAACTTTGACGATCTGGTGATGAAGGCCTGCGACTCGAATGGCGGCAACGGTGGCGGTGGTAATGGTCCTGCCAAAAAGGCAGCTGGTCCGCCCATTATACCCGTGGCATCGTCCCCAAATGCGCTCACCTTCAAGCCGGCGGCCAACGCGAAGATTTCGCTGAAGGACACCGAGAGCATCATAGCCAATCTGATGGGAACACTGAGTAAGAGCGGAAGTGCCGGGGGATCGAGTGGCTCCTCGGGGCCAAACCGCAGCTTCATGATGAACCAGCATCACCAGCAGCAGCAGCATGCCACGCAGCAGAATCTTGGCTCCAAGCCAGGCCAGCAGGCGCCGGGACCAGGTGGCTATTCCCATGCGGGTTATCCGGCACAGCAGCCGCAGCAGGGACGCAACTTTGCCCCGGACCAGCCGCAGCCACTGATGGGCAACTTAAGCGGCGGACCCGATCACAACCAGTATCAGAATCAGGCGAACTACGGCGGCTATCATCCGTATGCGGGCAACGGTGTGCAGCAGAACTATCCCGGAATGGCGGCCGGTGTTGGACCGGGACAAGGACACGGTCCCGGTGGCTATGGGGGTCCCATTAACCCGTGGGCGAACAATGGACCGCCACAGCCGCCGCAATTCAACCACCAGATGCCCCAGAACTTCATGGGCGCACAGCAGCAGCAGCCGCAGAGCTATAACAACATGTTCGGCGGACGTCACTAGGAGCCAATTAGTCGTAGGTCTTAGGAGTTAAATCACAAAGATTTAAATTAAAAGTAGGAATGAAAACAGAATCCTTTGAAGTGCCGGTGAATGCGCGTATTTGTTAGTTTACAAGTGAAAACCTTTTGTTTTTGTTTTTTTTAGCTCGACACACAAAATAAAGAACTATTTTCTTATGGACTGAAAAATAAAGAGAACAGAACGGATTCAAAAAGCAGCATAATAATAATTTTGTTTAATTACCTAACTATCTTTATAGACAATGAGCTTTGAGCTCCGCACTTTTGAAAATTCTACATTTCGAAACCTTAACGAGTTATGAACTGCATGAAAAGAAACGCGATAGATTCGTATATATATTTTAGTACCCGAAAATGTGACAAATCAAGGAGCTGTTGAACCTTGTGGCTCCAAACAAGTTAATGAATGTGAAATATAAACCAAAACTTTGTAGACATTTGAAATAAAGGTAAATTATTCATTTAACATCCAGCCATTATAACCATCAAAACTAAAACCAACTTTTTAATAAAAAGGAAAACAATCCTAATCCTTCTCGTATATAAATTTAAGTAAAGCTTACAAATAAAAATTACTACTACTACTACGGAGTAACTACTTCAAATTATCATCCGCACCAGAAAATTACAAATTAAGGGAATTAATTATAACAAATCAAATTTTTTATAGTGAAAAATTATCTGAATCATGAAATCACTGCTGAAGGGGTTTTTATAGCGGAAGCCCGTTTAACTACAGTGAAGCCTATTCGTCTGCAGCACTTAATTAATCAAGTGACTCAGTGCTGTAAATCAAGGGAAGACTTCAATAAATATTGCAAATCGAACACTTTAACAGACTTTTTATGATGGAAATTGAGCTAATTCAGGTTCAACTAAAGTAGGGCAGGTGCGAGAAGTCCACGGACTGTGTTGTCAGAATGCCGGGTATCTCCTCCTGCAGCAGTTCGTGCAGCGACTGACCACTGTGCTTGTATATCCACCTTCCCGCCTCCACAGTGCCGACGAAATCGAATCTCTTGGGACCGCTGGTGGGTGAACTGAGCCAGATTTGCTTGTTGGGTGTCTGTCGGTTGATCACATAGGTGCCGTGCTTTTGTCCCAGATTCACGGTGAGCACACCGTCCTAAAGAAACGGAAACCGATCCAGATTAAGCTCAATAGAATGATGTAACAGTGAAAGCAACTCACGCCGTAGGCCACATCGGTGCCTTGGAGCTCCGTGGCATTCTCCGTCAGCTCCTCAAAGTAGTCGCTAAGTGCATCAAGCGTGTCGGAGCAGACTCGCTCGTAGGTGGCACTATCTAAGCTACAATCCGCCTCAATTTGGCTGCTGAATCGTCGCCGGTTTGGACCGGTCAGCTCTAATCGAACCGCATTTGTTAGTGTTGTTTGTGTCCTGGACATCTTTAATTCACTTTGGGACATTGGACGCCTACTAACCAAAGCCAAACATGCTTGTTTGCGACTTACACGTGCGAGCAAACGGTTCGCAAACATTTTCCCAAGTTTACGTTTTGTTTATATCTTACAAATTTCACAACCGCGCTGCCAACTTGGTTGCTGTTATAGATGTAGTATATTTTTGGGATCAAGTGATTTTCCTGAGAAAGCAAAACGTCCACACTGCAGCGCAGCTAGCATGGTATTTTTTAAACTGTAGCACAGTTTCGGGATGAGCTAGTTTTTATTCGTGTTATTTGTGTTTTTACTAAATACGGTCACACCGTTAAAAGCCGACCGACAGAAAATGGCGTCCGCCTGAAAATTGTTGTCTCTCTTTGCTAAAAAAAACGCTTAATCGACCCAACAACAAGGTGAAAAGATGGCCCTGCCCAGCAACTACAAGCAGATAGCCGTTGGCGCTCCGGGACCTGGTCCGGCGACCCCGCTGCAGGGTGTTGTAGGCGGCGGCGGCGGTGGGTCCAGCGGCGGCAGCCGGTCACGTTCAGCCGGCGGCGGCGGTGGAGCCGATCGCAACAAGGACCAGACGCCCATCTTCACGCACAGTAACTACGGCAACCCGGCATTCACCCCGCAGAAGGTGACCAAATCCTCGAGCAGCAAGAACCAAAATGAATCGAGGCTTCCGAAGCCGCCGAAACCGCCGGAGAAGCCAATTCTGCCGTACATGCGATACTCGAAACGCGTGTGGGACAGCGTCAAGGCTCAGCATCCCGAACTGAAGCTCTGGGAGCTGGGCAGAAAGATCGGGGCGATGTGGAAGCTGCTCGGCGAGGACGAGAAGACCGAGTTCATCGACGAATACGAGGCGGAGAAACTGGAGTACGAGAAGTCCCTGAAGGCCTACCATCAGACGCCCGCCTATCAGGCCTACATGTCGGCCAAAAGCAAGGTGAAGACAGACGTCGATATGCACGAGACCCCGTCCCGCGGCGGCGGCAGTAAGTCGCAGCACGAGAGACGCATCGACATCCAGCCGGCCGAGGATGAGGACGACCAAGACGAGGGTTATACCGCCAAGCACATGGCCTATGCCCGCTACCTCAGAAACCATCGGTTGATCAACGAAATATTCTCGGAGGCCGTTGTGCCCGATGTCCGGTCCGTGGTCACGACCACGCGGATGCAGGTGCTCAAGCGCCAGGTGAGTTCACTGACCATGCACCAAACCAAACTGGAAGCGGAGCTGCAGCAGATGGAGGAGAAGTTCGAGGCGAAGAAGCAGCGCATGGTGGAATCAAGTGAGGCGTTCCAGGAGGAGCTGAAGCGCCACTGCAAACCAGCCGTGGACGAGGACACCTTCCAGAAGATGGTGCACCGCATGTACGAGGACATCAAGCGTGATCGCCAGCGATTGGATGAGCCGCCCAGTGCGAATAACTCGACGAATCCTGGTGGCGCTCCAGCTGCTGCTGCTGCTGCTGCAGGCAGTGCTGCAGCAGGACCTGTGACGAGGAGCGAGGAGACGGCCGCCAAGCCGCCTACGCAGCCGGGACAGCCAAGTGCCACGCCCGCTAGCCAAGAAGCACCAACGACGCCGGCAACAGCAACTCCACCTGCCAAGGAAACACCGCCAGTTGTGAAGCCACCCACTGCCAATCCCGCTCCAAACGCCACGCCCAACACCACGCCTGCGCCACCGGTGCACGTCCATGAGACGGCCAGCAAAACGGATCCCGAGCCCATGGACATTGAGCCGCCACCGAAGCCCTCGGTGCCGCCGCCGCCCATAAAGCCGGAGAAGCTGGAGATGGCCGCTGCCCTGCCGCCGCAGTCAACGCTCGTGGAGCCACCAAAATCGGAGCCCGCCAAGGTGCTGGCCCAGCCCGGCAAGGTGCCCACACCAGTTCCGACGCCCACGCCGCCGCCCGAGGTGATTCCAGTGGTCGGATCGGCAGCTCCTCCTGCGACGACAGCGACTGCAGCTGCGGCTGCGGCCGCGGCAACAACAACGGCGACGACACCCACGCCACCACCGGTGCAACAGCAACAGCAGCAGCAGGTGCCGCTGCCGCAACAACAGGGAGCACCAGCTCCGCCGCCAGGTATGCCCCAGATGCATCCACATCCCGGCCATCCGCCGCCGGGACACTCGCTGATGCCACCGCACATGGGACCGCATCAACCGCCGCCCGGAATGCCGGGCTTGCCGCCACCGCCGCCGCACACAGGTTACGCCAACTACGGCGGACCGCCGCATGGACCACCGCCCGGTCCGCCCGGAGGACCCGCCAGGCCGTACTACCAGCCGCAGTACGGTGGTCATCCCACACCGCAGCCCTACTACGCGCCCTTCTCGCCGTATCAGCAGTCCTACGGCCCGCCTCCCGGCTCGCATTACATGTCCCCGCGTCCGCCGCCGCCGCAGCATAATGGCAATCCGGGACATCCGTATGCACCCGAACACGGCAGCAATCCGCCGCCACCGCAACAGCAGCAGCAGCAGCAACAACAACAACCGCCGCCGGGTCACCTGCATGGAGAGCCCACAGGAGGGGGACCAGGAGGACCTAATCCCGGTGCAGCCGGACCACCAGCAGCAGCGGCCGGAGCAGGAGGCTATCCCACTGCCGGGCCAGGAGCGGGACCTGGAGCACCGCCGGCAGCAGGAGGAGCACCGCTGGGCGAGGCAGCTGTGTCCGGAGGAGCTGCACCACCGCCAACGGCGACTGGCAAACATCCCGAGGCGGAAAAACATGAGGCGGATTGAGAAGGAGGCGGAGCCCTCCAGACCTCCAGCTCCAACTAGCTTAAGTCCCTAACTTATACATACATGAATTGATCCCTGTGTTGTAAAATAGCTGTCCCCCGTTTTGAAACTACTCGACTTGCTCGCTGTACACCGAAATGCCCTTTGCTCTGATCGCTGTTTGAGCTCTCCCATCAACTCCATTCGTAATTAAGTTTAAAATCCATTTTTTTTTCTTACGGCCCGATTTTAATATTTTAATTGAGTGTCACATTATAAAGTGTAATGCTAAATATACGAGTAAAATAAATGTACGTTTATATGTAAATTAAGCAAATTGGCTGATTGTTCAAGACTTCTGACTTCACGGGGCTCAATTTGATTGCTAAATGGAAACCTGGTGGGTACCAATTAAACCATAATATGATTGCTTGTGATTGGTAGAGTAAAATTTAGGTAATTCAGAATAAAAAATAAACTTCAGTTGAATGCTTCGAATAAAAACGCCCCTATGCTTTTATTTTACCCTTATTGGGTCTTGCTCCCCAAAACCGTCGGTAGGTGGCGCCTTCCGACGACAGCCTTGAAAAGCAAAACAAAAACCAAACGGGCTAAGCCAAAGCCACCCACACACATACAGATGCAGCCAGCCAAACTTACACAAACACACCTTTGAGACGCACACATATGTAGAAGCGCCGAGATTATCACACGTAAACAAAGCGAATGACGTTTGCTTTTGACTTTTGGAGCCAACTGTACTATCACCGCCTTCTCCCCCTTCGATCCATCTCTCTCCAACAATCTATTTCTATCCCGCTTTCACACAAAATAAAACAATTTGTTGGTGTTGGGTTTTTTGGTTTCTTCTACAGAAAAAACCGTTTATTTTGTTTTTTTTTTTTTGCTGATGTTTCCAGTTATTTTTGCTGTTGCTGTCACTGTTTTTCGTTATTTTTGTTTCATTTTAAAGGGGTTTGTTTGTTTTGTTTATTGGTTCTTGTAAGCTACAATACGATATAGACACACAAATATAGTCCGATTTGTTTAAATGTTTAATGTGAAACTAGTTATCGACACCAATTTACAAGTATTTATGAATATTCTTTTTATGGGCGTTTAGAATTGATTATTTTGCATGTGTTTCAACTACATATAAATATTGAGAAATATTTAATGCTTTGCTTTGTTTTGTTTCGGTTATGTTATTATTCAATACTCTTCCAAATCTATAGATGTGATTACCATCGAATAACTTGATTGCTGAATCATCTTTATATCTTTTCCATCTTTTCTCCTCCTCTTCATCTTGCGCCTAAACGTATAAAATGCATGTAAATCTAAAATCTTACATAATCAACTAACTCTGTCACGCCCATCCCTTCGTTATTGTATATATAAACTTTTATATATAATGCTTTGTATGTGATTTGCAGTAACGGAAGGTGAACAAAATAAAGAGTATTAATGTCTAGTGTTTTCGTTTTCTATATAGATATATATTTTATGTATATATTTATATAAGTAAGTGTAAAGTTAAGTGTACTCAATTCGGTCTTCGGTGTTATATGTGGATACCATTTTCATATGTTTAAAAGGTCTGGCGCTTTCAGTTGTGATCGACTGACGGTCCATGTTCCTCGACGCCTTTCCGAAGATCCGGGAAATACCGACCAATCAGTCCGCCGCCGTCTGTCCGCCTTGCCACGCCCCGCTGGCGTTGAGTTGGCCGCAATCTCCAGGGTCGCGAGTCCCGGCAGCCAGATGGTGAGCCTCCTCCAAAATAATAAAAAGGAAACAGGCGCCTTAAAGACCACGGATCCCTGGAAATCACGGCCCACCAGCAGGGCAAATGTTGGAGTTGGTGGTGGCGGATCTTGCAGAGGGACAGGCGAAGACAGCTGACCGGCGGACTCCACTCCTTTTCAAAAGGTGGATTCGTAGTCGGTCGGGAGGTACGCAGTCCACAAACGATCCAAACTTCAGCGCAGACGAGAAAAAAAAACTTAATAACTAATATATAATAGTAATAATAAGAATTACAAATATTTTGTATTAGCGTTACAGTAATGTGTGTTTTTGTTTTGTGGTGTGTTTCGTGTCGGCATTCTGGCAGATCGCCGACTGTTGAACAGAAGATTGATGGTAAATGTATATATGCAAATATGAATGATAGACTGGACCGTTGGTGTTGCTCCACTGGCTCCTTTCCCTTAACAAAACGTGGTAAATCAGAATGGTGTGTTTGGGGATGGACAGTGATGATCCTGCTGCTGCTGTTCTTGACTGCCGCTGATTCAGCTTAAGCACGCTCGCCACGGATGCGGCGCGCCAACTGGATGTCCTTGGGCATTATTGTCACGCGCTTGGCGTGGATGGCGCACAAGTTGGTGTCTTCGAAGAGACCCACCAGATACGCCTCAGAAGCTTCCTGTGAGTCGAAAAAAATAATACAAGTTAGGGAGAAAATTAGTAATTTACTGAAACCTCTTTCCCTTCCTGGTAATGAGCTTTTATGACCATAAGTATGATAAATACAAAATTCCCCCAAAGAATCATATTCCATCTTACCTGCAGAGCACCGATGGCCGCCGATTGGAAACGCAAATCGGTCTTGAAATCCTGGGCGATTTCACGAACCAGCCGCTGGAAGGGCAACTTGCGGATGAGCAACTCGGTCGACTTCTGGTAACGACGGATCTCACGAAGAGCCACAGTACCGGGACGATAACGATGGGGCTTCTTCACTCCGCCGGTGGAGGGCGCCGATTTACGAGCCGCCTTGGTGGCCAGCTGCTTACGGGGAGCCTTTCCTCCAGTCGACTTACGGGCGGTCTGCTTGGTACGGGCCATTTTAACTCTTTATTCTTAACTGAAATTATAAAAAAAGAATTATTAGTCGAGTTGCATTAATCGATTTTTATCAGCTCAAAAATAACGGTTTATTTAGCGTAACCCCTTCTTGTTTTTATAAGGATTAATAGTAGTATATACACACAATATCAAATGCAGTTTAAGAACAGCACTACAATTCAAAACTTTGACAAATCTTTCACTTCTGCTAACAACAATTTATCGAAGCTGTAAACTTTAAGACTTTTACTAACTGTATTTCCCACTTGTAGTGACAAAAAAACTGCGATCCTTTCCAGGTGGGAAACAAAGCTCGACTGCAGAAAACTTTTCACGCAGGCACTTTGACCTTTTCGGTTGGCACAGGCGCAGTGCAGCGGCTTGCAGGAAGGTGCAACCGGCCAGAATACACAGGATATAGACCGATTTGTACCGGGTGGATATAGCGGGGAGCCAAAGTTAGACCGATGCACAGCGCCGAAGCGCTGGCGGCCAACTGAAGACCATCCGAGATTCGCGGTCACAACGAAGACGAGGGTTGAATGTGAATTTTGTCGAGACAGCTGCCCCTGCTTTTCCTCGTTTCCCCCCAACTATTTTTTTTTCTTCTGGGAACTTAAGGCACTCGAGAAACTTCCACTTGAGTGGGAAAGAAAAAAAAAATCGTGTCTTGGCTGCACACACTCAGAAAAAATGAAGCCAATATTTACATTTTGCATGTCATCAAGACCATTATTATTCAATTGAGATGATTTATACATGAATCATTAGTGAGTTACTATAATTTATTTTGTTATACTACGAAGACATCAGATTTTTTTAAATTTCTTTCAGAGTGTGTTTAAAATTATGTATAGTAATTATTATATTCAAGAAATAATTCCCTGAACTGACAGTGTTTGGTTCCCCCATTTTCCACGACTATTAGAAGACTGTATTAAATACTGTGTAGACTTTTCCCGCTGTGCTTGAGATTCACGATGGAGTGGCACTTGAAATCTTATTTCTTTTCTTTGCGAGCACACAACGTGAGTCGCTGTTTTTTGTGTTCCCCTTCTTTTTGTGTACAGCCCTCTTGAATATTTTTTGCGTTTTATGCGGAATCAATCAAGTTGAAGTAATGAGTTGTAGTTTCCAATTTACTACTTATTGTGCAGGCAGGAGGAATGGAAAATATATTTAAGAAAAGGAAAAATCCCGTAGCGCCAAAAGAGTAAACATAAACAAAAAAGGAAAGGAAGGCAAGCGGTAAAAACTTGGCGCGCATTAAAACGCGGCAAGTTAAAGGGAGATAGACATACGCCACATTCGCATTAGAAAGAGAGAAACGGTGTTGTGTTCACAAAACAGTTAATTGCGTCGTTTCTCCGCTAGCATGCATGCGTACGTGTGTCTGTGACAGCTGCACATCCCGAAGACAATAAAACAAAAACAATTATGCAATAATGTGGGGAAGAAGGAAGAGAAGGGGTGGGAAGAAGCCCCACTGCGCATGACAAGCGCAGACATGCACATTTGCATTGCCGAAATGCTGTGCGTGATGGTATACACACACACTATTGTGGGGGCCACTTGAAAAATAAATAAATTACTTCTGTTTACGCCAGCATAAATACGATTATTCATACTTTTTGGCGCCAATTTTCAAGCAACCCTTTTCGTTGCCAATTTCATTTGCGGCTGCAATGCCGCTGCAACTTTTTTTTTATTTGTTACTACTCTCCTGCGTGGCGGCCATTTTGGAACAAGCAGCGCAGCACAACTACAATAATGCAACCGTCGTGCGAATACGAGACCTCTCACAACTTCGTGCATTTGTGTGTATCCACCAGCGAAAATACCCGTGTGTGTGTGCGGGGAAAAATAGGGCTCCGCTGGACGGCCGGCGGAGCCCCAAAAACAGACGAAAAATTTAACTCTCATTGGGAACACAAAAAAAAACTGTAACTTTCACACCAACAACAACCTGAACATGAATTCCAGAACAGATATTAAAACTATACAGTCACTCACCGTTTAACACAACAGAAAATTGTTATTTTCACAAAAAATTAGATTTTCACACGAGAACGAACGGTTCGGACGAAAGAAAATTTCACAATGATTAGAGTAACCAAACCGTAAACGCTAAATGCCCAAAAATACTAAAACCTTGTTTTCCCTAATTTTGCCGCTCAGTCTTTTCAGCCAAACAAAATATTGGTTCGAGCCAAGGATCGACCGGGTTTTCTCATAGTTAGTGAAGTCTTAAACCATAAATAGAAGTACCTATTGTACCTAGAATTATTTTAAGCAACAAATTAAAAAGACAATTAATTATGTTTTAATTGGAAAATTTATTAACTGACTGTAAAAAATAATTTTCTAAATGTATCCAAAATAAAATACATTTGCATTAAGAATACTAAAATGTTCGGGTGATTTATTTTAGTTATTTGTGTATTACATTTGAGGTGAATGAATCAGCAGACTACTGTGACTTCTTGTCCTCCCTGGCTGGCCTGCCCACGGGCTCGTCCTTGAAGTGGAGGAACACAAACGAGAAGACAAACACGCCGATCATCATGGAGAAGGCGCTGGTGTAGTAGGGGAAGGCGCTTGGGATGAAGCGCTCGTATTGTGTGTGCTCCAGCGGACGCACCGACACCTGAGTGGTGCTGTACAGGTGCGTGTAGCCAACGCGATCGTAGTCCACCTTAAACTGGTAGACGCCATAGACGTCGGGTATCTTGAACTTGGCCTCGTAGGCGCCCGACTTTGTCTGCTTCAGATAGGTGCGCACGAAGGGATCGATGCGAACGAACTCCAGCTGAATGTCGCTGGCCTTGAAGGCGCGCCACTCGCCCTGCACCAGTTCCTCAATTCCAATGGTGTAGACGACTGGATCGGTGATGGTGTAGGCCTGATCCGGCGGCAGGAGCTCGCCCTCCTTGTGGTGCTGCACGGATGCCACACGCAGACGGCCAGTCTCGCCAAATACCCACTGGCTGATGGACTCGGCGACATCGCGATTGCCGGCCAGCTTGTGGAACACACCGCTCTGGGCGTACTGTACCGCGGTGGTGAAGCTCTCGTCGGAGAAGAAGAGCAGCGAACCGGAGAAGACCACTCGTGCATTGTTCCTAGCCTGCAGGGCGGCAATCAGCAGTGTTCCACGACCCACCGCATGTGGATAGTCTGAGACACTGGCCTCGGGATTGTAGCTATAGGCAGTGCTCTCGGCGGTCAAAAGTTTCAGCACCAGCGGGTTCTCCTTGTCGGCAATGAGTCCAGTGCCTCGATAAAGCAGAGGAGCTGCATCCGCCTGCCGATTGGCCTTGCCCACAATCGTGTCTGCCTGAATAAGGTTCTTTGCAGAAGTCAGGATGGTAGTGTGCTCGCCCGCATCACTGACATCGTAGTGAAGATGATCGATGACCGCAGCATTCTCCTCGTCCAGCTCGAAACCGCACTCGGAGGCGAACTCGCGCAGTGCATCGCCAGATTTCTCGCTGCCCGCAACCAAAACGTTGCCGCCATCGTCAACGAACTGGGCCAAACGCTCCACACTGACATCGCCTCCGAACTCTTCCACACTTGGTGCGAAAATGATGACGTTCTTGTACAGATATTCACCATATTTGGACAGAAGCAGGCTGGAGTCATCCGCTAGCTTGTACGTCAGCTTAAAGCCTCGATCTGCGTTGGTGATAAACAAAAGCCATTTATAAGCCAAACAATTTTTTTTTTGTCCACGTCAGAGGTTAGCCGGCATTTCATTTCACTCACCCTGCAGCGATTTGAAGAAGATCGAGTGAGTTTCACGAATGGCCAGGTTGTCCAGCAGGACCAAGGTGTTTGCGTCCGTTTCGAGGACTGCCTGGCAGTGAGCGATCGCCAGGAGGGCAACTAGAACGGCCTTCCAGATCATTTTCTTTAATTTTCCGGCTTTTCTTCAACTTAAAAAAAATGACTGACTGTTAGAGCTGGAGCAAAAACCGATAATTATTCGATATTCTCACGGTATGGGTGCGACCATATACTAAAATATACCAAACATACGAGAAAAAACATAAGCCCTAAATAAGATTATTAATATAATATCTGACAAACCCTCACTCTTTTTCAATACATTTAATTTTACTTTAAATTAATTTTCAAAAGTCTTTCATATATTGTCAGCTGTTAAATAAATGTATCAAGAACATTCAAAACATCGATGAACCGATGTATTAATCGATTTCATTACCAGCTCTATTTAAAACAAAACAAATATTTCAAATAAATAAGGATGGACATTTTTGAGAGTTTTTGCCGCACGTGCGGAAACGAATGCCTGGAATCGCTGGGAATCTACGATGAAAGCGTGCAGACGCTGGACAAAATGGTGCCCATTGCAGAGATGCTGGCGTCCTGTTTACCCACCTCCTTGCCGCCTTTGGACCCCACGGATGACTATCCCAAGCAGATCTGCCGCATCTGCGTGAAAAAGCTGTCGATGGCCTACGAGTTCAGCCAACAGTGGCTTGGCGCCCACAGCGAGTTCAACGTTGCCCTAAAATTCGAGCAGCGCCGAAAGCGCAGCCTGGCCAGCAAATCCCAATCCCGATCGCAATCTCAGTCCCGGCCAGTGAAAGATGAGGAACTGCCCACGGAGACGACGGATGCAGTGCATCTTAAAATAGAACCCGGAGTTGGTAAGCAAGCTAAGCCGCTTTTAACTGGCGAAATATCTTACACATATTTAATTTCTAACTGCCAGTCACTGCACCTGCAACCGCGGAGATCAGGACCCGCTGCAATTCCGATCTAGGCTTCAAGTGTGCTATCTGCAACGAAAGCTTTCACACAGAAAGAGCCTGCAAGTTTCACTTCCAGTTCTCTCACAAGGATCTCTAGTCCACGTAAAGCAATTTTTTAAAACTATTTGTATCGATCACTAACTACAAGTCTGCTGTAAAAGGACAATTTTAATTTGTATAGACCTTTTATGTTTTAGTTAACATAACTTTGTAGAATTCAAGCCCTTTTTATAAACTATACGATGTTAAGCAAAATCTGACATGAACAGGGGTCAAAATTAAATGTAGTTTTTTACAAATACAATACGAGAGTTTAATAAAATCGGATGTAAGTCCAATTTCGGGTCCCTGTTGTGTATGCCATCTCGCAAAGGTAAACATGGAAGGATCCCCCATAGGTAAACCACTTTCGCTTCTATACATTTAGTTATTTGTTTTACTTAGCTATAGCGTAAACAAAAAAAAATCAAAGATGAGAGCGAAGAAACGGCCGGGCTATTTCCGTGGGGAATCCTCTAGTCATCCTCGTCATCGCGGACTTTCTGTGCGCGCGGATCGTCGTGGCGGTAGACGACGTAACCCAGCTTGTAGCGTCGGTTGTCCCCGTCATTGGCGTAGTAGTTGGCCACTCCGATGGTGGCCATCACGATTCCGGCGAGGGCCAAGGCGGATCCGCCGACGATGTCCGGAATCTCGTTCCAGGCGCGCTTCAACAGCGACGTAGAGCCACGGGCAGCGGATGCGGACATCTTGGTGATCTGCTAGAGCAGGATAGCTTATTGTTAGTGCATTTAACGAGAGAATTTAATTTGGATTTACCGAAAATTAAACGAGTTTAGTTTAGTTACACAACGAACGACTAAACAGCTGGTTAGAGATGGCACTGCAACGAAACCTGTTGGTTATCGATGGTTGTTATCGGAACAGCAGCTGACCATTAACAACTGTATTTGATGAATATTAAAAAGCGAAATATTTTTTAAACTGACTAGCTCCAAAATTTAAGAGTTGTTTCGAAAATCGTCAAAAATACATATTAAAATAATATCAATTTAAATTTGATGTATTATTACAGATTACTAGATTTTATTTCCTTTTTAAAATTGTTTTTGCATTTTTGCTATTTTAAATGTATTCAAGAACATTACACAAATTAATATTTTGCTTAACCGTTACTTGTATGTGCTTAATTTACTTGTAAATGCAGAGTTCGACACTCAGGACAGTCATCACGCATCCTGTTCGTAGCCCTCCGTTTTCATGTCGTTCAGACCGAGCTCCTCGTTGTCCTCAAAGGAGCGATCGTAGCGCTCCACAACGAGCTTATCATCCGGCTCAGCGTCGTCGTCGCTAAGCGATTGCACATAGGTATTGCCGGCCGGATCCTCCAGAACCAGAGTAATTACTCGCTTTAGATTCGAAACATCGTCGAAGGTTTCAAGGAACCGCTGCATTTGCTGCTTGGCCGTCTCGTCGGCCGAATCATGAAAGAAGGTGCCATCCAACTGATCCCGCATCGCCGCCAACAGTCCCTCAACGGTGGTGAAGCGTCCACACAGCGCATGCGGACCCACCTCCAAGTCCAGTTCCGGGATCGAAAGGCTGCACGTCTCCGACTTGAGCACATCCCGGGTCAGATCCTCTTTACTGGCAATCTGCACACGGAATCGAACGCCCTGCGGCTCTACACCGCCGCCGGACTTTACCTCGTTGGTCTTGTGGCCACAGGAGCCGCAGACGGTGGCCATTATCACCACCTCCTTGAAGTGCGGGATGTTCGTTAGCTTCATGTTCGTCTCGCAGGGGGCCTGGCAGTTTGGACAGTTGGTAGGGAACTGCAGCACCTCGCCGTGCAGGTTCTCAATCGGCCACGAATCCTCGGCAATGGGCTTCAGCAAGTGCTGCTCGTCGTGGTTCTGCTCATACAGGCCTAAATAAACAAAATTAAAATATTAACTAAATGCGTTAAGTGTTAACGAAACAAAAGTGGTTAAGGTAGTTACAAATCAACAGGTAATCAGTTCATATTTAAGGTTATAAACTGTGTCCATGATTTGTGATAATAAAGGGAATTTGGTGTTTAATTTATGGTTACCCACCCAACTGCTCGTTTTGTTCCTGGGTGCGGGTGAAGTGCGATGTCTTTAACTGCGGATCGGAAGCGGGTGCCAGTGGATTCTCAATGAAGCTGTTGCCAGAGATGTCCTCGAGGATCAGGCGAAATGGCGTAGTAACCTCCTTCAGTAGCTGCAACCGCTCGATGTAGGCATCAATGGAGGCGGCAGCCTCCGGATGATCGATGCGCCGCTTCTCCTGATCTTGCGTCAAGCCAGTTATCGTCCGCTCGATGATGCCCTCAACGGTGGTCACCTCACCCTTCTGCGACTGCACTGGGATCTCTAGCTCAACCTCCGGTATGCTGACACTGGAATTGTCCGATCGCACCACCCGCCGGTTAAGATCGGCCACGCATTGAACCAGCAACTCGATGCGAACGCCGGCCTTTTGGATTTCGGAGGCCGATTGCATCTCGTTGTTGATGTAGCCACATTCTTCGCACTTGAAGGACATAAGGACGACCTCCCGGAAGAAGGGTATCTTAGTGGGCAAAAGCCGGGTGACGCCCGTCTGGAAGCACCTCATGCAGGCCGACTCGATTTCAACCACTTCCTCCGCCTGCTCCGCATTAATCTCTCGGAAAATCGGCTCCGGCCGTACGGGTGTCTCCTCCGGCGGACTGGTGGCATTGCTGCCGCTGGCGGCACTCACGGTAGACATGGTTATGGACTGTTATCCACGTCAATATTATAGATTTATGTTCTATTCTGAAATGTAAGTTATTATAATCGTTTTCGATTGGCCAAGACGGAATCACATTTCCTGATATCGATTGCAAGTGTGTCTGTGGTGTGACCGCGTTTTGGTTGGACTTGATGTTTTTAAATAGCCCGAACATTCAAAAGATCCTTCTCGAATTTTCAAGATTAAATCGTGATTTCCAAATGTCAAAACAACAAATGAATGAATTTAATAGGCATAAAATTATTTGGCAGCTTACTATTTATTTCACAGGGTGCGCGCTCCATGAGAAATTAAGCTAATTGGAAATGGACACCGGATCCAATTCATTACAAGCTTAAAACAAATTTCAATTAAGAAATAGAAGTAATACAACTAAGCACGAACTTGTGAGCTACTAAATTCGAGTTATGTTACAAATCTAAGAGTCCCGCCCATTAAATTCAGTGGTCAATGGAGCCGGTTGCGGCTAATTGTGGATGGGTGCACACGCTAAGATGGCCAGGAGAGTGCATTCGCTAGGTTTGGATGGTGTACTCGCTAGTCTAGTCCAGGTGAGTGTATCGGCTAAGATGTCGTTAGATTCTCGGGTGATGGATTAATTCGATGGTCCCGAAGAATATCGATATTTCCAACAAATTTTAACACATCGTTGCATCCTTATCCATGTTTCCACCTCTAGCGCACGACGAGACGAGAAAAAAATCGTAACGTAACGAGCAGCGGAGAGGAGTAAAAACGTGTGAAAACTACATTAAACAAGGTACCGCTAGTCCCGGACAATAGTTAGCAAATCGAATTGGACATTAATCGGCTTGATGCAACTAAACGTTGGAAAAGCCGGACGCACGGCGAGTGTTGAGGAATTTGAAGGACTTTTTTCGTCTCCTGTCTGCCGACGCGTGGGTGTGTGTCTGTTCTCGCGAGTGTGAGCCTCTGTGTGTGTTTCTTCTGACCACGACCACCTGGGCGGTAGTCAAGTGGAAATTCGCGTTCAAGGACAACGGCAGTGGCGGCCGCCCCTTTCACATTTCACGGCCCCCTTTCCCTTCACAAGTTCTGGGCCCCACAACTGCCTTTTTTCGCTGTGTGAAGAGAGGCGACAAAAAGTTTTTTTTTTTTTTTGCCGCGTTTGAGCAAGCTTGCGCACAGAGAGCGAAAAGAGAGCAAATTTTCGTAAGCATGGAAAAAAATATGTTCTCAGTTTAAAATTTGCGCTTCTCCTCTCGCAGCCCAGCCAGCGCTGCACTCGAAAATAACTGTTCGCTAGCAAGCGAGAGCGGCACACATTTAAAGTAAAATAAATCTAAAAGTACGTGAAAATGGGCAGGAAAATATCAGCTGCGGCGCAGATTTGACATAGTCGATAGGGGGGCAAATAATCCAGGCCCAATAAAGAAACCCCGAAAGCGGAAAACAAAAAGCCAGCCGTTCTAAATTCGTTTACCACGTGTGTCGCTGTGTTTGTGTGTGAGTGTGCAGCTGATTTGCAGTGTTGGTGTATGTGTGTACGCGCGTGGGGAGGGGGGTATAACTAAACTAGATTTAAATCTACCGACACACATTCGTTGTCCGAAAAGCAGTCGTATTTACCTAAGAGTATGCATTTATTAAAGTGATTGCCCCCAATTGAATTGCTTGTTCAAGGACTTCAGCCCAGCCCGTCCTTGTAATTGTAACAAAAAAAAAAAAAGGAAGCTTTTCTTCGAAGCTGGCGGAAAAGTAGCCAAAAAGCCAGCTCTATGGACGCGCCTGCGTAAATGGGAAGCAAAAAGGAAAGGAAGGAGCAAAGAAGAGCTTAACCCGCGTGTATATAAATATGTGTGCGAGTGAGTAGCGCATAGCTACACATAACGGCGAAAAACGTAACGTAAACTTTAACTGGAATGTGATAAACGCCACTTCCCCACCTCTTTTAATGGGTTACTGTAAATATTAATTGGAAAACGAGCGATCAGATAAACAAATACACGTTCAGCCAATATGCCAAACAACATAGATCCAAACACTTCCACGAAATTCTTGTCACACCTAATTCACTAGCAATACATTGTCTAAAGCCTTTTCCTGCCGGTTATGTTTAATCAAATTGTATTCCAATGGAAATCGTTATATGTATATAGGCAACATTTTTGGGAACCTTTCTTATCGTCAAACACGCTTGAAGGTTTATTAAGAACATTGCCAAAGTTCCATAAAAATTAAAATTGAGTTCGAGTTAATATTAACTTATTAAGTTTTTGTTTTGTGGCTTCCACAATTAAAAACAATCATGGTAATTTAAAGATGTTTGTAGCAAAATCTATTAAAAATCAAATAAAACCCTAATCTTTTCACGAGCTTTAGCGTGTATTATTGGTGTAATCCACTATATTTTCTAATGTGTTCCGCATAATTAGTTAAATCTTAATACAGATTTTACAAATAAACTGAAAAGTTTCTTCTTTCGAAAATTTTAAAAAGCTGGATTACGCTTCAAATATTAAAACATTTATTGATTTGTGTTTGTCAAATTGGTAACAAGGATAACATCTGGTTAAAATCCAAATTAGTTCTTTTGTATAGACAATAGCTTGTACTAAACACTTTCTGAGGTACACTATTTATAACAGTTATTATAGGCGGTTACCCTTCCTACCAAGGTAAATACTTTAAAACCCCTATTTTTCTATAAACATAAACAAAAACTTAAGGCTATTAAAGTCAGAATGCAATGATTTTTCCGGGAAGTGGCAGAGCAGTGGAAATGGCTTTTCCTCGAACCGGAAAGTATGCAGTGCGGTGTGGTAGTGTGTGTGTGTGCTGTTGCATAAGCCAGCGGCGTTGTTGAAGGGGATTACTCTGCAAAAGGGGGGACGAAAACATTTTCTCATTTGCCTAAATGCCAAGCTGATTGGTTTTTTCGTCGCACTCTCTTTTCTCCTTTAGTCGGTTACGTTTGTTAACTTGTTTATATATCTTTTGTTCCCCGTTTAAGTTTTAAGTTCTTTGTTGTGATTACCTTTTTGTTTGCAAAATTGCGTTACATATCTAACCATCGATTACCGTTCTTTATTTTCTTCCAATTTCCAATCTCTTCCAATTGCAAAGGAGCGGCGCTGTCGTCCAATTTACGTCGCCGTCTTCTTCGTCAGTGTTCGTTGTCGTTGCCTCGTTCGTCTTTCGTTTTATTTCGTCCTCGTACAACAACAACAACCAGGATCACCGCAACACGCAGTTTCCAAATGCTTTAACGATTCGTCAACCTCAAAGGAAAAAAAAAATAAGACAAGCAGCGAATCAACAACCAAAAACACCAAAAAAAACAAAGATAAACCCCAAAATAATAATAAAAAAAACCACCCACAAGTCAAAGGAGGCTCGCAAAATTTTTTACAAATTTGCAAATACACTTTAAGTAAAAATAAGAAAAAGGATTGGTGTTTGTGTGTGTGTTTTGAAAGTCCTTCGTCAAAAGCTCCCCACGCTCTTTCTCCCGAAGAAACGCACTGTTGTTGGACTTAATTTGTCGCGAAAGGAGAGACTCTTTTTGGCATGGCTCTCTTGAAGGAGCGGCCAAATATTAGGGAGCACCAGCAGCAGGATCAGCAGTAAATAACAAAGCTTAAGGGACACAATAGGGACGATCAGGAAAAAGGAGGTAGTAATCAGGCAATATATAGAAGGCAGGAAACAGGAAAAAGGAAATACAGCCCACAAAATAAAAGGAATCAGTTGGATTGGATAACGTGTACATCTTAAACTTCAGAAGCGCCAAAAGAAAGGTGAGAATACGAATATTAAAAATTAGTAATTCTATTTAAGCAAAGTTTCCTAAAAAGATGTTTCTCTTTTATTACAAATATTATTTATTGTTTTCAACAAATTAACCTATTGAGTAAAGATGTTTTTGAGAGAGAAGCGTATTTTTTTTTAGCATAATGTTTCAACGATTTGACCCTTTTTGTTCAAAGGATCATGACTACTTTGGAGGAGCCTATCCAGGCGGTGGACACGGTGGATCCGTGTCCCCCGGGGATGCCAAGCCTGAAGACCGTTCTCAACGACGATGCCTCGACCTCGTCGGTGCTGGAGGACATCGACGTGAGCAACACGAGCAGCAGCAGTTCGAGCTCGAGCAGCTCCAGCTCCAGCTCGGGCTCCTGCTCGGGATCGGGCACGGATACGGACACCGGAAAGGGTAGCAGCACCGTTGGCAGTCTGGACGTGACCAGCTCCTCGAGCATCGGTTCGGCGGCTTCCATTTCATCGACGGGCTCCACAACCATTGCCGGCCCGTCCGTTTTGCTGGACGACTCGAACTCATCGGGTTTGGGCCTTGTGGTGGATGTGGATAGTGCCGGGAGCAGCCAGGAGCTGAGCAGCCACGGCGTCACCGAGCTGGACTCGCTGGAGGACTCGTGCAGCGGCCTGATGGTCAAGGATGGCGATAAGCTGTGCAAGCTGTGCAGGTTGGTCTACCACTTTCAATTCAATATGTATTTAAATCTATTTAGCTCTAATATGTAAGAAAAAAAATGACTTATAAATTCCTCTTTTTCTTTTTATTATTCTTGAAACAGCTCGCGTCTCGTGATGCCGCGCATCCTGTCGTGCCTGCACGTCTTCTGTGAGGACTGTCTGCAGCCTCTGGTCTCGAAGGACATGATGGCGGCCAGCTCGCCGAACAGCTGCTCCTCATCCTCCTTCGACGGCAGCGAGAACCAGCATTGTGTGCCCTTCGTGCTGCTCGAATGCCCCATTTGCAAGCAGCTAACGTCCCTCGGGTCGAAGGGCGTCAAGGGTCTGACCTGCGACTACATTGTGACCAACATACTGGACCTCTCGAACCTCGAGTCGGAGCACATTGTGTGCACCTCGTGCAAGAGCAAGGAGGAGGCCATTTCGCGGTGCAACGACTGCGCCAATTTCCTGTGCAACGGCTGCGACAATGCCCACAAGTATATGCGCTGCTTCGAGAACCACCATGTGGTGCGCATCGAGGACCTGACGAAGAACGTCCACGACAAGCTGATCATCCACAAGCCGGTCTGCTGCAGCCAGCATGTGAGCGAGAATCTCAAGTACTACTGCTTCACCTGCCAGGTGCCCACCTGCAACGATTGCCTGCTGAGCGAGCACAAGGGCAACGACCACCACTACGAGACGGCGACGGTGGCCGAGCAGGCGGTGCGCACCGATCTCGAGCAGACGCTCCTCGAGACGCTCCGGAAGGCGGACTACTGCAACGATGCCGGCAGCAATCTGGGCAGCGCCCTCACGGAGCTCCAGTCGCAGCACGATACGGTGCGTCAGCAGATCGAGGATGCCTACAAGAGCTACAAGCGCATGCTGGAGGCCATCAAGGACCAGCTGCTCAACGAGCTGAGTCGCCTACACTCGGATCGCGAGCTCAAGATCATGGACCTGATGCAGAGCCTGGAGAACAACATGGGCAAGCTGCAGCAGGCGGCGCAGTTCGGCCAGCGGGCCATCGAGAAGGCCAATGCCGTGGAGTTTCTTCTCCTGAAGCCGGTGATCCATGCGCGTTGCCTAAATCTCATGGAGCAGACGCCCAAGTGCGATGTCAACTATCAGCTGCAGTTCGAATCCAAGCCGGACAAGTTCGAGCAGTTCGCCAGGGAGATGTTCGGCAAGTTCCAAACGGAACAGAGCGAGTCCAGTCCCAAGAAGCAATCGATGGCTCAGCAGCAGCCAATGCAGCAACAGCAACAACAGCAAGTGCAGCAGCAGCAACAACAGCAGCATCAGCACCAAGTGCAGCAGCAGCAGCATCAACAGCAGCAGCAGCAACAGTTGCAGTTGCAGCAACAACAGCAGCAGCAGCAACACACTCCAAACAACTTGATCGTGGGCCATCGGGGCAGCTCCTCTGTCCAGGGACGCCTGAGCTCGGCTGTATTCAGCCCCATCTCGCTGCCCTCCTCGCTCCAGAGTTCCTTCGATGGCGACACCAACTCGGTGATGACTAACTTCTCAATGATGGACTCCCCGCCACAGCCAACTGCCCAGCAGCAATTGCCAACGGCCCAGCAGCAACAGCAACAGCAGCAGCAGCAAACCCAACAGCAGCAGCATCAGCAGCAGCAACAACAACAGCAGCAGCAGCAACAGGCGGCGGTGCTGCAGCAGGTGCAGCAACAGCAGCAGCAGAAGCACCAGCAACACCAACAGCAGCAACAGCAGCAGCAGCAACAGGTGCTGCACCAGCCACCTTCGGCTCAATCGCTGCCCCAGCAGATGGCCCAGCTGGTTGCTCCGCAGGGCATTGTCCAGCAGGCTGGACATGTCAATCTGAGCACCGGACCCGGCCCGAATATATCGATCAATGGCCTCGGAGCCGGCGGTCCGCCGCCTAGCTTCAGCATGCTGGAGTACAACATCTCCCGACTGGCCAGCTTGACGGAATCGATGCCGGACACCCTCACCGATGCTCTGGCCGTCGGCGGCGGTGCAGCTGGACCTGGTCCGAATGTGGCTCAAGTGCCGGGTGGCTCCGCAGTGGCCGGTGGTGCCGTCGTGGGCGCTCCTCACTCGCATCAGCAGCAACAGCAGGCAGTGATGCCGGCATCGGCGGTGACGCCCTCCCAGCCAATAACCCTGGCGGACATTCTTTCGGGTGACCAGCGGGCGCTCAACAATCTCCAGGCGCTGGCCAAACTGGGACTCAACAACAATGGTGAGTTCACTCTATTAAGTAGTTTTTAACCTTTCAAAGTTTATAAAGAAAGAAAGTGAGAAACTCCCTCCAATGCTTATCATTTTTATTTGGTTACTTTACACTTGAGTTTTTGTTTTGTTTCTTTTTGCTCCCAACACCAATGCAATTGCAAATGCAAATGCAAATGCGATCCACACACAAACCTACACCACCGACCCCGTAACACCAACACCCACAACACCTGAAAATCCCCACAACAACAATAAAAACCTTTGCGACACAGATGAGCTTTTGTTGAACGGATCCTCAACGGGCATTGATTTTTTGTCAGATTTCTGCATGCCACCGGCCACCTCGCCCAGTCTGCAGACGCTCAATCCGATCGTGGGCGGCGTGGAGGACATGGGCCTCAATAACTTTCATGCTGTGGCCACGCCGGGCACCACCAGTGTGGTGACTGGCCGGAACAAGGCCACTCCGATGCAGATCCGCTGCAAGTTCGGCTCTTTGGGCACCGCCAAGGGCCAGTTTAATTCCCCCACGGATTTTGCCTGGGCGTCGACGAGGAGATCATCGTGGCGGACACGAACAATCATCGCATCGAGGTCTTCGACAAGATGGGCGCCCTCAAGTTCCAGTTCGGAGTGGCCGGCAAGGAGGAGGGTCAGCTCTGGTATCCACGCAAGGTGGCCGTGATGCACAACAATGGCAAGTTTGTGGTCTGCGATCGTGGCAACGAGCGCTCCCGCATGCAGATCTTCTCCAAGTGCGGACACTTTATGCGCAAGATAGCCATTAGGTGAGTATTATATTAAAATGCTTGTCATTTGTGGCAATTAGCATACTGCTTGATGTGCAGTTCTTATTAATTATGTATTATTGTTTTCAGGTACATTGATATCGTTGCGGGATTGGCTGTCACGGCAAAGGGACACATCGTGGCCGTGGACAGCGTCTCGCCCACCGTGTTTGTGATCTCCGAGGAGGGCGAACTGGTCCGCTGGTTCGACTGCAGCGACTACATGAGGGAGCCCTCCGACATTGCCATAAGAGGTGAGTAATTGCTGCTGAAATTCCTATAAATAAATGCTGAAATTGACCCCTTTTTTTTCTTTTATTTTTTCGTTTGGCCATCAGACAACGACTTTTACGTGTGCGACTTCAAGGGCCATTGCGTGGCCGTTTTCCAGGACGACGGCACATTCCTCTACCGCATTGGCAACGAGAAGGTGACCTGCTTCCCCAACGGCATTGATATATCGAATGCCGGTGACGTGCTCATCGGCGATTCCCACGGCAATCGCTTCCACGTGGCCTGCTACTCGCGTGAGGGCGCCCTTCAGTCCGAGTTCGAGTGTCCCCACGTCAAGGTGAGCAAATATATATATATATAAACCATTTTAATTGGTTATAAGGGTGAATAAGGAAAGGTGATTGAACCTTCAGAGCTGCGCATTTATTACACTATTCAACAGCTCATGAAATCGATTGATTTGAGGAGAGTCAAGAGTTAAATATTGATATTTTCCTAACAGGTTTCCCGCTGCTGTGGCCTGAAAATCACATCCGAGGGCTATGTGGTTACGCTGGCCAAGAACAATCATCATGTTCTTGTCCTGAACACCCTCTATGTTCACTGATTGCAAATCAAAGCGCGCAACAATCGTCCAGCAGTCGATATGAACAAATACAACTACAAATACTCGTCGGGCAAGATATACGGATGTCGACGTCAGCAGCAAGCAGTCAATCAGCAAAGCAGCATCAGCAGCAGTAGCATTAGCTGCAGCAGCAACAGCAACAGCAACACCAATAGCAACATCAGCATCAATCTTCTGTCAAGGAATCAACAACAGCAACACTGCAATATCAACAGCAACAGCAACGGCAACAGCAACAGCACCGGAATTGGCCACATAAACAACGTGGGCAACTTGAGCCTCTTCGGAAGTGGCAGCAACATCAACATCAACAGCAACAGCAGTCAGCAGCTGCAGCAGCAACAGCAGCCAACAACAACAAATGCGGTCATGTGATGAACACGTTAAGCAAGAAAAAGTGACAAAAGCAACACAATTCGTGCTAAAAAAAAACAGCAAAACATTATTAACAGCAAGAGTGCAACAACAACAACAACAACAACAATCCAGATAGACAGACAGATACACGTATATAGGGCAGAATATAAATACATATATCTATGAGGAGAAATGGGGGAAAGCAATATCTCGAAACACCAAAAAATCCTTTTTAAAATCACAACAAATGTTGCCGATTGTGAGCCACCACAGCAACTGTATGAAACCAATAACAAATGATAAACAAAATGCAACAAATACTATTTTTGATCTCTAATTTAAAAACAATTAGCGCTACTACTAAAAACAAAACATCAACAAATCTAACAAAGAAAAACAAAAATATTTTACCTAGTATAACGAATAACAAACAAAAACAAATCTATAACAAAACAAAAACTTGGGATATTTTCAAATGTTTTTAAAAAACTCTTTTTTAAATTGTTTTTGATTATGCTTTTTTCATTGAATTTATGTTCTTGTTAAAAATTGTCATAACACACTCATACACACACACACAAGACACACTCATACAAACACTACTACTTTACATGTTACTTATTATCTATATAGAAATATATATTGTTATATCGACCGATTAGCTTTTTTGTGCATACCCTTCCAGAATCTTTTTCAAAAAACAAAACAAAAAAAAAAAAAACGAACGAAACACGCATATTTATATCTACACCTACATATACATCTATGTATATCTAGCAAAATGTGCAACTTTTGTGCACACGTTTTTTGCTAACAAAAAACAAAAAAAGAAAGAAGAGAAAGAAAGAGAGAACGAAGTTAAGTGAAGGAGTGAAGGAAAAAACCAGGAGTAAATAATTTGTTGAGGGCGTCATCAGAAGTCGCGTACAGGCAATAATTATAGAAGAAGATGAAATCTAAGTAGTTTATTTTGATTTCAAACTGAAACCAAAACACTATGATATAAATTCAGAAAATAAAAACTGTTTAGGTTTTTCCTTACGCTGCTTATATAAGGTGATATCTATTTATATATAAATCTATATGAATATATGAAAAAAAAAAACAAAAGAAAACAAAACAAAAACTATATATATCTTAAACATATATGTGAAATCCTATGACTATATGACTTTGCCATATAATATACAAAACAGGACGAGAGAGTAGGGAGTTAGGCGTATAGGGATAGCGAGGGACGGAGGATGACAGGACGAAGGGAGGCAACACACACATACACAGACACACACACACACACCCAATACACCATACAGCAGATATGTGAATATCCGCGATTATCCAGAGACCCAGAGAATACATTCGATATGTATCCAACTAAATGCGTTCTCCAAACGCAAGAGATCCAACAAGAACTACAGACAACAAACTCAACATACAAATTAATCTGTAAGCTAACAAACCAAACAAACAAAACGAATGCAATTCGCATTAGGCCAACAACTATAAAAACTAAAACAGCAGAGACAACAACAACAACAAGAAGCGTTAAAAAACCTACAAAGAAGAGAATATGAAAGAAAGGTATCTGTTAAGTTCTTATATACATTGTTAAACAAACAAAAAAACAAACAAACGATATTCCTTTTGCTTATATACAAAACAAGTGCAACACACACACACGTGCATGTTATCGACATACACACCACAAAACCCACACACAACACTCACGATTTATATAGACGATATATAGACAACCATTTAAGATGATATATGTACGGATACATGCAACATTTCTTTCCCGTTGTAATACAATATAAGGCTGGTTTACTCCCAAGACATTATTATTTATCTATATACAAAGTAACATTTTTAATTGTGTGAATTTTATCATGTGAGAAACGATAGTAAGAACAACAAGTGGCGTTTGTTTTATTTAGTGAAGTTGAGCGAGAAAGCAAAGCGAAGCAAGCAACTTATTTTTTATAGGCTGTAACCACATTTATTATACATCAACATTAACATCAACATCCAACATCTACACATACACATACACATAGACATACAAACACACATTTACATTTAAATATACATATACATATACATTTACACAACCACACTCACACTCACTAACACAACATACAACGAAACGAATCCTTTGTATTGTGAACAATATCCTGTTCGTTTTGTTCAAAACTATTCGATTCCTTTTCAATGTTTTAAACAGCAAAAACTAATGTTAGAAATCATCTTCTGCAATTGTGCTTCACATTGCGGAGGAAAGTAAACTGTTTTAAATCTTGTCATTTTTATTTTATAATATTTTAGAAACCTAGTTTTAGCATATACACACAACACAACAACCATGAACAACGCGTTTATGTTTATATTAAATATTTAGTTGTTGTTAGGAAGCAAAAGGACGATCACGAATACACTAAACATTTGCTTAATAATTATTACAACTGTCATATTTGTAATTTTAATTACTTTTGTTTAGTTTTTATGTTGTTATTACGTGTGAGGCTACACAATTCTATATTCATAATTATAATTTAGTTTAAGTGTAATCTTTAAACAACTACGACAACCAATGTGAAACGCTTTTGTTTATGTTATACCACTGAAATTATAAACATTTAAATGTATACACTACAATTAATACCATGTGCCCCAAAGTTGTTGAAAAATAGGTGAGGAGTAGGTCCTAGAAAGGAAGGCCGATGATGAGTAAAAAGAGTGTGAGGGTAAAAACTGCAATTTTTTTGTTAAAACCATTTGGCTGTTGAAATACATATATATTTTTTAATTTAATTATGTTTTTGCATTTCGTTTAGAAACTTAGAACCCACAAGCAAATGTTGTACTATTGAATTGAATTTATCGCGAAATCCCTTGGATTTCAGCTTACTTCTACTTAGACCTTTCCTCTTTCATTTTCGCATACATATATTTTTTTGTTTTATTATTTTTGTCGCTGCATTAACTACGGAAGTATTAAAAGGAAACATTTTGCTAAAGACAATGAAAACACTCAAATGAAAAGTATACCAAAATATTTGTTTTTAATTCCTTCTAATCGTATTTTTACTTTTACTTCATTGTGCGAGCTCTTTATTGCTTTTAATCTTGGTTTAATTTTCCTAACTACTTGTCTTTGCCTTAGTCAAAAGAGTTTTTCGTAAAAACGAGACTCGAAAACTGTTGAAAAAAAACGAAAACCTAACAAAATACCATTTTACATTTGTTTCTAGTTTTTATGGAAAGCCTTCAAATGAAATTGTAATTCCACACGCTTTTATTTTATAAACAAAAAAAAAAACATTACATAAAGAGGAGAACATTTATTATCTTTATTTTGTGTTTCTTTTATAATTTCCTCACCACAAAATAAAAAAAGTCAATTGTTGCTTTAAAAAAATTTTAAATTTTAATTTAAGTTAAACAAGAAAATGATATTAAATAAACCCGTATATAATTTTTATGCGATGCGTTTAAAAAACTAAAACAAAAACTTTTCCACACCAAACACACAAAACAAAGCAAAAACAACAAATTTATTTCCTATGGCATACACATTTTTAAGTGCAAAACCAAATAAACATAAATGTGCTTAAGTTTAAATCAAATTTACAATTTAGTTGAGATTACGCAACTTAACGACGATAACATTTTACTAACTACGTGTAAACTATAGGATTTCTAGCGAAAATATATGTATATATTTACACACCTGTATATATTTGTATTATGTATACAGTTATGTACAATTAGCGAATGGCTCAGAAAGGGGGCGTGGCCAGGAGAGGGGCGGTACTACCACTAGTCAGTGACAATTACAAAACCACTACAAAACGAACAGAAAGCGAACCGTTACCTTAACGAAACCGGAGGAGCAATAGTGATAAAAACGAAAGAAAGAAGGAAAGAAAGGGCGAAACAAGGACACACTTTTGGACAAATTGCCATTTAACTTACATACTTATAATTGACTGACGGAAATTGACCAAGGAGCCCCTCCCACACCCCCCCTCTTCGCCTCCCCCGCCACCCACTGCGCTTTAATTTTCAAGGCCGAAAGCTGCAAGAAGCAATACAAAGAAGAGCAAAACCACAAATGTAAAATTAAACTGTAAACGAAAGTGTACTAAAAATCGTGTGAGGAAAGAGATATTTTCTTAGTTGCTTACTGTGTATAATGTGACAAAGTGAAAGCTTTCCACCTCAACTCTTTACATCTATTATATTATCGACGTATATCGAAATCACGTGTACTGTATTTATTTTATTTTCGATTCGTATTCCCTGTACTTTATGGTTTATACTTTTTCTTTGATGTACTCAGCGAAAGTAAAACGGAAGAAGATTCAAACAAATTGTGTACAACTAATTAGGAGATAATTAACTTTACACAGGAAAAAAACACCACACATGTTTCTCAATCACTCGATATAGTTACGTTAATTCATAACCGACACACGCATATTATAAATATATAGCCTATATCTATATAGTCGAAAATTGGCAAGATCAAATCGAGAAATCAAGCGAATGAAGGACGAACCCTTTAATAAAGATGCTGCCAAAGATTTTTTATACAATCGATGTGGAAAATTCAAAGAGAGAAGAAAAGCAAGGAGAACCATTTAGAGTTATTACAATGTAATATATTGAATATTGTCCACCTTATTTTTACGATTAATCATTATTATTTTATTAGTTTTGGTCAAGTGTATTAATTTTGTTCTTTTTTTCGTGGTCAAAATAAATGGAATGGAAAACAAAAGCGAGATATTTTTGAGACTTTTGCTCAAAACTTAATTAGAAATGTAAATGCTAAGCCGAAACTTATAACTAACGATTACCGATTTACGATAAACAATTAACGATATCGATATCACAGTATTTCAAGCTGGATTTGTTGAATTATTTGTTCCTCGATGCGACGCTT